GGGAATGATCGCCGACCATCGCAGAAATGTGGGACGCGTTGAGAAAATAGAAACGGTCCCGATTATGCAGATTTGTCCCCGTCCATCCCAGACGATCGGGGATATCTACGATTTTGAGTTTTCATTAGTCAGCACTGAAATCTGGGACAGTCGGGAAAGATTAAAATCCCCGATCGTCTGGGATTCTCCTGACATAAGAAAATCAGGCTTAATAGATCAGACCTTGTCACGGTTTTCGACGCCATCTTGACGAGTAGAGAAACGTGTGAGAAATTACAGTGTTTGGAGCATCTTTGTATGAGAGTCTAATGTCGAATAATTTCCGTTAAACGGCTTTTCTAAAAAAAAAAAAAAAGTGGTTCTAGGTCTTCTAGCCCATATAATGCGTTTAACTTTTTTCAGTAGAATCCTCTGGAGTGAAGTTTTAGTTTACAATTCATATATTTTTCAGAACAGCCGTTCAACGAAAGTTATTCGACATTAGAATCTCATACAAACACTGTAATTTCTCACGCGTTTGCCTAGGTCCATTACTGAACTTAGATGAAATTTTGATTTAGAGGTTAAAACCTCTCCTGGAAAGAACATAGCGTCGAGTATTGGCTCGGTTTAGGTAAAGAACATTTGGGTATTGTTAAACCTTTAAAACTTTTAAAGTTTAAAACCCGTTTAAGCATTTTTTGCTGATAGTTTCTGCTCTCTTTATAGTTGGCCCCGGTTGTTCAAAAGGTGGATAGCGCTATCCATCGGATAAATCACTATCCAGCGAATAAGTATTAGGAAAACCAATTGCGCCAGTCCACTGGATATAGTTTCATCCAGTGGATAGTGTTATCTGTCTTATCCATACCACCTCTTAATAAACTGGGGCTAGTTAGTGCATGGGCTGGTAGTTAATTGTCATGAAAATATAGATTAATTTATAGGTCTATTTTCACTATTTATTTATTTATCTATTTATTTATTATTATTATTTTTTTTATTATGAAAAATGTTGTCTTATAATTTGCCGGCGATATGAAAACTGATACACAGTCAATCAATCAATCAATTCCTTTATTTAAGTGACAAACTAACATAGCAGTAGAGGAACCAATATATGGGGACACTATAAATCAAAACAAGCACGTATTGCAGTTATTGAAATAGAATTTATAATTATTTACAAGAGTATCATTATTGACTAGAGGCCGAAGTATAAAATTATAAGATTATTACAAAAGCCAGTCTAACCTAACTCTCAAAGGGTTACCCGACCTCTGCGTTCCAAGTTACTTTCAGGTGTCAGTATTAAAGAAATCAAGTGTATATATTACTCTATAGAAACGTTTTCCTCATTACGTGACAGGGAATTTTAACGTTTTTGAACATATCCAGCGGCATATGCAAAAGCCTCCACGGGACGAAAAAATGAATCCGCACAAATTTTCTGTCGGCAGATAAGTCGCAAAATTGTGGCAAAGCTGAGGAGTAAAGATGGTGCAAGGGTGGTAAATGCGAAATTTACTTCCCAACCCCATGTTTTGGTATGCAAATGTGGCATTTAACATCTTTGCTCCACATTTACTTCTTACTTTTTACATTTTTTTGTAACATATTCAGTCCAAGGACAAAATTTGGCATGTGCAACATGCTGGGCTGGGATAGAGTCACACACAGATAGTCTCCTTTAATTTTCTGACGAGCATCCCCGTCACTTTTATATGGGAGTCCCCAACCCCAGAGGAAACCATCCCATTTGAAAATTTCGTTCACGCAAACAATCGTTAACTAAAGTGCTCACCGTTCTCAACGTTTTTGTCAAACGGGTGTGAATACTTTTGATGAAAATGCCACTCTTGAAATACGATCTTCATGCTGTATTCGTTGCTTTGTCAACAGTATTATGTCCAAGTGGCTGGTTTAAAAACCTCAGGTCCTGTTACAAGCTTTCCGAGAACGTCCTGAATTGGCAAGCAGCAAAGAAGGCCTGTGAAGACCTGAATTCTACACTGGCTATAATTAGCTCAGAAGCCGAACATCAAGCTCTTAAACCTTACATAAGAAAAAAAGGGAAACTTACCTGGATAGGCTTGCAGAGGAACCCCCGTGACAAAAAGCGCTGGTTGTGGGTGGATGGATCTCCACTCAACTACACTCACTGGGGTTACCGTGAACCCAACAATATTACGGAGGAGTGTGTAGAAATACGTCCGTTTGGGTATCACAACGGTGGATGGAATGACCAGGAATGTTCTGATATAATTCATTACATTTGCGAAAAAGGTAAGGAAGAAAGAGCCTGATATACACTGTACTATGAATTGCGCCGAATTTGATCTCCAATTTATTAAACCGCTAATAATATCCGATATATTTGTTTTGTTGAATTAAAAGATGTCGGTACCTTCAGTAAGTAAGTAGTAAGTAGTTTATGATACACGTAACATCTAGGAACTAACAGTAATAACTCGTTCGAACGTGTTCGTGATATACTAAACTAGAGTAAAAACCTTAAACTACAAAAGATGTAATATCTTTTAGATAAAAAATTATCATCATCATAAAAAAAAACCTATGAAAAAGAGCCAAAATTTAACATGAATGTTCAGAAAAAGGCCACAAACCATGATAACAAAGAATAAAATAGATTAAAGTCGAATAAAGATTCTAAATTGAACTTTTGTGGAGCCTTTTTAAACACTTTGAGATTATGGGAGTTTATAATATATAAGGGTAGCTTATCCCATATTTTGCTAGCTATAAATGAAAAGGACTCTGTGTAAAAATGAGGCTGTACCAGATTACCCCCTTACCCCTTAAATTATAACATAAATCCCTTTTAAGGGATGTATGTTTGGACCTATTGAGTTATAATTTTTTTATTAAGACATTTCTAAATCAACACCAGAGCTTGGTAATAACGACGGTGTTTGAAAGTATTCATAAGCTTTCCTAGCCTTCATTCTTAGACCTAAACAGAGTTCTTAATAAGATATGATAATTAGCATCCTCGAGTCCATCGCTCTGCACCTTACCCAGACCAACAAAAACTGTATCCCAGTATTCTGAATTTGAAACTAGAAACTTCTTATACAGCAGACTCACACACAGGGCGTCGAGGGGGCGTCTACAGAGTGGCTTTGCGCGTTTATCGCAATAATTAACACCTTCAGAAGCCTATTTAAGGCTTGTGACACTTTTAATGTTTTCCAAGTTTTCATAAAGATGGCTGACAGTCATCGAAACTGGCGGTATCATTAAGACGTTAAGACTGGCTATGTTTTGAGAACATTTAAATCGTTATACTTGTATGTTCAGCCAAGGATCATAGCTTGAGTCTAAGTGCTATTCATTGAGAGTAAACGTTGTCCAACCCATTGAGACAACGTGGATAAAGTCTCATTGACCATGAACTAGAGCTAGGGACGAAGCATCAGAATTGCATCCGATGGTGTCATTGTCATATAGCCTTAGTGCCATATTCGGGGCACTGTAGTTCACGTCGTTTATGTCTATGTTAAATAATAATGGGCCACGAAGAGTTCCCTGGGGGACACCTGCTTTGACCCATTTCCATTCAGAACAAATACCCTCAATCTCTACCCTTCGCGGCGACGTTCCTCTCAAATACTCACGAATTAAATTGGTAGCAGTAGTTGAAAAACCGTGGGCTTTTAATTTAGCCAACAAGAGATTGTGCCTGACACTAAACGTAACGTATTGAGAAACTCTTCCTCATTTTCCCCTTTAGATGTCAACGAGTGTGCTAGTAACCCGTGCAAAAATGGAGCAACCTGTGCCAACACTGTCGAAGGATTTAATTGCACTTGTACTAAAGGATTTCAAGGAGAAATCTGTGATAAGGGTAGGAGTTATAATTGTGTCGCTGATTAGTAAGCCGTAGTAATTAGGTACAAATGGCGAAGATATATTCCTTTGAACTAGGTGAGGAATCTGTGGTTCACACCGATGAAAGGTACACAGGAGATTACACTGCTCACCAATTTTTTCCAGTTCTTGAGTAATTTAATACTCTTTGGCTCTTTTACAAGGTCCTCACAAGCAAACATCTCCTTGATGCTTTAGAATTCACAATGTTTTTGCTACGGCGTCAAACTACGAACTAGAAAAAAAAAACAAAAAAACAAAATGAGCAAAATCTAAAAAAATAAAGTTTTGTGACCGTCAAGTGCTACCAAGACAAAGAAAACATATTGTCTCAATTATAAGCAGCGGGAAAAGACACGACAAAGTCCATGAACAAAAGGTTACATAATTTAAATATGCCAAATGGGTGGATGTTTAGGCCTTAAAATTAGTGAGACGTTGACCAAGCATTTGTGTATAATGATATATGTCAAGAATGATAAAAAACGAGGGCCACCAATATGGATGATGTCAAAGCTAAGGGAGGTGGAGCAACATTGACGACCACAAAATGCTTCAGCCAAATACGATTAATAAGCGCTCTTGATATAATTTCCACTATTTTAACATTTCAGTTGTTGATGAACAGCATATTGATATGTGCCAAGTACGATTAATAAGAGTTTATGATGATGATGATGATGAAGATGATAATTTTTCATACAAACAACTAAAGTTTACTATATTTCCTTTTCTTATAGTAATCAAGCCAAGCCAAGTCTCCCCATATTCATCTTCGTCGTTAGCTGCCCAGGACCCAACAACGCATATTTCAACAATTCCAAATGTCGACCATTTGCCTGCTACTTCTTCACCATTTCGTAAGCACACGGTCTCTTCTCCTCTTCAACCGTCTGCATTCCCGCCATCGTCTTCTGACCGAATGCATATGATAAAAAATAGAATTGGCTCTCTTGTAGCAACATGCCATCTCTTAAGCAGTCTTACTAATTTGGACAGATAGATATTCCACTTTAAATCGCTGCCAAGTCCTAACTGATTTCACACTGTTCACAGTCTCTAGGGTCTGACTGTTAACACAGATAGGGTCAAAATCTGGCTCGTTCAGTTGAGATCCAGTTTTATAGCCCGAACTTGCTGAATAAACCATTTCTTCAATATTTACATTGACTCACTGCCATTCCTGAATATTTTCATCCTCAGATGCGTTGGAATGCCCTCTGCAATGGAAGAATGGGGTATTATGGTTTGCTACTAGAAGAGGACAAACAGATATCAAACCTTGTCCAGAGGGAGCTACAGGTTAGGAATGAGTTTTTAGATCATGATAGCCATGACAAACTATCACTATGAACTAAAAACCCATGAAAATCCTGTGAATTAATTCATAGTAAATTCACGTGATTTTCAAAGGATTTTAATGGTATTTTCATGCGAAATGTTATAAGATTTTTCGTGGCATGTCACCCTGGAAAAAGCATGAAAAAAAACATTAAAAAAGCCATTAAAAAACGCTTAATCTTTCAGTTTTCATGGGCCATGAAAACCCTTAAGTTTTGGGCAAATCCATGAAATACTCATGAAAACACCATGAAAATTTTGGGTTGCTTTTCATGGCCTTTTAATGGCATTGAAAATGCCATGTATTACAAGGAAGGATTTTCATGGTGTTGTAGTTCATGGTCTTTTCATGAGGCCACTGAATTCATGGCCCATGAAAAACCCATGGTTTTTCCATTAATGTTGAAAGATTAATTGGCCATGCAAAATATTCATGGCTTTTTTGTGGCTTTTGGAAGACCCATGAAAATCAATAGTTCAATGGCCTTCTACTATTTTCATGGCGTAAACAAAATATAGCATGGACCATGAAACTACATTAAAAGTACTTGACTGTTAACCATTCTTTTCTGGCCCCCAAATCAAATTAATTCAAGCTCACTAATGGAAAATTAATGATGAAAACACTTACTAAATGCGTTGGAACGTATACTGAACTTCAACAGGCAATGTACATGTATCTTTGATTGATATTGACTTTATTCCACCCTTTCCATGGCATTAAATAGACAACAATATTTTTTCCGGTATCATTTCATATTCAGACTTGCCATCACATGAAAAAGTTAATATTAAAAATATATGGCTGTTTTTACTGCACAAGTTATATTCAACTTAAGAATCTAATAATTTCCAAAATCTTCAAAATCTGCAATATTGCCAAATAAGGATTTCAATATTTTAAAAATCCCTTATAACCTCTTCCGAGAACAATTCAATTAAATATTTTTGCTTTCTTTCTACCTGGCAACTGTATAAATCTGGTATCAGACATAAATCATCATCTATTAATTTCAAAATTTTGATCATAAATAATTTCATTTTGTCATACAAAATATGTGGAATAAGTTTTAAGAAAATTTAACTAGATAAGCAACTTTTATCACTGCAATATCTTTACAACTGGAACATTTTTGATAATAAAATTCTTATATACACTTGAAGAAGCCTTGCCTAATTCCAGCATATAATTTACTAAGAATCATTACATTAATCACGGCTGGCTGTGATCATGATGAAATATAAAACTTTCTTTCTTTCAGTGGGTAATAATAATTGTCTCAAATTGTTATAAACAAAAACAGACACGTCATAAAAAGGAGTACTCAGACTTAAAGTGAAAATTTTCATTTCCATGGTACCTTAATGGCTCATAAAAAATTAAAATAATCCCTCACCACTTTCATGGGGGTAAGTCGGGGGGGGGGGGAGGAAGAGACGAGGTCTGGGATCGAGAAACGATGTTCTCACAACTTGCAAAGCGGTCACCCCGCGTGGTGGTCAGCGGATAATTACAGTATCTTTCCCACAGTAAATATTTTTAGAAGAAACAAGCGAACCGGCAGAGGAAACCAGAAATGCTCAAAAAGTTGAAAAAAATCATATCATACGTCTTTGTTTTTCTTGCACATCGTATTTGTCTTTCGGTACTGAAATGCGGGGGAAACCAAAACGCAACCGTGTTAGATCTTAACAACAACGCGCTCGATAGATTTATATATAGGTTACATCGTTTTTGCCGGGTAAGGATAACTTGATGCTGATACAAATTACTGGAGCAAGTGTCAAATATATCGGAAGCAAGTATATTCAAGAGAGCTTTATAAATATGAGCTTAGGGCCTGTTTACATGGAGTGGGGGACCCCGATCTAGTGGGGTTGGTTTCTTTTGTTTTCACGCTCTGGGGGACACCAAACAAAAGAAACCTACCCCACTAGACCGGGGTCCCCCACTCCATGTAAACAGGGTCTTACCGCTCTACATATCATAACTGAATAAAAGTTAACACTTCATCACATTTCACTTCGTTTATTTCGATCAGTCAACACCTTGAATCCAAAGTTAAAATTCAAAACGATCCTAAAACAAATCACAACTACTACTGAAAGCTCGTACCTTGAAGCGACTTTAACTTTCCTAAGGTTTGCAACAAAACACTGCTCGATAGCTCAACTCTTCAGCGGTTCTTAGCAGCTATACGGAGCTGTGTTGCATCTTCCAAACTCTGCAGAGGGAAATTGTTTAACAGAAAAAGAAAACCACACACTATGTCTGAAAAGTGACATAAAATCAATAAGTTTGCGAATTACCAAAATATAATAGTGAGAAACAGTCCCGCCTTCGACCGCCATGTTTTTTGGTTCTTCTCTAGACCGTTGATCTATGGTTTTTGACGTAATGCGCATGATCAGTACACAAATCCGCTGGCAAGACCCTGCTGATCGCTTTGCAAGTTGTGAGAACATCTTTTGGATTTCATTTAAGAGAATGTATGGGAAGTAGCTCCCCCCACCCCCTTCGGGGTAAGTGAAAGAACACTAGTAACACTATGAAATTGACTTAAAATCACATGACACTGATCTATATGAGCAAAAACCACATGAATGAAATCTAGACAGAGCTGTCATTAAGAGCTGAGGGCCGGGGACTGGGCGGGCTAGTTGCATAGGAAAATAGAAGAAAAATAGAACCAAAAGAAATCCCTAGCTGTTTGATTTACCCGGCAATGTGAAATCGTAGTGACATCCCTACTGCCTACGTGTTAAGACAACACATAAATATTGTGCATTAAGTAGCCTCTAGCTTCAGTCATGATTAAAAAGACATATAAAACATACCCTGTTAGGGGAATCTCTAGACATTGTTCGTTTATAATCCAAATGACAAGATCAGCTGCAATATTCTCCCTTTTCAAATTTACTTTACTCAGCATACACATCATCACGTACATTTAACATTTGGATTTCAATCTTTTTGTTGGAAATATTTTTAAAATTGTAATAATTATGATATTACATGACATAGTGGCCAGTTCTTTCCAATTTCTGCTTATTAAGGTTTACCAAGTACGGTGAGGGTAAAAGGCGGAACGAGTTTGCGGAATGGCATGTTGCATGGTTTGCAGAATGACATAATTATGCGGAATGTAAAATATGGAAAAAGGCGCAAAGAAATAAATTAAACTGAAAAACATGCGAGCAACTTTGCTGCGCCTTTTTCTGGCGCCAATTTGAGGGAGCAACATTTTTGCTGGTCCATTTGTAACTGCTGGCTTAAACCAACGAGGCAAAGCAGAAAGTAGCGATAAGCTTGACTGCATTCATGTCTGTGTAATAATATTTAATACTTAATTTATTTTTGTTGCTTTCGACAATACTTTCTCTCTCTCTGCCCACCATTATAATAAAGTCAAATGTCAAAACGCTAGAGGAAAAAAAACGCTTGTTGAACGTGAAGTCGGGTTAGCTACAATTCTAGGGATCATCAATTAATACGGTGGACGGATCAGATCATTTTTGAGACTAAATGAACGCCCCGAGTCAAACGTAATCCAGAAATGGAGTGAAGCGAACTGCTCTCTGTCTCCTTTCGGCCTTTCCACGTGTCTTTGCACCTTCCTTGTTTGTGTGAGTGTGTGCGTTTGATCGTGAAAAAATGCTAAAGCTGTAGGATGGGGAAAAAAAAAAAAAGGACACACACTCAATTGCCAGGATTCGGACTCGCCCTTCTCCGCCAGCTGTTAGCTTCGCGTGCCGGAAACTTAACCAAGCAGCTTAAGAAACAAAATACATGTGCAATATCTGTTTCATTGCTGAATATTATGTCACAATCACGTAACCCACCGTTTGAAAAAGAAACACTTCTCACGCGGTTGCAAATAAAAATATAGGTAAAAAGAAACTGTAAAGTTAATTGTGCAAACATTTTTGCAGAAAAAATTAAAGTAGAAGGGAGCGTGACCTTCCAAAACACTTTTTCTTCAATTATGGCCGACTTTCGTGCTGTAGTATCGGTGCTGCCATGCAGCCCGACTAATAAAGGCGAGAAGAATCGTTGTGGCTATGCGGAAAAGGCTAATCGACAATGAGCCTTTGTGGCTTATTGATTGTAGTCGTATGTCAATATTAACGTTTGCGGATTGATTTTTCGCCAAAAAAGGCGCCCTTTACAGTTTAATTTATTTCTTTGGGTCATTCCGCAAATATTACATTCCACATAATTATATCATTCCACAAGCCATGCCGCATGCCATTCCGCAAACTCATTCCGCCTTTTACCCTCACCGTACCAAGTAACAGAAAAGCAATTTAGCACTCAATTTTCGTGAAAAGACAAAGTAAATAAAAATCTTCGAATAATACAATCATTTACATGTATATATATAAAAAAGCTAAATGACTGTTTCTTTCAAAGTCGCCGAACAGCCTTGTGAACTGAAGGTCCACGCATCAGCCTTAAAGTGCTAGTGCTCTGTTTTTTTGTTTGTTTGTTTGTTTTTTTACCTTAATTGCAGCCATGTACCATACAATTATTATGAATCGAAGTTCAAATACACAAATCTTTAGGCTGTATTTTAATTTTGTATGTAAATTCAACTTTCAAGTCATTATAACTGGAAACTATGCTTCTAACTTGTAGCAGACATTGCATGCATGCATATAAGAAACTTATCCTATGTCTTCTCCTATTTTATTTAACATTGGTATTGACAAGTCTGCCATAATCTACAGCTCCAGAACATACAATTTTCAGAGTATTCCCTTGACGATTTGCAACAAACAGTACAGTTATTTCTGCAGTAAACAAATTAAGGAATCAGTCAATGGCATATCTGTGCATTAATATATATCAGTGAAGTTTAAGCTTAATTGCGCATGGTTATTAGAAAACATACCTTTCTGCCATAATCCAGCTGGGTTAACGGACTTGGAAACATACTCGCCGTTGATCACCTTGTCTCGAAAATAAAGTGGATCTTACGAAACTACTCTGTCGCTTGTGAAGTCCGCGTGATTTTGAACTATTCAACGGAAATTCATTTCACACTTGTCTATTGGTTCAAAAGCCGCTCGTGACAAAGTAAATCAAATCGCAAATGTGCGAAAGTCACATGGAAGCCTGGGAACAACAAACATGGCGGCTAATCGAGAACGTGCTTCGGTGTTTGGGTGAAAAGAGCGGTTATTTTCAGCGTTGATTCAAATATTCCATCGTATTTGAAGAGTTAAACGCAAGAGGTAAACTTAGCATTGTTTTTTAAGTTGTGGAAGAAAATGCCGGACTACATTATAAATCAAAGTTGCGACGAAAACCGTGTTGTGGACGCTGTTCGTGTTGGACAAGCTCAAAGGTACGGAAAATTGATTGAACTAAAGACACCTTGAACACACCAAGACCACGCCATTGCTTAGACATGAATCTAAGTACAACTCAGGCATGATAGAATGAGAAGGACTTAAACCATTTACGTAGCTTTTTTATCAATATAAACACTCTGTACATCTAACAATAATCATGCAACGGTTTCGTCTGGTGTCAAATTTAGGAACAATTGTTTTCATGTTCAAGTGTGATGTTATAATGTTGAAGTTGCTACATTGATAATTGGCTGTAGAACCATAATATCATTGTATTTTACTAGACACCATCAAGGCAATTTTTAAGATTAAAACTTCAAAGACAGTTTAATTGAGCCCAGAGAGTTTTGTTAAGGTGATCACTGGTCACTATTACAGACACTGGTACTGACTTTATTCTAGTCAATGCCTGTAATCAAGAGGCTTCGTTGGTCTGTAAAGCTCATATATGACTGCTTTTGTAGATTTTTTGTTAGTTATATGTGGGAACTGACAATGTGTCATTCTTTGTTAAAAAAATAGCAGTTGTATTAAACCAATAAAGGCAAAGAGTGTCCTTCATGGTACAACATGGCCAAAGATTCTGAGGTTTAATGTTGCAGTCGCTTTATGTTATACAGTATTTTTACACATTTCGGGGTGTGATTCTACCCAGGGAACTGATTTCTTAGAATTTTCATGGCCCATGAAATCAATTTATATGGTTTCAAGGTCCAACATGGCACATATTTAATGGTATATTCATGACCCATGAAATCGAAATTATCATTTCTCATTTTTCGCGACCCCTGAAATCTCTGAGTGTAATTTTCATGGCCCATGGAATCTAAAACACACCAACTTTTCATGGCTCATGAACCCTGGTGCCAGATATTTCATGGCAATTTCATGAGCCATGAAAACCATTATCAACTTTTCAGAGAAAATTCATGCCCTGAAAAATGCTGTCCTGGGTTTTTAAAGACATTTTCATGGGATTTTCATAACATTGCAGTTCACAGTGTATATATCCGCATGAAAAAAAGAACAAAAATATAGCTAAATAAATTTAAAATGCCCAGAGTTTTACCAAAATAGGTGGTATAAAAATAACAAATAACCCAGCCAAACAAGACGTACCTATAAAGCAAGACATGTTTTCAATGCTAGACAATATTTCCCAATTACATGCATTAATTTGCTTTGATCGGGTTATCAGTTGTGGATTGTGACATATTTCCACGTTCACGGAGGTACATATACTTTCATATTCTTTAATCAGCACCTACCGGCTGCTTGAATGCGTAAGGCTAAGCTAGGCCTAGCGTCGAACTTTTCATGAGACGAACTTAATTCTAATTTGGGCCGACCTAAATTAGATTAAGATCATCTGCTGGGTAAGACGTCGAACTTAGGACGCATCGAAACAAACAACTGAATCAGACCAAAAAGTAACTTTATTAAATTTTCTCTCCAACGAGCTGAGGCTAAATATACCTTATCAAACAATTTTTTAACCTTCGGAAGTACAAGGTGGGGGGGGGGGATGCCCCCGCCCCCCCGAGGTTTTTCTGAGGTTTTCCCTAGAGGATAAAACATCAGTACCTGACGTTTTTACTAGCTGTTTTTTTCATCCCTTGCGCACTTTTTGAGACAAGTTCATTGATGGCCAGTTGCTATGATTACGAGATATGACGTCATAAGTAGCAGATGGTCAAGCCATTTTTGGGTTAAAATACATGTTTTTTTTTCAACTTATAAAAGTAAATCTTGTAGTTAAAATCACGCAAAGTGTTTATTTATGTGTTATTTTGCATGTAAAGCCCAAAAAATACTATTTCTCGCAGTTTTAACCTGATTTCTAATTCTTGATAACATCCAAGATGGCGGCCAATATGGCGACCATTGTTGGTGAGGTCCCACGGCCTCCAGCAGCGCCACCATCCATAAAATATAACTCATCTTGTTAAGAAGATCAAAGGCTTTCCACTAAATGTAACATGTCAGAAACTCCGGGGAGGGGTTCCATCCACCCCGGCCCCTTGTTCAACGGTGCATGTATGTCCGAGGGTTATTTTATCAGTTTAGTCCAACGCATGTGAAGATCGACATTTGTCGTGTTGGACGATCCCTACTAATTCAGACGAACTTAACTGGGCCAGACCTCGAACTTTCATGAACTTAACTCACTAAGTTCGGCAACTCTCATGAAACGTTCGATGTTTGGCCTAGTCCTAAGTCAAACGTTTTTCAGGTACAGCATAGCTATTTGCAATTTGCCTGTCGTTTACAATGTTTTGAGCTCGGGGCTATGTTCCATAAACAAGTAAATAAGATGAACTGGGTATAGAAAAATGAAACGTAATATTATTGCCAGCTTATCTTCTAAACAGAACAATTGAACATTATCATCAATCCCCAGTCGATGCAAGTTTCCTATTTACACATTTCTTTCTTTGTAGGCTCTTCGTCGCGAACGTGTTCTAAGGCAGGAAATTGGGGAAAACCGAACTTTACAGGCTGCGCTTCTCCTGAGTTTCTCAAGCTCGCCAACATGGTATATTGTTATCTTATTTGAGAACAGGAGACCTTTAATAATTAACAATGAGAATTAACAATTAGTCGCCGAAGGAGATGTGAATATCGGCGAATAGTCACTGAGACGAAGTCGAGGTGACTATTTGCCGATATTCACGTCGCCTGAGGCGACTAATTGTTTTAGTATAATTACATTCATGATTATTAGAGAAAATAAAATTATTGATCAATTTCCGACTCCGAAACATAATAAATCTGGCTGCCATTTTGAAAACTGCTAGCCTTCAATGTTATAATCACCACGCGATGATTATAGCGGGATAAAGCAAAACTCCTAGCCAATCATAGCGCTCTATTTTCGATAATCGTCAATGTAATTATACTAATAGAAAAGAAAGAATTTTCCATTTCAAATTGATAAAAGAAACAAGAACAAAAACAAAAGAAAAAAAAAGAACAGTTCTGAGTTTACAAGGAAATAAGTACAGGTAATACCGACGAGTCAATCTTTGTCGGCCTGTTTAATTTTGTCCTAATATGTTTTCGTTCGTGTCTCTGTAACACAGTGTTGTTAATAATGGTTATTTGCGCTATTTACATTGAACCTTGGTTGTAGGCCATTTGCACGAGGCATTGCTTGCTTAGTGCAAATTAGGGTTTTTGTTATCAAAAACCTTGCTGGGATTACCAAATTACAATGAGGAAAAAAAAAAGCGAGATGAATTCTGGTCTTACTGGTAAAAAGACGTCATCGTACAAATGGCCTAAAGTATTAAATTCACAAATCTAGTGTTAGATATGGCACCAGTACAATGGCTTATAAGAGTTCGTCCACACGAATCTTAATTTTTTTGAAACCACATTTTTTTCTCTTTTCTTTCCGTTTCTTTTCTTTATTTCTTTATTTCTTTCTTTATTTATCTTTCATTTTACACGAGGACCTTCCGTCCACACAAAACTGAGTGAACCCACTTGTTGAAACTGCATCTTTTTTAATCGAAACTGTACTCTCCAGAATGTTTTGTTTTGTTTTATTTTATTTTGTCTTTTGTTTCTTTTTTGGATCCGTCAGATTTGCAAATTCGTGTAGGCGATTACAACCGGATATTTCCAAATTTATTTAATTATGACGTTTTATCCTGTCTTGGCTTGTATGGACGAGGCCTTAAAAGCAAGACTTCTTTAACCTGAACTTAATTCTAAACTGCCCTTTTCATTTAGACGCACGCAATTATGGGTGGCCTTCATTCAGACCTCAATGTTGGACAAGTGCTTTCAAAACTCTTTAGTGTTACACAGCCAAGAAGTAACAGCGCTAGCTCCTCAAGACCGGCACAGATCTATGGGGGAGACTTGATTATAGCAACGGATATACTTTTTCAAATAGCTGAATATAATGATAGATTTGGTAACGTTAGTTCGAAAGAAGATTTCCAAAACTACGTAAAAGTGGCCAGTAATTTATTGGAACCAGTAAACAGAAGAACTTGGATAGATCTTGATAAAGTAAGTCTGTTGACCTGGCATTATGTTGCATGGTAACATTGCCATTTCTTGTTTACAAGACTAGCTTCTTTAAGATATTTCTCTTCAGCTCATGTCAAGACATCAGATATCAAAACGTGACTGAAGATTCGGAGATGCAGCAGAATTCTTAAACTGACAAGCTACTGCTCATTACCTACAAAACGTCCCCTTACACGTGTCCTTATATCATTGTGGCGCCTACACTTATTTCCAATAAACACTGCTTCTCTTCACCGATCAGCTAGCGAGATTTAGGTGCGTGTGTGCGCGCAATTTGAATATTACAACCTGTGATCAGAAGTTCCTTTGGAACAAAAAAGAAGAAGAAGAAGAAGACTGAACCACCTCACCACGACCTTGTATTTTACTATGCATGTTAAGTTTTATTTGCTCTTTATAGTTGATGTGTTTGTAAGTTATGACCTATTCCTCTCTCTTTACGTTCTTGGCTTACTAATGTCTTGTGAGTAACTGTGCCCATTTTTGTAGGTAGCTCTCTTTAAAACGTTTTACTATATAAAAGCGTATGGGATTAAATAGAGCCGAAATCACTTGTGGAACCTGCCGATAGACAGTTAAGACATTTAGATATTTGCCTCCCTCATCTGCAGGAGCTCAAATGAGGCGTGCACAGATTCTTAATGCAGGTGGGAGTGCAAAACTTGGTCGGTAAGCGACGAGGGAAGCGCCCTTTTGAGTTCTCGCGCTTGCGCTCAGTCGACATCCAATAACGCCCCATCGAAGTTCTGCGGAAAAGTCTACATAATAAATTGTAGAGCTCAAAAGGACGTCGGACACCTCTTAAACCCTTGTCCTTAAAGAAAACCTTAATGTTAAAGTTTTAAGTTTTAAGGAAAAGAGAAGAAACACCAACTTAAAAGACAGCAAAGAACCTTGAACACTGTCAGATACTCATGGGCTCCTGACACGGTTTACTACATTAAATTTACTAATAGCCACTGCGCTAAGGCGGTGCAGTCGGTGTCAACAGCCATATAATCGGCACAAGTGCAGTGATTTTTTTTATAGTTTTTCTGATTGTAAAACACAATCGAAACTCTAATTTATATCTTTTCCTAACAAATGGGCTTCCGTTTTTATTGACCTTATCATATTCTTATTGGGTTTCGATTTCCAAAACATTAATTTTAAGGTAACCATAACTATCGCTATACATAGTTGCAAAACATAATCTCAGCTCTATGTTTTGCGCTTTGTTTTCTTTGGTAGTTATGAATTTCCTACTTATAACAAATGGTACGTTGTCTAAAGCACAGGAGTGTTCTACCCCCTTTTGAGGTATAGGACAAGATTTTCACAGCAACAGCAATTATTAAACTCGTTTGAATTCTCTACAGGCTGGTCAAAACAAGAGTCAAATGATGGTTAACACAATGGATGCATATGGACTGGGAGTCGCCGCCACACTTAACGCATCGACGAAAATGGTTTTTCAACCCAGAAATTTGATGATGAGGATTGATTACGTTGATCAAAAGAGCCCGGTACAAACAACTCAACTTGTACTCTATCAGTACAATGCTATTAGAGCCCCTTCCATGGGCCTAGTTGACAGGGCTGGGCCGGTAACCGGGACGAAGCAATTTTTCCTTGGGCTCACATGAGAAACTTCAGCCCGGTTTCTGAGACGAAAAAAAAGCCGAAGACCCTGGCGACGAGCTCTAGCACGAAATTCGAGAAACAAAGCAAACATGGCGAAACACAAAGTTAAAACGTTCGCGCCTATCATAGCTTTGGCAACTCTGATCTTCTAGCTGTATCACTGCAGTCAAATGGGATTCTTATAATGTTGAAAATACAGCAGGCAAAGTAAGACGATACCATCCGGGCCGCTAAATTCATCCCGTCTTCATCTAGATTAGGCTGAATTGTTCATATGGCAACCCACTTACCGAGGCCCCGGTTGGAAAAACCGAGATCACGGTGACCGAGCCAGCCAGCCTTTTCCTATGAGATCCCGGAAACTGGGCCAACCCTGTCAACCCGGCGGGCTGATGTGTGAAGAGGCCCTTAATAAACTAGAAATGCGTGTCTTGCAAACCCTGGCGAAACTCGGGGTGCCATTCAAGTTATAGCCTGTTCCAGGCGTTCAGATAGTGGGGAGCGGTGCGAAGTAAAAAGGAGCGCGAAAAAGTAAAGCGAGGGAGGAGGAGAGGTGAGAGAAGGAACGCCTGTAAGATTTGTTTTAAATAGACTCTTCCGCCCACTCAGACCGCATCAGCTATAGATGGTCTTCACTTGTCAATCATGACTGGTGTTACAACCCCATACATTTATTATTTTTCTTGCGAATAAATCAAAATTTCTCAGAGCAAAAATTAATATTATGTGTACATAATCTTGCTAAAAACCTAATGTAAGAATTTCAGACAACAGAGAGCTGGAGAAGTGTTCATGTACAATGAATTTTTTTACGGCTTTAAAACATGATTTCAGCGTGTATGTGAAAAAATTATGAATCAAGCGACAAACAAATATCGCTCATTTCGAAAGAAAGCCGTTAACTCAAGCAATGAAAATGCACAACAATTGAAGGGAAAATTTACTATTCGATGATTGAGTGGACGATGAGTAGCGATGATTGCAACTAGCTTTCCAACCTTTCCTTCTTGAAGACAACCACGATTTGGGGCTTCAGTATACAATTTCACAGCTTCCCCTTTTAACTCCGATTATCTTCAAATGTTCCACTTGGTCTTTCATGATGGCAATCAACAGAGTTACCACAACAGTCGTAAATGGCATTCTATCCTGCCTTCATTCCAACGCACGCTTTATTGTAGGAAAAAGCCTGAAAATAAGACTTTTTCCAAAACATCTATCCTCCCGACTAGGTGTTTTAAACAGTTCTTTGCTCTTCGCGTTTAGCCTCCACGTTTGGAAAGTCACTCAGCGCTGTGGTTGTTGCGAGTTCGAATTCTGCGTGATGGGACGTACAGTCTCTCATCACTGCCATATCGCATTTCTCTCTGTGATCGAAGACGCTCCACTGTTGACAAAAACTGTCAAAATCAACCAATCAGAGGGTATACCAGGATCTGGTATACCGGAACGCACTTTTGTTAAAAATTCTTACAAGAATTCCCGCACCTCTCTCCCCAATCCCCCTCTACTTTTCATCGCTTTCTTTACTTCGCAGCGCTCTCCACTATCTGAACGCTTGGAACAGGCTATTCAAGTTAAGGCCTGCCGGGAGGGGTAATGGAAACTGGTTTATGTTGAGAGACTAGCTAGAGACCTGTTTGGAAAGTCCCGGTAACTTTTCGGGCCAGGAAAACTATTTTGTGTTGCTGTGTTTCATTCAAGATCAAAGTCTCAATAATTTTGAAAATACTGCAATGAAACTATCAGTTAACGAAGCAAAACTGACATTTTGTTTGTTTGGAACTGTGCTACTATTCAACGGGTTTTGATTTGAAAAATTTGCCTTCGGGCCAGAAACGTTTCCGGGTCCTTCGAGGAACGGGCCCCAGCCGTGAATATCCTTCTATTTTTTTTTTTTTTTACGTTTCATTGCCTTATTTGAATCATTAATGGTCAGTTGCTATGGTTACGAGATATGACGTCATAAGTATCAGGACTTCAAGCCAATTTTTCGTGAAAATACATGTTTTTTCATTTTTTTCAACAATAATGGTAAATCTTGTGACTAAAATCCTGCAAAGTGTTTGTTTATGTGTTATTTTTCATGTAAAGCACAAAGAATTACTATTCCTCGCGGTTTTAACCTGATTTCAAATTCTTGGTAAAATCCAAGATGGCGGCCAAGATGGCGACCCTTCCTCTAAAGGTAAAATCGTTTCAAAATACTGTAACATATCAAAAACTCCGGGGAGGGGTTACATCCACCCCCCTCCCCCCTTGTACCACGCTGGGGGTATGAATTTGCGTGTACGTCCGAGGGTTAATTTGAAGCTACAATAGGTGAATGCTGATTAGTAGGTTCTTTACTCTCTAGAATAGGTATTCATTCTTTTTGATTGCGTCTGACATGTACTTGTCAAAACCAAACATAAAATAGACGAAATGTTGACAGACATTTTAGAATGGAGACAAACTTTGCCAAGGACAAGCTCGAATAGAGCCAAATTTAGTAGCTACAGGCCAAGGAATTGACCTATAAGAATAACGGAGGGTTCTAAAATTTCTTGATATTGCAGGGAACCCGCTTAAATTAGAGCTTTGCTGTGTGTTTGAGTGTCTATAATGTGAGAGGTTACGCTCATTTTCTCTCTTTCAGCTGCGCAAAGATGGTTTGCAGGTTGCATACAATCAAAGCTCCATCTTCTTACCTCCACAAGTTTTTCATTCCTCTCAAGATTCCAAAGTTGTTACCTTGGTTTATTTGACATTGGGCGGTGTGTTATCACTCAAGAAAAAAACTGGTGGCAAGATGTTTCCCAGAACTACCATCGTTTCTTCTACAGTTGAGCCCAGGCCCCTGGACGACTTAAAGAACCCTGTTAAGATTATCCTTCAAAACAGAAAGGTATAAAGACAGTTTTGGTCACAAAGTTTTATTTAAATACGGTCATTTGGTCGTCGATCGTTGACGGCTGCATAGTACATGTATTTCCTGAAAAGGTCATTTTTTAGCGTTGGTCCTAATTCTTAAAGCCAGATGCTGAATAGTTGGCGTAGTTTGGGGTATTCTGATTGACAAATGACACATGCATGTTGATGTGCGCCATACGCACCGGCGCTGGAAATTTCAGGAACTCTGCTATATGGCTACAAGATTTAGTGGTTGCTGCAGTGGATTTTTGCAATTTCCAAAATAAAATGATCGGCACTGTTTCAGTCTCAATTATATTTAATTTCGACTGTCTTCAAATGACTACAGAAAACAGGCCCCAGTTGTTCGAAGGCCGATTAGCGCTAACCGAGGGTTAAATTTTAACCTTGGTTTCTTTTTCTTTTGTTCAAAAGAGCTTTCCCGGATAATTTTCTTTATTCTTTTAAGAGCAACAAATCATCAATTTGTAGGCAAAAAGAATAAAACTGAATTTGCCTTTTAAGCTTTCATATCTGAATTCAAATTTCGTACTAACCCCGGTTATCTTAACCCTGCTTTGAACAACCCGGCCCAGGAAATTAAAGCGAAAGGGGGAAAGAAAGGCTTCATTCATAACCATTCCACTTCCTTATCTAATGTTAGAACTGAGCCTGAGCGTTATAAATGAAGTACTTTCAGCAACAGCGTGGTTAACATATTTGAAGTTTATCTGTGTCTCTTTTCAAGGTGCTTCCACGTGCCGTCACGTCAAAGGAGACGCATTGTGTCTTTTGGCGCCCAAAAGAACCGCCTGCCATGTGGAAAACCAGCGGCTGCCAACTTGTCCGCAGCCAGTCAAACGCCTCAATCACAACATGTGAATGTGACCATCTAACTGTCTTTGCAGCTCTTATGGATCCATACGGTTTAAATGTAGGTACTACATATTCGTGATAGAAAGAACAGTCAATTTGGATTTTCTCTACTTGCTTTGAATGCGGACGTTTCCTGGTTCTTTTTAATTATTACATTTCACTTTTAATTAGATCGCGTAGATTCCTACTGACACTGTTTACCTTCGCACGTGTCTTTTAAGGAGCTATGCCAAGATTTCTTGGCTTTATTACGAAAAAAAATGTTGAAATCAAAGACAATCATTAAATAATTGTTTAGTTCTTAAACTTATTCTACTGCTGAACTTCAATATATAAGTATATGTTTTTGGCTTTCCATGGCCAGGATGGAGAACGACTGGTACGGTAACTTGACATAATTTGGCCGACGTTTTAGGTTAAACTCCAGTGTTTTCGAAAAATAACCAAAAACTGATTAATGGCTTTCACTTCGACAGAATCATTATTTGATATTCAATCTTTTAGACTGTCCCAAGTATGAGCAAAGATGCCAGAGAAAACTTAGTTATAATCTCAGTGCAGCTTTGACAATGAATGTGGAACTCGCTATGACTTAGGGCCTGTTTACATGGAGGTGGGGAACCCCCGGTAGGTGAGGTAACCAGCTTAAGTGGGGTAACGAAATATTCCTCCATTACTTGCAATCTTTCGACCCCGCCATCCCGGAGTGCACTTTCTCAAGGTTATTGAATGGTCGCTAAGTACGTAAACAAGAAAAGTGCCGGTAAACCACGTGCTATGGCGATTAATGCTCGTCTACACTCACTTGCTGCTCTTGCTGCAACCTTCAGTGCTGTGGCTTTCTATTGTTGCCTTTAATAATGATGCAAAGCCACCGTCAAAGTGATTCTTGTGCGAATTTGATGTACCCCACCTTGAACGTTTACATGGCAAAATTTGACCCCGGCTGAGAGGGTTACCTTGGCTGGTCACCTCCCCTTTCATGTAAACGTGATCAAATTAAAATGAGAGATCATAATTATGGACAGGCGGGTTACCCCACCTAAGCGGTTTACCTCACCTTCCTGGGATCCCCCACCTCCACGTAAACAGGCCTTTAACCCTCTTTATCCGCCACGTTCCATTCCAGCTGTCTTAGTTTGATTTTTGCCACGTTTCTCGCCTCTAAAATACTCCCCATTCTTAGCTTGAATTGTTGCCTAATTCAAAGACCGAAGATGCTTTGTATCTCGATGAGTAAACTCCGTATCATAACTAACATTTTAATATTCACTGCGTTATTCTTTCTGCTACATGCTGTAGAGAAGCCTACGTTTTTGTACGTTTTGTCTTTGACTATCAAAACATTGTAATTAACGGAAATAGCGTTTTCGGGTCAAGTAAGTATACCGTGGTCGCTTCTAACCGACTCCCTTATCTTTTTTTAAGACGACATTACCTCACAAGCAAGCCTTGGAAATCATATCGATAATTGGCTGTTCCATCTCACTGTTTTCTGTTCTTCTTACCATGGCTGTTACTTTGGTCTTCTGGAGGGAAATTAAAGGTTCGAGAGTAAAAGTTTTGCTAAACTTATGCGCTGCCATTGCCTGTAGTTGTATACTTGCTATACTGGAAGGCTCAGCAAGAAACAAAGAGGTATGTAAAATTTTTCTAATTAGAAGACAATATCGTGATAGACTCCACACTATAGGACACTTGCACTACGATGATGTCGTTTTTCTAAAACTTCCAAAATTCTTCCGTTTGTTGTTGTCTTGTGTAAATTAGAGGGCTATTGATTTTTTAAAGCTCAGTGAGATTGACAAATTTACTAATAAGAAAGCAAAAACTGAAATAAATTCTGGTAGCTGAAGTCAAATGTCCGACCTATCGTGTCGCCACCAAGAGCGGGCTCTTGGTCGCCACTGATAAATTGCCTATCTGAATAATTATTCAAAGAAATATTCGAGTCAGCGAAGTAAGCCTCTGTCGGTCGTTCACGTATCAGAAAATAGTCTATACGCCGCTTGCACATCTCCCGTAATGCAAGTTTCACCCCCCCCCCCCCTCCTTTCCACCACCACCCCTCGGATTTTTGCATAAGCATTGTTTTCAATTTGTTTTTGGGACGGCTGTGATACCCAAAATGCAAAATTTGGGGGAGCAAATAAGGTGCATTGTGGAAGGTACAAGTGGCGTATTAAATATATAAGTTAAAATGATTTGTAGTCTTCTGTATTATCTTAACTTGTAGCCCGAGTGCACTGTGGTCGCTGCCCTACTGCACTATTTTTTGCTCGCCCTATTTTCATGGATGCTGTGTGAAGGCATACTGCATTACATTGTTATCGTACGAGTTCTTCATGGACACGCTGAGGATAAAGTCAAGTTCTTTTACTTGTTTGGATGGGGTAGGTACACTCTCTAAGATTTTCCTGTTGGAAGAAACGAGTATATAATACTGTGTAAGGCAGTTATTATCCCTGTAAAACAGGACTAGACTGGACTCTTCGCGTTCATTTGAAATATATAAGTCTGTTAAATAAATAAATAACAAAATGAAAAAAGATACCTGGCCTACCAGGAAGGAGATTTTAGGTCAGTCCTGCTAAGGGAGGAAAAATTACGACTACAAAACGCCGTTGTGACTAAATTACCACGAGACTTAAGGTGGCTCCGTAATTAATACGAAAGCATTTAGCTGTGACAAATTTTCCGTCATAACTTTTTCGTTTTTACGCGATCCCTGCGAAACTTTGAAAAGAACAACAGAAGTCATTTGGTAATAATGTGAAATTTTCCGATTTTATTGATGGTAAATATTTCTTGAGAAATTAGCGCTTAAAAGTACCCTACTGTTCAAAGAAAATCGCGTCAAGCAAAAAATTTTCCTGATATTTTTAACTGAAATTTCTGGTATCGGCTTTTATTGATATAATAAATATGCCAAAGAAATTTCAGAAAAATCGTTGGAGCAGAAGTCCATAACTAAAAGTCGCTCAAAATTCAGCTGTAAAATTGTTTTAGATTTCAAAAATAAATTACTATCAGGTAGAAGGAGCCACCAGTTCGAATTTTCGGGACAAGTAATTTCAATGTTTGCCAATTCTGAAAAAAAAAAAGCCGATTGCCTATCGTGCTATTCTTTAAAATAAACTTTTTAGTTTTAGAAGCACTATGAATTGCTCCAAACCTTGCTCTGAAGTCGAATGACGTCTTCCTCGACATTTTTATAACATCACAAGGCAGTTTTGGTTCAAACTACTGCTACATACATTTTGATGTATCGCAATGCATCCTCAACGGCTTATCCTACTATACGTTGCTTCCAATTCAGGAAAAAGGTATTCGGATTGTAAGCTACCTTCTATCGAAGCTCAGATAGGACTGTCCAGCACTTTTGTTTATGACCAGAAAATGAGCACGAGCGGCAGCTCTGCGAGGAATTCGCACCTCAGCCAGGGGGGACGAATGGCAATGATGTCCATGTCTGCGAACTGAACTCTGTATGTATTGCAGAGCAAAACAAAATAATCAAGAAAAAAAAACTACCCATTCATTGAAGGAAGGAGTGACAAAAATTTCAGAGTTGTAAATTTATTGACGGGCAGTATTTTTGCGATAATTTTATTTTGCACTGTGGTATGTAATTCGGTTCACAGGCATGGGCATCATTGTCGTTTGTCCCCCCTGGGTGAGGTGCGAATTCTTTGCAGAACTGCCACTCTAGCTCATTTTGTAGTCATAAACAAAGGTGTTGGACAGTTCTATCTGAGCTCTGATAAGAGGTAGCGTCCAATCTAGCTCAATACCTCTTTCCTGAGTTGGAAGCAACAAATGGCAGTAAAAGTCGATGAAAATGCATTGCAGCACATCAAAATGTACGTAGCAGGAGTTTGAGCCAAAACTGCCAAGGGATATTTTAAAAATGTCAAGAAACAAGTCATTCTACTTCAGAGCAAAGGTTGGAGCAATTTATAGTGCTTCTAAAACTAAAAAGTACCCTTTAAAGAGTAGCACATCTTTTCGTCATCGTTTTTCAGCAAAAGAAAAATAAAAACGCTGCTAAGTAAGGAAAATCTTGCGAATGTTGAGAATACAAAGTTCTTCACGTTCCCTCAATTTGATTTAGTGTAAACGTGGTCACGTGCACCTTTTGATCGATACTGTCGGCTATAAAGCGTTTTCCCTCACATGGTCAGTATCTATGTAAATTTATTGGAACAAAAGAAAGCGTTTGCACAAGAAAAGAGTTCAACTCCTACAGGATTGGTTTGAGACACCAACAAGGTCGCCGTTTCATTGTTTTGGGACACCAATATGACCGCCGTGACGTCACGTGAAAACACTCTATATCACATAAACCTGACGAAGAATCTAGTCTAAATTCCATCACTTCAGGGTTTCTTGTAAGAAAGTTTAGTAGGTAACATGATTGTTGCGTCTTTTCTGCGTCTATACATGAAAATATAAACAAAAACAAAAACAAATAAATAAATAAATAAATAACGAAAACAGCCGAAAAAAGGCACCAATAAAAGAACGAAGAAAACAAACCAAGGGGAAAAAACACACACACACACAGAATAGCGGCATGATGCTGTTAAGATGTTATTATGCGTGTCATGTTGGTGTCTAATTACCGTAAAATTCCAATAATAAGTCCGGAGGGTTATATTTTTCAGAGGCCCATTTTGAGGGGTTTATATTCGGAGCGGCTTATGTAGGGAGGGAAATTCGCGTTTCCAAATCGATTGGACTAGCCTCATACTTGAAAGGAAGTTTACCATTTTTCTTTGTTTTACTTTGTATTTAAAGGCAATTTCCAAACTTCCAAGTACAATCCCACCCCTTGGAGGGGCGATTTAACGTTAAGAGTTTGAGAGGCTTATACATGGAGGGGCTAATTTTCCAAATTTTACGGCATGTTTTCAAATTTCTAGGTTTTCCAGCCATAATGGTTATAATTTCGCTGTCTGTCACCCAGCTGAAAAGATATGGTCACAAAGAAGCTTGCTGGTTAAATGCTGATGAGGGATTGATTTGGGCCTTTATTGTCCCAGCTCTAGGTGTTATTCTGGTCAGTAAAAAAAAACACATTTAACGTGTCTAGTCTTATCATGCCTAACCCAGGCGCGGATCTAGGATAAGTACTGACTGATTTCCTGAACGAGCACCGAACTCGCAAGCTTATCCGGGGGTAGGCTCCCCAAGGAAATGTTTTGGATTTTTTAAAAATCCTTTAAGTCCCCTTTCCTGGGTTTCCGATTCATTCAGACGGGATATTGGCCAGATTTCAACTTGGAAAGTGTTTTTTTATTTTTGTTATAAAAAATATATTTCTTTTGAAAAATCTGACCGATTTCCTGTGGAAACCCGTGTGGATCCGCGCCTGTACCCTTATGGTAGATTAAGCCTTTTCAACCATTTGAACCGACTGTTGTTTGAAGATGAAAAATATTCTATCTGCGCAAGTGTGTTTTGAAGTCTCCCTTCCTCAACGCACTATCAATAAGCAAATCGTTGTTTAAGTTGGAGGCAGTCAGCTACTGAAGCTACACCTAATTTCCCTTCTATTTCTCCTTTGAAATATTTCAGAAAAGCCTAGATTATAAAGATTATAAAGTTATCTGTCATAGGCTCTTCAAGATAATAAATATTTTGGCCCTGCCGGAACCAACTGATGCCGGGTCATTCTAAAGGCTTACAAACCAAAAAATTCAGTGAGATGTACGGGAATAGACATTGCAAAACTGGAGAAAACATGGAATTCATTCCGAAGGTCTAAAACTTGTTATTGACTAGTCGAAATGTCAATGAAAATAGTTTGTGTTGGTAAAACATGTCTTCCAATAAATTGCATTCCGTAAATAATGGTAAAGTTTTGTTGCTGAAAGTACATTTAGGATGATTAAAACAGTTTCCGGTCGCCTGTTGCTTCGTCGGGATGGCAACAGCCTTAGAAAACAGCCTACATTTCGAGACGCCACCACTGGTTTCCCTGCGAAATGACGTAGAGACGAGTGCAGAAATTCCATACTGATGACATGACGCGTCACTTCCCAGATCTGGTTAGTACTTCTGATTGGTCGTGCCGCGTGGAAAATTTTCTTCGGCTAGCCATATGCACTTACCAGATCTGGGCAGTGACGCTTCATCAGTATGGAATTTCTGTGCTCGTTTCTCAGACGTCAGTTCGCGGGGAAACCAGTGGTGGCGTCGCGAAATGTTAGTTGTTTTGTCAGGTTGGGATGGCAATCAAACTTAAAGATTTTGAAAAAATCACTAAAAATATATTATGGTTAGTGATCCCCGATCGGATTAAATTTGTCTGATGTCTTCTTCATAACTCTACAGTAGCATCTTGTGTATGATGGAAACGCCATTAAGTAATGCCAAGTAAAACATGGACCTGAAACAAAATGCTCGCGACATTTTCCGCCTTGAAGCTCAAAGAGTAACGTGGTTTCGAGGTTACTTGCCAAAATTTTTGCAACTTTTACAGGTTGATATGGTAGTATTTATTTTGGTTATGCGCCAAATGATGGGGGAAAAATTCATGCAATTTCTGTAACTTTTACAGGTTAATATCGTGGTTTTCATTTTGGTTATGCGCCAAATGATGGGAACAAAATATATGCAGAACAAGACACAGGTCGAAAAAGTGAGAACTGGAGTCAAGGCCTCTGGGGTCATTCTTCCATTGCTTGGAATCACTTGGCTGTTTGGGTTATTGAGTTTCAATTCGGACACCATTCTCTTCAAATATATATTCACCATATTCAACTCTCTTCAGGGCTTGATGATCTTCATATTTCATTGCGTTCTTAACAAACAGGTAACACAAGGGTTTGTTTTCTTGTTTGCATTTATTTATGTCTTATTTACAGTTTTTGTTTTGTTTTGTTTTGTTGTTTTTCAGTCTTGGCATTTTTTTTGCTAAATTTAGCCAGATTAATTAACACTTTTTGTTGCGATAATAAACGTGACACGAACTTAAGTCCAGTTTATTCTGATTTCCCTCTCGGGATCATTTGCAGTCGACTATGGGGATCACTTGTGGTCGAGGATAATTTGCGGTCCATTTCTTGACGTTAGGGATGTCATCGTTCTCGTTGCTTAAGCTCGCTAATATCTCATTTCAATCAACCGGTGCTTGCGCATATTGTCCGTGTTCCCCTTCAGTAGGTAATAAATAACTGACTTAGACTTAACTAAATTTTATCACTTGACCTCAACAGATAAAAGACGCATTTAAAAAGCGAAGAAGAAGATGGGTCTCTACACGTCATGACAAGAGGACATCCCTGAACCTAAAAAATAAATTTGAGGCAGGAAAAGGTGAATTTGGCACTGAATGTTTTTCTCTCATTATTGTTGTTATTTTTGGCCATGCGCACGACGTTGGTGACCACCTTTTTGTAAAAAAAAAAAAAAAAACAAACAAACAAAAAATATATATATATATATATATATATATATAATATAAAATACTTCATCTGCTATAAGAGTGCTCAATGGTAACACCAGAGCTGTAAATAGATAAAAGATGAACTTCTGGAGTCGGACTAGTCCGAGTAGCGATTAAATGTTTTTGAACTAGTCCGACTCCAGAAGTTCATCTTTTATATATATATATATATATATATATATATATATATATATAAATTGCCTGATAAGTGTGGTCCTTGCACCATGCGAAACAGTTCTGTAGCAATAAAACGATGATTACTCTAGAAACCTGAACTTCTGTGAAGTTATATAACAAATAAAAAAAACGCATGTAAACAGGCCCTAACTTTTACAGTTCCTCTAACTCGTACGTAGAAACTTGATTTTCTGCACGATTCCTCTGCAATTAATGTGCATTAAAGCTAGTACATACTTTCTGCATGAAGCTTTAAGTTAATGACAGTTAACTGTTTATTGTATTACATTTTATCGATTTACTTGCTCTTAACTTTAGCAGCGAAAGACCTGTCAAATCCGATCAAGGATGGTGTCGATGAGCTGCCAGAGATACGAGGAATTCATTCTGACACCATGAAGTTCAGCACTTTCATAAGTCAAGATGATGTGGGCAGCGGTGTTGTCCAGGATCTACCTTTGGAAGGCAACATCAATTTAACGCTGAATTCAGATGATTAATTTCAAATTTATGCTAGCAACCATCGAATTTTGGTTTTTCGTATACACATTTGATTTACTTTCTGAAACAGAAATTAAGTTTCATTTTTAGGTTATATGAAGTGCATGCTGGATTGATGGAGTTTTGTAATAAGCCCTTTTAATTTTGATAGAATTTCGAGTTAAAGTTAAACTGCATGAAGGTTATTTAATATTTTCAAGATGTCTTAGAAACAGCCTCTCTTGCACAGGTGCACATCCGATGGCTTTTAGGCATCCTAATACACAAAGTGCCAACCTTGATTGATTGACATCCTGCAATGGTTGTTTTCCGAATAATTTTAGCGTTAAGATTTTTGAAGGGCCTGCCTGTGGGCAGAACACACGCATTGAGCTGAGTTTGAGGCATAGTCGAACAGCACCTGTCGTGTAGAAAACTTAGACCTGAAAGTTATAAGTTATTCTTTAAAGACATATTTTACCTTGTATTGTGGCAATCATGCAAAATTTAAGACTCTTACACATACATAAACTAAAAATCTTGTAAATGATTTGTGAATCACAAAATAAAGAAAATGTTGAATTGGCAATGACATCACCATGTTGCCGTGGATACTTTAAACAATAATTTGAAACTACCTCACCCACCAACAAAAACAAATCGACCTCCTGCTTCGTTTGACGAGCCTGTCTATTTCGTGACCATACGACAGTGAGTTTGGCTGACTGGCCGGTATTTAATAATTTATCGCTCTATTTTTAAAGAAATGAATAGTGCAGCGAATCTAGGTAATTTTTAGGCAATAATTTTAAATATGACGTCAATACGACTTCACATTATGTCATCGTGACAATCAAATTAAACCTATTAGATGTTAGAAATATTGCTGTGGCTATATGGCCGGAACCGGTCAAGGTTTTCAAAACATTAAATGACTGGAGATTAAGAAAAGTCAAGCAATTCTAAAACGCTTTATAGAGCCCAACGTAAACCAAACGCTAAACTTGAGGATCTATAAAGAGGGGGGAAAGGGGGTAAATAACCCATTACGGGGATTAAGATTTCGTGTTCACGTTTCATGGAAATTTCCGAAGCAACAGGACAGTCAGTGCATGGCTGGACCTGTTCGCAGGCTTGGTCATAGTTTAGGACGACATATATAATAGGAACGACTGTAAGGGCCAGTTATTTAAAACAAAGGCCAACTTGAGCCGCGGTTTTAAGAAATCATTGGGCATCCAGATCTCTTTCTATGAAGTGGGTTATTTTAACCCTTTGGTGACGGCCGGCGAGTAGAGAAAAAACATCATTTCTCGCCAATTCATATTCATTGGACTAATGTTCGGCTAATTAGCATAATTATAGCTAAAAACGAGTTTTTCGCGAAAAAAGACATAGGGCGCTTTCCATTTAGTCAAAATTTTCGGAATTTCCGGTTCGGCGGTAAATGGAACACGTTTCGTCGGTTCGTCCCACTGGAAAATTCGCAGAAAAAGTGGAAAATCTAAAAAGGTGGTCCCGTTTTCCCGGTTGGAATTTACGAACGGAATGTCGTGTTCCATTTACGTTTCTCGTAGTTTGTACCAGTTCCAGGTCCACACGATCGGGCACCGCCACGTACCGGGGTTTACGACCAAATGGAACAACTTTTTACCAATCGGAAATTCCACTTTTCCTACCACCGAAATTTCCGGGTTTTTTTCCTAAATGGAAAGCGCCCATATTTTCCAACTAATCTAATTGTTTTTCACGCATGCGCAAAAGCCAAAATTTGGACTTTTTTGGCGAATCTATTTCGATCTTTCTCTCTCGCTCTCTTTTTTTTCCTTTTTTATTGGCAGTTTTGTTGCCCACTTTATCATCTTCCTTTTGCATGGAATTGTAGCTGGCTAACTTTTTGGGATAGGGACAAATGTAATTTTCAAGGAGTGGTATGTAAACAGCGAAATTGGCAGAGAGTCTCAATGGGGTTAATAACCGATTGGCGTAAAACGGCCAAAACCTTAGTCGAAGCCGTAAAAATTGAAAAATTTAACCGGGGTAAAAACGAGTTGACCGTAAAAGAAGTTGTATCCTAGGTTTGTTAATTTTTAGGAAGGTGCTCAACTCACTTTTGGTTGCGTTATTTATTTCTCGGCTACTTTGACTCCGTACACACGTTAGGCCAAGCGCCTTTAAGTTGTGACCTAGACCTAGGCTCCATTTCCGCCGCTCTCTCTGGGAACTAATGTTATTTCTGACGAATGAGCCCGCGAAGAAGGCAGAAATAAATATTTTGACGGCGCGAGATACAACAGGGCCTGGGTACTAGGCCGGGTGCACCATGGGTAGCCATATCGAGGGTATATAAGGCTGCGTATATCACGTGTTCGTCATCTAGGCTTACTAACCAACCTCTCCTTGGTTTTTCTTAAATTTTTGTTTTATTTATTTTTAGGAGCAACATATTCTCGATTACATTGTAAAGTCCCGTAGGAAGGGCTTTGAGCTTGAGCCTTGGTTCCTACCCAGATTTCCTGCCGCATTTTTTTTCCCTTCGGGGTTTTTTTGGGCAGGTTTTTTCTGGCCTCCGTCTGACCGCATTTACTTCAGTTTGTAAGCGGTAGCTCAGCTCTGCTAGTTTTCAGCCTTTTTCCCGTTTCTTATTTTATGTACTTGTACACTATTTATCTCAGTTTTGCACCTGCTCCTTTACTTGATATATTAAGTTTCCATGTATGCCTAGGTCAGCTGTCCCGGAACCCCTCTTTAGGAGGCGACGTAAGTCTCGTTTGACGCAGTTAGGTTGCAGGCAATGTTACAGACCTCTAGCCAGGGTCGTTATTCATTGTTTACCCTCAATGTCCCGCCCTAGCCTTTTATGGCAGCCTTACTGGTCATTGGGCTACGTGCTTTGTTGGGTACATTATATTAGTGGAGATAATTCCCAGTTTTCCTGGCACTCAGCCTCTGTGCTCCTGAAGTGTTCCCGGTCCCAGTTATACGTTGGTCACAGTTTTATTAAATTTCCCCAGCCTAACTGGCACTAAGCCTGCGTGCTTATTTGGGGGATTCAGATCGAGATCGACCAGTTGTAGCAGTTTTTTTCTTTTTGCTTAGCCTTTGTGCTCCTACCGTGTTCCTCGTGCCAGTTATGCGTTGTCTGAGTTTTATTAATTAGTTTCCCCAGCCTAACTGGCAGTCTAACTGGCACTAAGCCTGTGTGCTTATTTGGGGGATTCAGGTCGAGATCGACCAGCTGTGAGCAGTTTTTTCTTTTTGTTTAGCCTCTGTGCTACTACCTTGTTCCGTGTGCCAGTTATGCGTTGTCTGAGTTTTATTAATTAGTTCCCCCAGCCTAACTGGCAACCTAACTGGCACTAAGCCTGTGTGCTTATTTGGGAGATTCAGGTCGAGATCAACCAGTTGTAGCAGTTTTTTCTTTTTGCTTAGCCTCTGTGCTCCTACCGTGTTCCTCGTGCCAGTTATGCGTTGTCTGAGTTTTATTAATTAGTTTCCCCAGCCTAACTGGCAGCCTAACTGGCACTAAGCCTGTGTGCTTATTTGGGGGATTCAGGTCGAGATCGACCAGCTGTGAGCAGTTTTTTCTTTTTGTTTAGCCTCTGTGCTACTACCGTGTTCCGTGTGCCAGTTATGCGTTGTCTGAGTTTTATTAATTAGTTTCCCCAGCCTAACTGGCAGCCTAACTGGCACTAAGCCTGTGTGCTTATTTGGGGGATTCAGGTCGAGATCGACCAGTTGTAGCAGTTTTTTCTTTTTGCTTAGCCTTTGTGCTCCTACCGTGTTCATCGTACCAGTTATGCGTTGTCTAAGTTTTATTAATTAGTTCCCCCAGCCTAACTGGCAACCTAACTGGCACTAAGCCTGTGTGCTTATTTGGGAGATTCAGGTCGAGATCGACCAGTTGTAGCAGTTTTTTCTTTTTGCTTAGCCTCTGTGCTCCTACCGTGTTCCTCGTGCCAGTTATGCGTTGTCTGAGTTTTATTAATTAGTTTCCCCAGCCTAACTGGCAGCCTAACTGGCACTAAGCCTGTGTGCTTATTTGGGCGATTCAGGTCGAGATCGACCAGTTGTAGCAGTTTTTTTTTTTGCTTAGCCTCTTTGCTACTACCGTGTTCCGTGTGCCAGTTATGCGTTGTCTGAGTTTTATTAATTAGTTTCCCCAGCCTAACTGGCAGCCTAACTGGCACTAAGCCTGTGTGCTTATTTGGGGGATTCAGGTCGAGATCGACCAGTTGTAGCAGTTTTTTCTTTTTGCTTAGCCTCTGTGCTCCTACCGTGTTCCGTGTGCCAGTTATGCGTTGTCTGAGTTTTATTAATTAGTTTCCCCAGCCTAACTGGCAGCCTAACTGGCACTAAGCCTGTGTGCTTATTTGGGGATTCAGGTCGAGATCAACCATTTGTAGCAGTTTTTTCTTTTTCTTTCTGTGAAACCGTGTTTTGCCAGTTATGCGTTGTCTGAGTTTTATTAATTAGTTTCAGCCTAACTGGCAGTTTAACTGGCAAAGCCTGTGTGCTTATTTGGGGATTCAGGTCGAGATCGACCAGCTGTAAACTTTTTTTTTTTTTGTTTTGCCTCCGTTGATGTTGTTCCGTGTGCCAAAATTTTTTTGTCTGAGCGAAAATTGATTCCCCAGCCTAACTGGCAACCTAACTTTAAATAAGCCTGTTTTCTTAGGAGGGAGATTCAGGTCGAGATCAACCAGTTGAAGTTTTTCACTGTTTGTAAAACACGTGGCCGATAAACAACAATTCCCTCTAACAATTTCCTGGTTTTCTCTGACGCTACGGTAGACATTGCCTAGTCCGTGTTCGGCGTCTTCCTACGCAATCTTGGTCAAGGCATTTCGGTAGCGTATCTGAGAGAAAAGACTCGCTCGGACCACGTGACCCGACACACATTAGCCGCGCGAAATTAATGAGGCCTATGGACAAGGCAACGGCAGACAATCGTTCTGTACTGTCCTTCGCTATCATCAAAACACAGGACACGGGAATTTTGTTATTGGCCCTTTTCAAATTAGAGCTAGAAATGCATTATCCGTCTGAGATAGCTTGTGTACAGTCGCCCCCTGCCCCCTTCTCCGATTTTTTCTGAGGGGAGGGGGAGGCTGTGGTTTTAGGCTCTAGTCTGAAACCGATAATCCATCTTTAAACTGTCCGTGAAAACTGACAGATTAAGTCATGCGGATTGTACCCTGGGTTCCAGTGGATTTTTGTTTTCTTATCGATACTGATGGTTCGCAGCGAAGCCACGTCAACGAGGCGCAAAGCGCCTGTAGAGTCTCGGGAGCCTTATCAAACCGAAAGCACCGTTTATTTCATATTAAGTATTTTGAGAACGGACCTCTGGAGCCAGGGTAGGCGGATTGTTCATTCAAAATGAAAACTATGCCATTTTCAAATTAAGACGAAGAACCTATCTGGCCTGAATTATCAAACGGATAACCCATCTTACACAAATAATCCGTCTCTAATGTGAAAACGGCCATTTCTGTTATAAATAAAAGTCGCGCCCCGGGCCTGGACTGTGGGCGTTCGCGTGTCTACTTTTGCTTTTTCACAAAGATTACTTTTAAATTGACTATTGACATTTCTATGCGTAAAATTAAATAATATCAGAAATTGAATACTTCATAAAAAGTATGATCTATCAAATGTTAAATTTCTTCAAAAGAATAGCTTCATTTTATCCCGAGATAATCCTAAGACCTTTACTTGCTTTGAAGATACAAAAAAATACAGGTTTATTAATATTTAACTCTTTGAGACAAAAAACTTATTTTTTAACTTTTGTGTTAACCGTAACTGAAATAAATTAACCGATAGCCGTAAAAGGGCCAAAATTTTAGCCGATAACCGTAAAGGCCACCACCCCTTTGACACCCTCTTGTCAGTGGAATTTTCCTTAAAGTTTTACCTGTTTTTGAGAGTGTAACTCTTTCAGGGTTAGTCAAAATATCCCAAAACGAGGTATCGCTGGAAACCCCTATCTTTGCTGACGTTGTTGCTTACCAATTTATTGACATCAACTGAAAGCTAAATGGGTCAAGGGAAAAATGGATACATTGTACCATATGGGGACGTATACGACCCTAGTCTACCCTGTTGCTGCCATGAAACGTTCACGATAACAGGTGTTAAGATAAAACCGTTGAAAAAAAAAATTGAAAATGGCTTAGAATACGGTTTTGTCAACCACTGGCTAAACTTCGTTTAAATAACCGGCCTTTGAATCTTTTAAGACCTTTTCATTTGACCAGACCTTTTCTTTTTAAGACCTGTTCATTTGAAGGTATACTGGCTTCTCTGTAAAAATTGTCTTTAGTTAAGACTATTTCACGAAAAAGTTAGTTGAAAATCAGAAATACCGGGTAAAAGATTTTAAAGTTCACGTATCACGACAAGCAAACCAGTCACAGTTCACGGGTTTTAATCTTGCATTTTCACCTTTCACGAAAATTAAAAACACTTAATCACGTATCACGCAAAAACCCCTTTCACCCCCTCTAAAAATACACAGCTGTTCATTTCGATTAAAAAAATTGATTTTGATTAAAAGACAATTCATTTCGATTAAACATAATAGTAACTAGAATCAGAAAAAAAGTTTCTTATAGTGTAGTCGCACTATAAGGTCCCTTTTTTTAATTGTCTATTGCATTACATTTTATTTACTTGCTCTCAACTTTAGCAGCGAAAGACCTGTCAAATCCGATCAAGGATGGTGTCGATGAGCTGCCAGAGACACGAGGAATTCATTCTGACACCATGAAGTTCAGCACTTTCATAAGTCAAGATCATGTGGGCGGTGGTGTTGTCCAGGATCTACCTTTGGAAGGCAGCATCAATTTAACGCTGAATTCAGATGATTTCTGAATTGACAATTTTAACGGATTCTGGTTAATTATTTGCATTTACCTCTGAAATAAAAAGATATTTCACTGAAAGAACTATACAGTGATTTTAGTTATACCCCAGCCTATCTCACATTAAAATATGAAAGAAATCGAATTTTCCACCCTTACCGCGGAATTTTGAATTTGTCTGATTTTTAACAAACATACGCTCTTAACATTTCTACAATTAACAGAATTAACATTATTTTTATTTTACTGTAATTAAAATGTTTACTGTGCAGTAAAAATTGTTTTTTCCTTACTCCAGGCTATTTTCTTCGAGCCCCCGAGAACTCGAACTCCCGACAATTCGAACTTTTTTCGATATCCCTTTAAGGTTCGAGTTATTTGTACACTAAACACGAAGCGTGTCACACAACCAGAAAACAAAACTCACCATTGTTACATGGAATTTGCAAAGCAGCGGAAGCGACTTGTTATAGTGTTCAGTACTCGATGGAAAGAAAGTCGACTAAACGGCGTTTAAACCAGCCGTAGGACACAGAGTGGCTATGAACGAAAGATAAGGGAGCTTTTTGAATCAATATTTCGCGTGATCATGATTTTTTTTCCCTTAGCGTTGTAGATTCGAATACATGTGATAAAATTCGATCAATAAGGGCCCGAATCACATGTAATAATGCAAGAAATATCGATTTTCGTTATCTTAAAGGCTACTAGTACCGATAGACAAACAAGAAGACTTCATATCTTTAAGACTTTTTGCATTTATTTGGCATCAGATAATACACTAATAATTCTAGTATATTCTCACCAAATGACCTCTGAAGCCCGAACCCACAAATAGTGCGCTTGGGCTGCCTGTGATTTAAGTGAACTATTTTTAGGCAGAACAAATAAAGGCTTACATATCGGTAATTGACAGGCAGATTAATGCGTAAGGTTAATACGCGTAAGGTTCTCAAGTGACTTCCTCTAAAACTTGAACAACGATCACGTAAACTGATGACAATCTTCCTAAAAGTTAATCCAGACTGGATTAGATTCGTATTTTACAGATCAATTTCCTTATCATTTTGAACGGCAGTAAATCACATCATTTACTAAACAAAAACTCATCCAGACTTGTTTGTCATGGTAATGTTATTATAGCCCCGTATTAATAGGCCTTATCACGGTTTTCGACGCCATCTTGACGAGTAGGCAAGTAGGCGTAAAATTACAGTGTTTGTATGAGAATCCGATGTCGAATAATTTTCGTAAAACGTTCGTTTTGAAAAAAACTGTGAAATGTAAACTAAAGTTATCAGACAAAAGCTTCTTCTCACAAAATTCGAGTGCCTCGCCTGCCCTAGAATCGCTTCTTTTAATGACCTTTAATTTCCAATACATTCGTCTGTAAAAATGTTTTCCCGCCGACTAAATTTCCCGGGAAAAATTATAGACAAATGTATAGAAAATCTAAAAAGCTATCGAGAACGTTTTACGCGAATACAGTCCTCAAAATTTGTCAGTAGAATCCTCTACCTTGTAGCTTTAGTTTACAATTTATATTTTTTTTTCCAAGCGGACGTTTTACGAAGATTGTTCGACATCGGATTCTCATACAAACACTGTAATTTTACGCCTGCTTGCCTACCCGTCATGATGGCGTCGAAAACCGTGATAAGGCCTATACTATCCCATCTTTTTCAATTTATTCAATTGTTAAGCCGCGGAGCACGGTTCGACGTCACAGTAACGTTGCAGGAAAAGCAAAAAATCAAACAAAAGTTAAAAAATAATAATAATAATAATAATAATAATAATAATAATGAAGGATATGATCGTCTCGGTTTTAAGACCAATTAAAGCAATTCGACTGAGATATACCTAAAACAAAATTGGGGTCTTCAACGGGAGTCAAACCTACGGTCTCTGCGTTAGCGCTTCAAGTAAAGACTTCAGTAACCCATAAAGGGAACGAAGCATTAAGTGAAGATGATCGATGAGAACTGGGGAAATACAAATTTAAATGAAGGATAAAATCGTGGCAGTTGCAACAGAATTTTGAAGGGGCTCTGTTACGAGAATGTTGCTGTTTTAGGTCATATATGCTGAAGTCATTACCCAGTGCCGGCATTGCTCACACTGAACACCAATTGCTCCGTTAGAGATATCAAAACGATTTCATCACGGAGAACTAACGATAATAACGCGGCAGACTTGCAGCAATGTATCAAAAAGTGCCATAACACCTATTAAAAAAAAAAAAAAAAAAAAAACAGCAAGAGCAACAACGACAAAACATTTAATTTTTTCGCAGTGTACAGAAATTAAAACTGTTTAACTATATGGCAACGGCTTTAAAACGTTACCGCGTGCGTATACATGTATAAATGGTAGTGCGCCGAGTATAACGAATATTGTTTTGTGACATGACGTGGTGTTTTAGTTTACATCTCACTTCTTTCAATCGAATGAGTTGTGTTGATTCTTAGAAACAGACGTGACCACAAATATCACAAAAACAAATCTCTCCGGAAGTTCCTGCAACTAAAACAAATCCACTGAAAATCGCTGGATTGGATTCATGTCAGCCGAACCCGAGCAATTTTCAGATACTGAAATGTAACTCTATCAATATCCTTCCCTATTCTCAACTTTAATCGTCACATTTGCTTTTTTTTAAAGACTTCTTAGATAATATCTAAAAAATAGGTTATTTGTTTTGCCTTGAAAGTTTGTTCCCTTCCCACCCTTCATAAGCGCTGATTTCCGTTTCCTTCTGATATTCCACGTCACCGATCAAATTCCAAGTTCCTGCTTCCTCTAAAATTTCTCTTACAACAGGTTGCCCAAGCTCTACTTTCGGGCGTCACAGCATCCAGTATAAGGGGGAGTATTTCGTTCAGGTTTAGTTTGGTGAACAGCTAAATTCTTCCGAGTGATTTAACTTCACCCGTGAAATAGGTCTTAGAATACTACGTACTATTATGCACTAAATATATTGTTTTCTTTTGTTTACTTGCAGATATTTTGCACAAGTTGTTATTGACTGTTTCACGGGTGAAGTAAAACCGTTCTAATGGTTAAACTACAACCGTAAGTTACATCTTACAAATTCTCATGATCTCAAAATGAATAATTGCGGTGGCGTTGCAAATTACGTAACTCTAACCCAAACACTTGCATAGGTCAACACAAATGTAGATTGGTCTGCCTGTGCTATGACAGAAATAAAACTCAAGATACTGAACTGGTTTGTCAGTTGATTTGAGTTTTAGAAATGGAGAGAGTCTGCACTTTAGTGGTGTTGGTTATTCTTATCCCGTGTTTTACGATACAAGGGCAGGAGCAGCAGGGTAAGCACCTCCCATAAAACTCACCAAAGTTGTAAATAATATTTAACTACAAGTAGTAAGTAATCGTAGATCATAGAGTGCGTTGTTCGAATTGATACAATGTATATCATGATACATGATGTATATCATGATACCGATGATACAGAAGACACCGATGTTCAGGATGATGTCACGGGGTACATTCAAACTTCAGGTTAACCGAAAAGTCCCCACTAAGCAAAGGAGATACCGTTATTAGATATTTAGGGGAGATGTTGAGAATTAAATGCAAATCTGTATGAATATTTGCACACTAAACACGAAGCGTGTCACGCAAACACCAGGAAACAGTAAAATTCACTATTCTTGCATGAAATTTACAAAGCAGCCGGGGCGAGTTGTTAAACGTTAAGAATAAGTCCACAAGTCTTTTTTGTTCTTGTTGCTCACTCTAGTTCAAATATTCATTAACTTTCATGAATTCCTTGATGTGTGTCGAGATTAAGTTGTTGCCAGTTTGGCAAGGAAAAAACGATTAAAATGTTGCACGTGAGCTTTACTTTGCACTTTTTTTTTCTTTGGCTACCCCATGACGTAGTTACGAAAATGAAAAGGCAGAGAAACAACGAAAAATTTATTTCTACCAGAATACATTATTACCAAAAAGTCAGTAGACTAATTATTTGACTTTTTAACTGAAGTTCTTCATTTAAAAGAACAAAACGAATTTGAATTTACAGCCTTTTGTACTTAGCTCAAAGGCCATCCCAAAATGTTTCGTTTACCATCGCCCGTCCCTTGTGGTGGTGGGTCGGTCAGTCGGAAAAACAAAAACAAAAACAAAAACAAAAAAAAGAAAGAAAGAATGAACACTTAAAGGGGTCTGGGTTCCAGAGAAGACCGGGGCCCAGTTGCTCGAAGCATGGTTAGCGTTAACCAACGTTATACCTTGACAATGTATTGGTTTCGATACTGCTTAACCAATGGTTAAAGCTAACCATCCTTTGAGCAACTCAGCCCGGGCTGCTAAGTAAGAAAGCCTGGTTACAAAGTCAACTCGAAAACGTGGTCTTTTCGACTTTCTACTCTCTTGGCTCCCGTCAGGTGCAAATGTTGGATAGCGCTATCCACTGGACAAATCACTATCCAGCGGATAAGTATCAGGAAAACAAAGTGCGCCAGTCCACTCAGATATAGATTCATCCAGTGTAGATGTGTGATCTGTCTTATCCATATGCCACCTCTTGATATACTGGGACAAGGGAGTGCATGGACTGGCAATTAATTCAGTAAAATATAGATGAATTTATAAATCGATTTTTTTTTTCTTTCTATGGAAAAATGTTATTAATTAATTTGCCAGCGATATGAAAAGGTTTTAGGAAATGAATAATCGGTAGAACTGATGCAAAAGCTTTTCAAAAGGCAGTCACCCGCAATTCTCAAAGGGTTACCCGAACTCTGCGATCTAATTTACTTTCAGGAGTCAGTATTAAAGGCATCAAGTGTACATGACTCTATAGAAAATTTTTCCTCAATGCATGACAGGGATTTTGAACATATCCCGGTGGCATATGAAGTGGCCTTCACTGGTCGAAAAAATGGATCTGCACAAATTTTATTCTCGGCGGATATTTCACAAAATTGTGACAAAGCTGAGGAGTAAATGTGAGGCAAATGCCAAATTTGTTTCCTTATTTACAACCCAATGTTTTGGTATGTAAATATGGAATTTACCCTCTTTGCCCCACATTTACTCCTCAGTTTCGATTTTTTATTTATCTATTTATTTTTTTTTTTCAGGCGACATATTCAGTGCAAGGAGAAAATTTGTACAACAAGCTGGGCTGGGCTAGAGCCACACCCACATTGGTCTCCCTGAGAGGTTTAATTCTAATTTTTGCGACGAGCATCCCCGTCACTTTTATATGGGAGTCCCCACCCCCCAGGAAAATCAGTCCGTTAGAAAATTTCGTTCACGCACACAACCGCTAACTACACCGTTCTCAAAGATTCTGTCAAAATATGAGGGGATACTTTTTGCTGAAAATGTCACTCTTCAAATACGATATCATAATGCTTTGTTCGTTGCTTTGTTAGAAGCATTATGTCCAAGTGGTTGGTTTAAAGAACGAAGTTCCTGCTACAAGCTTTCCAAGAGCGCCCTGAATTGGCAAGCAGCAAAGAAGGCCTGTGAACACCTGAACTCTACACTCGCTATAATCAGCTCACTAGCCGAACATCAAGCTCTGAAACGTCACATATATAGGATAAGAAAAAATACCTGGATAGGCTTGCACAGGGACCAAAACGGCTGGCTGTGGGTGGACGGATCACGACTTAACGATTCTCACTGGGGTAAAGGTGAACCCAACAATATCGATGAGGAGTGTGTAGAAATGCGGCTTTTTAAGCCTCACAACGGTGGATGGAATGACCAGGAATGTTCTGATACAATAAATTACATTTGTGAAAAAGGTAAGGAAGACAGAGCCTGACATATACACTGCACTATGAATTGTGCCGACTTTGCTCTCTAACTCATCAAACCGCTGATTATATCCGATGTGTACGTTCGTTTTGTTGAACGTTATGAATACCTTCAGAAGGCGCGTATTGAGAAACTCTGCCTCATTTTTCTTTTTAGATGTCAACGAGTGTGCTAGTAACCCGTGCAAAAATGGAGCAACATGTGCCAACACTATCGAAGGATTTAATTGCACTTGTACAAAAGGATTTCAAGGACAAATCTGTAATAAGGGTAGGAGTTATAATTTTGTCGCTGATCTGTAAGCCGTAGAAACTGCGTACAACTGGTGAAAATACATTCTATAGAACTTTTTGAGGAATCTGTGGTTCACACTGATGAAGAAAGGTACACTGGAGATTACACCGCCCATCCTTTCTTTCCCAGTTCTTGCGTAATTTAATACTCTCTGGCTCCTTTACCGCTCCTCAAAAGCAAATACATCCTTCATGGTTTAGAATTCACAATGTCTTTGCTACCGCATCAATCTATAAGCTAGAAAAAGAAAATCTAATTGAAACTTCGACGCGAAGCTTTAAATTGTGTGACTGTCAAGTGGTACCAAGACAAAGAAAACATTTTGTAATAATTATAAGCGACGGGAAAAGACACCACAAAATGCATGAACTGAAAGGTTACATAACTGAAATTTGCCAACTGGGTGGATGCTTAGACCTTAAAATTAGTAAAACGTTGACCAAGCATTTGTGTATAATGATAAATGCCAAGAAAGATAAAACCGAGGGCCAACAAGGTGGATGATGTCAAAACTAAGGATGATGGAACATCATTGACGTTAATCACAAAATATAAATGCTTCAGTAAAGGACGATTAATAAGAGCTCTTGACATAATTTCCACTATTTCAACTTTATTGTTGTTGATGAACAGCAAACTGTAGACATGTTCAGATGGATTAATAAGACTGTTTTTCAATGTTGCAAACGATGATGATGATGATGATATTTGTACAAATGATGATGATGATTCGAACAAAAACAACAAAAAATGGAGGTTTTTATCCCATTTTTTGTTTCTAGTTTAGTAAAGAAATGCAAAGCCAGACGCAAAGTAAAAATGTCCCGTGTGACCAATTTTTAATTTACGATTTCGTTGACTGTTTTTCCCCCCTTTTCTAGTGGTAATAACACCAAGACAAGTTTCAAATATTCAACCATTTACCAGCCACTTCTTCACTATTTCATACTAAGGTTATGGTCTCTTCTTCTGCTCATCAGTCTTTCCTGTCATCGTCTTCTGGCCAGATTAAAGGTAAGGCGCAAAAAGTGTATTTCGTTAATGATGCAAGCTTCTCCTCAGTAAATGTATATTTTTTCTTTTAATTCTTCTATTCAGAGATCCACGTTACTGTTCAAATCCGGTATTCTCGGGCATCCCAAAATCTGTGGTTCTCCAGATTTCATCCTGTCGACAGCTAAGCCTTAGTACTTTTACCAGTTTGACTTTCTCGAGAAAGACTCTGCATGGATGATCGAGTAAAACCTTTGGTGATCAATTGCTGCTTGTTAAATGTGATAATGTTTTGAACCCGGGCCTAAAGGCCGTTCGCGTGGTACAGCGGGTTCAATTATGAACATCTATTTATCAATAATTGTTTGCTCGCACTCGAAAAACCAGTTTGACGATATGAAAAAGAAGATCTTCCAGTACAGAAATTTGGGCTTCCACGACTTCAATAGATTGATGCGATTCAAACAAAGCCTTCTTTTCTCCTTCTCACTCAAGAAATCAAAGGCTCTATTCGTAGAGTGCTTGGATTTGGGTTCCCCGTGGTAGGAGATAGACTGCTTACCTGTCATAAAAAATATGTTTAAAATTATACGTACCTTCTTCCATTTGTAGTGGCAATCAAACCAAGCCAAGTTTCGCCATGTTCATCTAAGTCGTTGGCTACCCAGGACACACCAGTCCGTATTTTAACGTCGTCAAATGACATCTATTTTCCTGATACTTCTTCACTATTTCACGAGGGTACGGTTTCTTCTTCTGTTCAACCGTCAGCATTCCCGTCGTCATCTGTTCAGATGGAAGGTAAGGAGAGAAAATGTCTTTTTTCAAAGTTGCAAGCTTCTCTTCAGTCAATATTTCAGTGTAATTTCTTCAAGTGCAGATTTACCACGTTTCAGTTCAAATTCGGTTTTGTGCGGTAGATCGGTGGAACCTCGTTCCCCGGATCCAAAAAGCCTCACTGCACTCACGGAATACCCCAAATCTTTCATTGGTATACCTGTAGTGCGGAAGGACATTCGGTCGGTGTACCGTCACGTGATTACCATATAATCTTTCGCCCAATTACCCTGGTCCCCTTGATTTGAGCTGTCCCGGAGAAAACTTAGTACTTTAAAAATATGTAGAAATATAGCTTTAAAGTTGGCACTACCTGTACAAATAAACAAACAAGCCAAAAAAAAAAACAACAACAACAAACAAACAAAACAAAACAAAAAATGGAGGTTAGAAGAAATAAAAATGTTGTCTTAGTCTTTTGTCCGATTGCACACGTTTTAATAATTGTGCACCAGACGCAAAGCATAAAAAATGTCTTACGACGTGTGACCAATTTTTAATTTAAGCACTGATTTAAATTTTTTTTTTTCGTTTTCTCCCTTTTCTAGTGGTAATAACACCAAGACAAGTTTCACCATATTCATTTACGCCGTTGACAGCTGCCCAGTCCCCACAAGTGCGTACGTTACTCCCGCCAGCACTTCCCAGTTATGAGGTTACGGTCTCTTCTTCTGCTCATCAGTCTACATTTCCGTCGTCGTCTGTTCAGATGAAAGGTCAGGCGCGAAATATATATCACGTTAATGTTGCAAGAGTCTCCTCAGTCGAATTAGTTTTGTAAATTCTTCAAATTCAGAGTAACTCCTTACTGTTAAATCCGGTTTTCTTAAGCAGATTTGGGTTTTGTATTGTCACCTCTTGCTCAAAATACGTGATTCCCTGAATTTCACCCTGCTAAGAGAGCTTAGTACTTTTACTATTTTGGCCTTCTTGAGAAAGACTCTGCATGGATGATCGAGTAAAACCTTTGGTGATCTATTGCTGCTTGTTAAATATGATGATGTTTTGAACCCGGGATTAAGGCGGTGCGCGTGGTACAGCGGGCTCGATTATAACCATCGGTTTGTCAATAAACGGATGGTAGCCCTCGTGAAACTAGCTAGTTTGACTGGTCCAGAAATTTGGGCTTCGGCGACTTCAAAGGCTTGACGCGATTCAAGCAGAGCCGCTTATTTTCTCCGGATCATCATGTCAAGAAAGCAAAACGAGACTGAGTCTCCCACTGTTCGCAGGGTGCCTGGATTTCAGATTCCCGCGAAGAAAATAGACTGTCGTGTCATAAAATATAGCTTTAAAATTGTCAAAGGTGGCACTTTTTGGCAAGAAAAAAAGAATACGCAAACAAACAAAGGAACAAAAAAGTTGTTACAATTGTTGTCAGACCACACACGTTAAAGAAAGGAGGATGCTATACTCAAGGTATAAAGTGCTTTTAAAGTTATAATTATTCAGTTTACGACGTTTCCCGTTCCTGTTATTTCATTATTATTATTATTATTATTTATTTCAAGTACTGCTTGTAAACATCTGCATTTTGTTTTTATCGCAAATTCCATAGCCCCATTGCCCCAAATTGGAATTTCGGCATCACATCACACCGTTACCATATGCTATTTTCGCTAAATAAAAAAAATGATATTAACATGAATTCGTATACAGTTTTATGGAAAATAATAGTAATAATAATAATAATAATAATAATAATTAGTTAAATAATCACAATCATAATCATAATAAATAAAATGATAAAATAAGTGTAGAATACAAAACTCATCGTCGTAGACAAATATACTTTTTTAATCAGTACATTGTTTACTCCGGCAGTCCACAAGTGCTCACCACAACTGTCACACGGGGTCTCATGGGAAACTACAGACAGAGGAAGCACCGATAAAAAACCTTGTCCAAATGGAGCTGAAGGTAAGTTGATTATTTCATGTAATAGGTCTAGACAGTGTCTAATTTGGAAATAATTGGATGAAAATACAGCTACTTCAAAAAAGGGTAATGGAGGTTGTACGACCGAAAGGAACTGTGGTTACGCTGTTTGATATGCAAAATTTCATAAGTTGCGTTCACCTTGTGTAAAAATGAATACACCAACTTTGAACGTAATTGTCTGAGGGTTCTTGACTCCGAAGACAAAAGAAGCTTACGCTTTTTTCAATTGAAAGACTTTCATCGTTTCCTCGTATGAACGGCCTATTGTCTCCGACTTAACAACGCCAGTCACGAGAAATTTAGAAATATAGCGCTGAGGGCTTTTCTTTTAGAGACGCTCAAGAAAAAGAAGCCTCTGCAACTGAATGCTGAAGAACATGGACAAACCAGATAACCCCGCCTTCGAGGGTCTTCACTAAATGGAACCGGGATCGTTGACTAGCTTAGATAGTTGATTATTTGCCATCAATATTCAGTGGTATTATCTCCGTTCGACAATTGCCATTCGCCGTTCTCTCCGACAACCGTTTTTGAAATAGGTGTATTTCCTAAAGCAGCTTTAAGTAATACAGTTCCTTGTACGGCCTTTTCGCCTTAGAGCTACACGGTCATGCATTTCAAACGTACCACACGGTAGAAATGATAAAAAGAAACCGGTAGCAATAAATTTCAACAATAAATTTCATGCGAGATGAATTTTAGATGACTTAACTGTAAACCTCACTAATACAAACTCTACAATTGCAGGCTATGAGTATTCAAATTTATTTTAAGGATATCAACCCCCCTCCCACCCCCCAAGTTTATCTAAGGCCTGGATCCGCCCCTGCATTATTTATGATATCCGAGGCTGGTAGCGAAAGGAAAAAGAAACGAAACTTGATTGAAAAGACCTTTACATGTGTCTTGATACTGCAGAGCGAAATGACGCAAATCCTATACACCATTTCATTTCAACACGCGTGTTCTCACGCCTCAGTGTTGGTGTCAAGTGACGCCCTCGTACTAGAGAGCAATCCTTGAAACTCTTGTCAACTTTCCTTCCTTAGGTAAAGCGAAGCGAAAATGCTCTTACGATGGAACATGGGAAAATGCCAACTTTTTAAATTGTAGGTCTGCTGAATATAGTAAACTCATTAGCAAGGTATGTAAATCAAGCCTAATTTCAGAGTGCATTTACAATATACTTTGCGTGAGATATTTGAAAAACGTCCGGCTCGGAGACATTCGTGTTCTTTCCTTTTTTCTGTTTTTGTGATCTGCACAAAAACAGTTGTTGATGCTGAGTGGACAATGTTTTCTTTTTTTGAAATGTTAACTATAAAATATGACAGGATGGCGTTGGTAAACATAGAAAAGCTTCAAACGCTTACAATGCAACGTTGGCTTCAGTTATTTGTTTGCAGAAGTTGTACTTCAACTTACTGGCCTGGTATGCCGTTTCTTCGCTTATCATATTGGCGATCACATCAAATTCCTACCACTCGTGACTTAAAAAAGGTTCCGCTTTGCTTCTTATTTTTGCACGTTCTCGACTTTGCGCTTACAATTTCCTTCCGAAAAAGCTGAGTTCGACTTTTCTATTGAAAACTTGCGTTACATTACGTTAAATGACAATTACATCTCAGTACATTACACCATAAAACTTACCGCGAAAGTAACTAGTACGCACACTCAGTTGTTAAAACTAGCATGACGTTATATACAGTCGACTCTCTCTTGACGGACACCTCTATAAGAAGGACACCTCTGTAAAACGGACACTTAGAGTTGGCCCCTGCGTTTCTTTACTCCCTTTATTTGACTTTCCATAAGACAGATATCTCTCTAAGACGGACACTTAGTGCCTGTCCCAAAGGTGTCCGTCTTAGAGAGAGTTGACTGTAATTGTTGCCGTGAGCTAGAAAGAGAACTAATATTCAAAAGAACACTGATTCCGTCTGATCTAGTTTACACTCATTACTATGGAAAAGAGTAACCCACTTCTTATAAATTGTGTCCATTTTGATTGTTTTAATACATGCAAACTTTTCTGTTTCATACGTACTATTTTTTTTTTGTGCTTTTAGATGAACGCTATTGCCAGTGGATCTTCAAACCTCACTGTCCCCCAAGTTCTAGCTCAACTGAAAAATGCAACTAAACCGATCATAAATTCCCCAGAAAGGCCATCACAGATTTACGGAGGGGATTTAATTGCAGCAGTGGAAATCCTAGCTCAAATAACAGAGTATAGCAAACACCGCAACGTGAGTTCTAAGGAAGATTTCCAGAATATTGCACACGTGGCCAGTAATTTGTTGGAACCAGTAAATAGCCGCACTTGGATGGCCCTGGACAAGGTAATTTGGCTGTTATGATTTATCAGAGACACATCAGTAAACTTTAATCAAAACCGCTGTTGTCGGCGGACGCGAGGTCCATCAGTAATAACTAAGGGCATTTAAAGGAATACATCCTGCTAGCTGGGGCCGTCCTATAACTTGCTGGATTTTGGCGTAGTCGAGAAAGTCTCTGCATGAACTGAGTAAGATGTTTGTTGAGCATGCGCTGCTTGTTGCTGGGATACGGTTTTGAATCTAGGACTACACAGTAATTGGCGAGGGATTGGTACAGTGGGCTCTTTTAGAAGGATCGATTGAATTAGAAACGGATGCTCGCAGTCAGAAAATCACTTTAACGACGTAGAAGATCAAGATTTACTCGTCTAGAAGTTCGGGTTTCGTGGACCTCAAAGACTTACCAAGATTCAGATTACTAAGATTCAGGCAGAGCCTCCTTTTCTCCTTCTCACCCAAGATGACAAAAGGAATCCCTGCTTGCTTCATGACTAAGGAGTACTACTGAGCTAATAGTCATACCCAGTGGTCAAACATGCTAGTCTGCAATTAACTTGAGATCAATTACCCCTACAAAGTACAATGATACAAGCTTTTTGTTCTGTTTGTTTGCTTTTTTCTTTTTTTGTAAACCCAGTGAATCTCGTTGGCCCAATCAAGATTAAGCCATTTTTTAGAGTTTCAGGAACAGTAAAATGCTTTAAGACGGGCATATAACTTTAAAATCCTTGTGTAGTGTTTAGTTAAATCCATGATGGTGGCCATATTGAATGACGTCATAGGTAGCTAAGAGCACCTAAACAATCAAAGTTGTCTTCGTACCTACCCCGAAGGAAAACAAAATTATATCTACTCTAATATTTTGAGTGACCTGTACGTGAGATCTCCGTTAATGTTAGAACAAGATTAAAGTCAGTATTCTTCCAAAGTCTTAGTCTTTATTTTTTTTGTTCTTCCATTAGGCCCATAAAAACAAGAGTCTAATCCTACTCTCAACACTGGATAGTTATGGAATGGAAGTCTCTCTCTCATGTGAGATGTCGGGAAAACCCAACTCCGTGGAAGCCAAAAACCTTCTGATGATGATTGAAGATCGGAATTGTTCGGTTTCGGTATGGAGATCAAGATTTTGTTCTGACAAATTTTGTTCTGTTGAGGCAACCAACGAAAAGTCAGTTGAATGTACCAATCAGTGTTTTTAGCGTAGGGAATTTGTAGATATTTTAATAAAAATATATATATATAAAGATGAGAACCAGAATGGGAATAATAATAATGATATTAGGAGGCACCTTTGCCGAGTGGTCAGCGCTTTGGACTCGCAATCCGGTGGTCTCGGGTTCGAGTCCCCCTCTGGCGACTTGCAGGATTTCTTCTCGGTCGTCCCGAGTTTAAAACCTCGACCACTTTTACAAATTAAAAGCCAACTGGTTGAATCTGCTGCCAGTTGGGGTTTTTAATACTGTTTTGTTGTATTTGAATTACTTGTTTCTAAATATTTGAGTGGAGTGCCTATAAACTAGCTGGATAAGCTAAAATAAACGAGCTTTGTTTTTGATATTAATGATTTTACTCTTTTCATGCAGAGATCAAGAGCCAACGGCAGTTATATTTCATACAGTAACACTACAATCTATTTACCTTCAACCGTATTTTCATCTCCAAACTCCCGGGCTGTAACTGTCATATATCTTACGTTAAACGACATTCTAGCACTCTCAAAGGAAAATGCGGACGAGGATGACAAGCGCAGTTTAGCCGATACTACGATAGTCTCTACAGTAGTTCGTCCCAAGCCTCCAGCTGTCTTACGTGACCCCGTCAAGATTGTGCTAAAGAACCGAAAGGTACACGAAATTAGATTTTATTTTTTCATAAGTGGAATATGCCTATAATCGTTCACCTTTCTATCTTTCAACTCGAACACAAAGGGGTTGTTGATTGGTGTAACTATTTTAAACAAAGACAGTGCACCTTTGGCCTTTCATACCAGGGTTTTAGTGTGTTTAATCAAATGGTGACAGGTGAAATTAGGGAGTAATTTCATTTGCGTTTTGTCCAAATTTTAATAATTTTATAATTTGGGCAAAACGCAAGTGAAAACATTACCTAATTTCGCGAGTGAACCATTTGATTTATTACTTATTAATATCATGGATAACAACGCTCACAATCGTAAGTTTTTAGCTAATTTATAAAATTGGATATCGATCGAGAACTCCACAGCGCTTTAAAAGTTTGGCTTAAGTTCAGAATTTTCAGAATTTTCGAAAAAAAAAAACCTAATAGAATTCTTCTTGATGTACCCTTTCGTGTGTTTATATAGGTTTTTCTTAAATGTCTTTTAATGCCCAGAAATCTTCATTCACAAGATTTTAAAACTTTGCCGCCTGCTAGCCGCCATCTTTGCACTGACACGTAATCGGAACGTTGCCATGGCAACTTTGTAATTTCACATGTGAAATTATATAATTATTAACCCTGAATTTCGCCCCAAAATTAATGAGTAATTTGTCACCCATGATATTATTAAAATAAGTAACCAGCGTGGGGGGCAGGGAGATTTGGAGAATTCTGAGAAACATGCTGGCGACGCCCGTGGATATTTATACTGTTTGCGTAAATTCTTTAATTTATTTTTTGTTATTGTTGTTTCTAGTTGTTGTTGTAAGCTTTTAGCTAACATTTTGTAAAAAGCCATGGAATTGAAAAGTCTGACAAATTTTCTGCTTATATGTAATCGCTGAAAGGTGAACACTACTTCACGAAAACGGTGCGTATTTTGGCGGTCAGACGAACCAGCCATCTGGGGAACAAGCGGCTGTACACTTGTGCCCAGTGAATCGAATGCGTCCTTCACAACATGTGAATGCAATCATCTTACAATCTTTGCGGCCCTTGTGGATCCATACGGAAGACCGGTAAGTTAGTAGCAAAAGAAGGATATATATTCTAATCAAGATATTTAAGGATTAGACCATATTCGAGAACTTGATAAATGAATTTGGTGTTTTTAAGCTGACCCGACAATGAATGGTGCAATGACATCATATGACTTCATGATTCCAAATGGCATCCATTTTGAAGTCACCATATAGACCTCCTTCATAATGGCGGATCATTGCTGCGGAGCGACCGAAGGGAGCGAGCAGCAACATAATCAGGATTTAAAGGAAATATATAAAGGGGCGACGAATTCTCGAATTCATCACTTTTTACCACAATGCATTGCATTTAACCACACTTTTTACCACAATGCATTGCGCCACGAACAACTCAAATAAAAACACGGGGAAGTAGTGCATCGTTCGCTGCTCAGTTCTACAGCACGGTTAGAGGTCTTACCAAATTTTAAGACACGCAGGAGTCTTTCAGATGAGTACGATGGTTAACTTGCGGAGTGGATTTCGATTCAAGAGCATTTGACTCGTCCAGGTGTTAAACCTGACGAGAAGATGAGCATTTGCTCTTCGACTCCGCAACACGGGGGATATACAAAATCCAGCTTGCTAGAAGGTGATGGGAAAGTGAGAAAATGTCATATAATGCTATTCTTAAGAAACTGTATGAGCCGAAAATGGATGTGATTTTGACCATTCGCTTCAAAATAACAGCGGAAATCGAGATAACAAAACATATGTTTTGTGTCCTACTTTGCAGACCAGGACGTGTATCGGCGTTTTGAAAAGCATAATTATGTTCTTTCATTCATTCATTGTCATGGAATATGCGTTTACATTGTTTTTTCACTGTTAATAGCTCGGTTAACGCGGCTGGCGATCATCTTGCCGGCGGAAGTTTCATAGAAAAGGAATAGAATGAAACACTTTTCCCAGTAATTACGTAATCAGCCTCTGTGGTGTAGTGGTTAGGTGTAGTCGCGTCGAGTCGAAGGTGCTGGGTTCGAGTCCTCCCGAATTATTTATTCCTACTTTCTTTTTTTTTTCCTTTTTTTGTGTTGTTGTTTTCTATAAATATATAGCTAAATAACTGTTACTTAATAAAGTGCAACAAACAGCAAGAAACGTATTGTGTTTCCAGAGAAAATATCGTGCACTGTATATTAAATATCTGGATAATCAATGTCAATTTCTATTATTTCCTACAATTTACTGTGGGAAAACCAGAGTTGATAACCACTTGATCATTTTCTAAACAACGTTCCCACGAGTTCTTTCTATAGACTGATAGTTATTATTCTAGTAATTTCCAACATGTAAATAGGACATTCAATGTCATTTTTGATTCCTTTAAGTCTCACTGCCTAACTAATTCCAGTATCAACAGAATGTGCCACAGCATTACTATCTTTTAGATACCCTAGTTAATAAGTATATTCTTTTTTGAGTATGACGAGTAAGCCTTTTTGACCTCATCAGCATTAGAATTAGCAAAACACAAAAGCCGGAATTGTCACTTACTTTTTTAACGTATAAAAGAAAAATTAAATGGGCTGCTAATATGAAAGAGGTCTATTAGATATATCCTGGGTTGTCAAGAAGCGTCACTTGCCATAATTAAATACTGTCAATCCTTTATGTGCGACTATTTCTCATTAGCAAGTATTAGCGACCACTCATCCTAAGTGACCACCCTAATTCAGTTTAAGCATTATAATTGCAACGTCTCCTAAGCATTATCTCAGTTTTTCTGTGCGAGCGCCTCTTTTAATAAAACGCCGTTAAAAATTCAACTTGAATATACTTAACTGAACTCGCCAAGTCTTCATTTTATGATAAGGTAATATTCAACAACGCAATCTGAAAGATTATTCTATGGGGCGTTTCTAAAACTTTGTAAAAACACATTCTGGACATATTCGGGTCTGCCTTCAAATTTCGCTATTGCATTGTGTCCTGCAGTTTTTTTACTGAGATCTATGAGTACAAAAGGACCTGGGCGAAGCAATAATTAAAAGTAGCAAATAGGTTCTCCATACCACAGAAACTGAGATACGCTTCGGCCAATAAAACCTATTATTAGTTGGGAGGAGTAAATTTCCTGCCATTTTGATGCAAAACGAAACTGCAAATTACACATTCAAGTACAGCATAAACAGGGCTATCATAAGGCATACGCCATTTTGCTACTAAAAGAAATTTTTCAAAAAGGACACCCTAAGCAGTAACAGTTTGTATGGGGGATTTAGTCACTCTCTTACCCGGCCTTTTATTCTCTTTTGGCTAAAATCTTTCTAAGAACGGTATAGCAGCAAAATCTATCCATCTTCTCTTTTCCTGGAAATTCAATGTAGTATTTGGCTTGTAAAAAAGTGCCTTCAGTAACATAGATGCAGCTAACAACCAGATTTTTTACATGTCACAGGAAAAAGGAAGTCACAAGGAAGCCCTGGAAATCATTTCCATTGTTGGTTGTTCCATTTCTTTGGTAGCTGTAATTCTTACCATCATTTTGTTGAGCTGCTTTTCCCGACCTCTTGAGGCAGGAGTTAAAGTGCTCATTAACTTGTGTGCTGCAATTGCAATCACCTGCGTGCTGGTAATATTTGAAGGATTGGCAAGAAGGAAGGTGGGCGGCGCATTTAAATCGTTTAAGAAATAAGGTGGTTCGTAGTTAATAACGTGCCAAATAATAGGTTTAGGCGGAATATGTTAGTAGGCATTGTACACTGTAGTTTCATTTAAGTTAGACAATTCAGCAGTTAAATTTCGGAAAAAAACAAACAAACAAACAAAACAAAACACAAAGGATTGTAAGTATCTGTGTAATTATATTCATCTAATCCTATTGGCGTTATTTTACTCTACTTGAATAGCTACAAACTAACGCCATAATAAATCAGTATACAAGAACACGAAAAAGTTCAATTTTGTTCTTCCCAGCCAAAGTTTCTATCCTTTATTGTTTATTAATCGTCTTTAGATTGAAGGGTAAGTGATTGGATTGATTCTCCAGGGAAGGTGAAGATTGCTATAATGATTTTTTGTTTTATGACTCCTAGGCTGTTTGTCCTGTAGTGGCCGGGTTATTGCATTACTTCGCACTGGCTTTATTTTCGTGGATGCTTTGTGAGGGTATATTACATTACCTTAAGGTCGTTAAACCGCTGAAGTATGGCTTTGCCGTTGACGACTACGTGAAGTACTTTTACATGTGTGGATGGGGTGAGTTTCTAAAAGCTGTTTAATCTACGTCCCTGCAAGAACAACACAAAGTGTCATATTTTGTGTTTCTCATTCAATGTCCTTAATAACCTAATGTTTTCATTATAAATTTTAATTGATCATGAAAGAATGCATTAAGAAAACAACTTCGTAACCCTCGGACGTACACGCTAAGTCATACCCCCACCGTGGTACAATGGTGGTGGTGGCGGCGGGGGCGGTGGGGGCGGGGTTTGATGGAACCTCCCCCCTTGGGTTTTTGATATGTTGCAGTATTTCGAACGATTTTGCTGCTAGAGGTCTGTGACGTCATCAAACATGGTTACCATCTTGGATTTTTTTCAATTCTAAGAAATCAGGTAAAAACAGGGAGAATTAATATTTTTTGCGCTTAACATGTAGAATAACACAAAAATAGTTACGTTGCATCATTTTATCCACAACCTTTACTTTTATTCCTGAAAGAGGTTAAAAAACATGCACTTTCACTCAAAAATGGTTTGACCACCTCCTACTTATGACGTCATATCGCGTAACCATAGTTGCCAACCATCACTAAACTTTTTTTTAAAATGCGAGCGGGGGATAATCGAACAGCTACAGAACACATCACGTGTTTATGTTTTATCGTCTAGGGAAAATTCAGAAAAACCTTTGGGGTGTACGTCTAAGCGTTTTGAACAAAATGCAATTTTTTTTAGATTATTTTGACAGGCTAGTTAAAAAAATAATTGTAAGGTACGAGGCACTCAACTTAAACCAGACTTTTAACTTCACACCAACCTTTGCAGTTAGCTATCAGGACTACTCCCTAGGAGATCCAACCTCACCTCGTGACTTTGTTAGCCGTGTTTGTCTTGGGATGGAACTTGTAGAAGTGATTGTAAAAGAGGGTCCAGGAAATACTGATGTAGATAAATATAATTATCCAAGAGATCGGAGGGATTAAAGAAGCAAGCAAGAAGCAACGTGTGATCTCTTCGGTGACCATACATGACCACCATTCTGGGTGAGGAGAAATAATCCCTCTTATAATTTTGCTTCAGGCTTCCCAGCCATCATAGTTTCCATTTCCTTGGCTGTCACTCAAGCAAAAGGTTACGGCAGCAAGGCAACATGCTGGCTTGATGTTAAGAGTGGATTGATTTGGACGTTCATTGGGCCGACTTTAGTCGTTATTTTGGTTAGTATAAAAGATATTGTCTATGGCGTACTACAATAACAATGTTATTAATCACTAATCAAGTGACTTTATACTAGTAATTAATGATTCAGAATTTTATACATTGTTGCATTTCCAAATGTACCACCTATATTATGCTTTAATTAAATACATAAAGATGGTTAAAGAGACCAAACTAATCAAACTGCTTTCTGTTTTGTTTGACAGATAAATTGTGTAGTTTTATACCTGGTTATGCGTAAGATAATGAAACCGGTGAAGGGAAAAGTAGAGGAGAAAACGCAGATCACAAAATTAAAGGCTGGAGTAAGAGTCTCCATGGCCATTCTTCCTTTGGTCGGAATTACCTGGGTGTTTGGAATTCTTAGCTTTAGTTCTTATACCATCGCGTTCAAGTACATATTCGCCATCTTCAATTCTCTTCAGGGGCTGATGATCTTTATTTTTCATTGTGCCCTCAGCGGCAAGGTAGGTACTAATCTTTGAGTGCCGTGTTATTATGATTTATAATATACACGAAAATATTACTCAATTCTGATTGGCCGAGAAAGGAGTGCAGTTCTTCTGTAACACTAGTAAAAAACTTGTAATACGAGTGCAAATTGCAAATATGGTTTCTGATTGGCTGAAAACACAAAAGAAACCACCAAGAACCAATCAGATTAGAACTGTTTTCACGACAAACAAGCTACTTATAACAGACTACGCTAAAGTAAAAAAAATAAAGAACAACGGTTGCAACAACACGCAAACCAGCTATTTTCAGCAATTTCAATGAACAAGGATACAAGTTTTCCATGATATACAACAGGGATTTCAAGTCACGTACGTTAATGTTTGTTGGAGGAGAAAGGTGTCCGGTTGCTCTCTTTGAGTCTTTTGTGGAGCGAAGACCTCTATTAAAACATCCATGCGATGGTCTGTTTTTTTCTACCTCAGTAGCAAACGAAACCAAAAATTTAACATCTGGTCCGAACTAAACCAAAGGGCGAAAATACCATAAGTAACGTAATGAAAGTATCCGTAGCTGGTACTAGCTTAAAGAAAGTGAGAAAAAAGTTTACGAATCATCGTGCAAGAAAAACAACGGTCAGAAAGCTGAAAAAGCAAAGATTGTAAGTTTAGAACATATCGCCAATGTCAGAGGCCACAGAGGTGTAAATTTCCTTAACGACCACGATGAAGCCGACGAAGAAGAGCTACGGTGACTCTTGCAGTGGGCTAAGTGAGATAATGAAGACCCCAGCACTGAGAAAAGGCAAATATTATATTTGACTATTGGCAGTTTCCGACATCACAACTATTGTGGCTCCATTCACCCATCGATAGCAGCGTCGGAAGAAAACAAATTGCCTCCTTCATTTTCGGGTTATAAATCTCAAAAATTTATCCATGAATCTAGCTATGATGGGGTCTCAGGAACAGACAATGATGAACAGTCGTCAAAAAAACCTTAGCAAGTGTCTTCCATCTTTGGCTGCTCGAAGCGTTCCCTCAATTTCAGAACTTGTAAACGCTTCTTGTAAACGCCGAGCTCTCATAATGGAGGATGAACTGAAAAACACCTACTTTTGCTGATCTGATTGTAAACCGAGATATCTTTAACAGGCTGGTGACCATATAAAATCAATCCTTGCGTTGGTCTTGAAAAAGTTTCAATTTGACAAAGGTAGCAGTCTGTTTCGGCCAATCAGTTGAATGAACTAAAAACGCGCGTGCTGTCAAAATTTGTTGCTGTAGTTATGTTTTTCGTGTATATTATTATCACGATTTTTCTCTTGCAATTTGAAATAAATAAGCACTTGTAAATTTTTCATAGACCACAAAGTGCTGCTTGTTGGTCTTTGAAAAATTTACTCGTGCTTATTTATTCCAAATTGCACTCGAAATCATGTGATTACCTATACATAGAGCTCAAAGGACGTGTTACACTAAGCTGATGGACTTGAAAGTTGTCTTCTGCTTTTAGAGTCAATATCTTACGTAACAAGGGTTGTAAAACATCACGTCACCGCCTGTGAGCTCTCTGTGAAAGGCCTAGGCCAAACGTCGAACGTTTTCATTTGACGATCCAAACTTAGTGAGTTAATCCTATTCAGACCAGGAAGGCTTTTGGAGCCCCCCTCGAGAAAAAGTTGAATAACTTCAAAACCGTTCAAGCTATGAATTATCTGGGAATATATTGAGGTCATCATGACCCCCTGGTGACGTATACGTCAAAACATTGACGATACCAAATAGCAACCAAGTTTTGATAGCCATGTTTTTCAAAATTTGCATTTTTTTTTTCTTGAAAATAGATTTAATTCTATTTTGACCAATGGAATTATTAAACTTAAATTCACCTAATTTTATCAAATTTATTGTCACTGTTGATGAAATCCAGTCTTTCTAGTTACTGGTATGAGAAAAAAAAGAAAAAAAAAAAAACACGAGTTAATATGATCATATGGCAGATGCTGAGTTTAATTCTTAATTTTCGATCCAAATTAGAGTTTGATTCGTTTCATGAAAAGTATATTGCTATCGAGCAAGTTTTTTTTTTGCATTCCAATACAATGTAGCTAATTGTTTCATCACTTTCTCCGCACATTCTACACATTGCAGACAAATTTGTTATTGTTATCGTTATTGTTTTTTTTCTTTTTTTTCAGATAAAACAAGCTATCAGAAAAAGGATGATGTATCGGTTCAAGCGAGGCAAATTAAATCACAGCTTGAAAGTAAAAGAGAAAGGTGGAAATCTTTTGACCAACTGTACGTCTGTATAAAATCTTGCTTCAATCATTTAAGGGTTATTATAGGCAGAATTGTTTTATTACTAATTTTAATTATTTTTTTATTATTATTTTAACTATTAAAAGACTTATACCGTGTTTCACGGGGAGGGGCGGTGGGGCGGTGGCGGGGACGGTGGCGGGGGCGGGGACGGGGGGGTTTAGAAGAGCCCGTTCCTCGGGTTTTGGCTATGCCATGGCGTTGAAATTGGCCGTACTAACTGGTAAGGAGTCTACAATCTAGGAAAGCCATGGTATTTTACTCTGCTTGCAGACCTTCTGCGTCTCTTACATCCTTTTATGAAACGCAAAACGCTAAAACGTCGCTTATCTACGCGAAGACAAAGAAGTCTGCACGCAGGCCTAAAAAAGGGGAATTTAGATGAACGCAGATCGATCTAACGCAGATCTACAAGTTATTTTGATATGATAATAAAACATTTTTTTTCTTTACCAACCCATCGTATATGAAGACTACCCGCAGCCCCTCAAAAACATCATTGTTTCCAGACTGGCGTCCTCATGAAGAAGTGAAATGAAGTAAACAAGCGCCCAGTCCTTGGCGATTTCTATCCCTGGGCGAGTGACTATTATCGAGAAAATCAGTTCTCCGCTATGATGGCAGACATAAAACGGAAGCCTCACCAAACAAACAACTTAATTAAAAATAGGTGACTCAAGTGGAAACTCAAGTGTCTGACTATCTATGGGACTTTCAGAGTTTTCTAATATTTGTCGTTTGATCTGCTTCAAACGTATTTTTTACTGTTTTATTTTTTATACATCAATAATTGTTTTCGATTTTTTTTAATTGTAACCCATATTTCTTTCATTGCAGTTACAAGAAAACGATCAAAATGTAATGAACATGAATGTGAAGTGCTACCTATCAGAAGAGACAACGTTGAGTTAAATACTTTAAAAGATCGAGAAGACGAATCGCTCAAAACCGAAGATGAATCCCTAAGAAGAAGTTTGTTATCAAACTCAAATGAATAGATTGTTCTTTGAGCCTCTCCGTTATGCGATAGAATTACGTATGAAAATATTTTGCAGTTCTGTGCGATTTTGTGGCAGAAAGTTTGGTAACGCATACTGTAGTCAAAAATAGGTTATTAAGTTAACATTTTGCCGCATTTGTGCATTTTTTTGCAATATTATTGCTGTTGTTTTGACCTAGGCAGTTTCATGGCTGTTAAACTAGATAGCAGATAACAGGAGTAATCAGCAGCTGTTCCAATTAAACAATCAAGCATAAAAAATGTTAACTTAAGCTACGCAATGGACGAAAAAAAAAACTAAATAAATAAACGGCGTGGAAAAACAAGTGCACAGTTTTCATCCCTTAATTTATACTTCCCAGTTGAAATTGTAATGTTTTATCTGGTTAATAGGCCCTGTTCAGACCCTAGCGGCTCCCCCTTGCGACAAATTTGAATAACTTCAAAACCGTTCAAGCTATGACCACCGAACCTAGCTACTTTTCCAAAAAAGTTTCTCGAAACATTTTAATTCGTGGATGTGTAACACTCGCGTTTTTTTGTTGTTGTTGTTGTTTTGTTTTGTTTGTTTTTTTTTTCAATATTTACATTTTTGTTCTTAAAGACAGGTTTTAATTACATTTTTACTGATAGAATTATTATATTACACTCAGCGGAGTCTTAATCTATCAACGTTGTTTTCACTTTTGATGAAATCCAGGTCTTTTTATTGACCAGTTTGAGACAAAAAAAAAACAACAACAACAAAAAAAAAAAAACAAAAACATGACTTAATATGACCAAATGCGTGAAAATGATGATGCTGAGTTGAATTGTCAATTAAAATCGGAATTGCACATTATGCAGATTTTTTTGCTTCCTAAGCATCCTTTTATACTCACATCAAGTTTACTTTTAAAAATTTCTCGACTTATATGGAATTTAAGTATCAAGGAAAACATTTTAATAATGGTGGATCCAAGATAGCGGATGCTTCCAGTTCCTGCGTACTAATAAATGACGATATCATGAAATCACTGCTATTATTAAGTAAAATGGGATATATTTATTAAATAATTCGAAATGGCAGATCCAAGGTGGCTGATACTTCCAATTCCCTGTTTTAGAAATAAATAACTTCATGATGACATCACTGCTATTGCTAAAGATTATTTATGTGTTAGCCAACTTCTTGATTTTATCAGACACCTTACTATTTAAGTATTTTTTGCTTTATGTCTACTTTAAGGAAAATTTGGATTTTGCCAATAATTTAAACAATATGACGTTACTATGACGTCAAATTACGTAAAAAAGTCAATCAAGTTATGCCCGAAGTTGGAAATGATGATTAAATTAAGTAAGTGTAATTTTGGTGGCCGTAGCATGAGCGGTTTTGAACTTATAAAGGGGAACCTCTAAGCCCGCTTCCCCGGTCGCAGTAAGGAAAAAAAAAAAACCGGTCCGAATATTTAACAGTCATTTCTCGAGCCCGAATGGGCTCTGAGTCAATAGCCCATTTGGCCTTCGGTCTCATGGGCTATTGACTCAGAGGCCATGAGGGCTAGAGGAATAATTGTTTTAGTAAAATCCAACTATTTGATCAAAAATATCGAGACAAAACTACTTTAGCTAGCAACACGCGATTCAACCGGCATTGTTTTGGTTTTCAAAGCCGGTGCTTTTCGCTAGTAACTCAACCAATCAAAACGCAGCATTTATAATAGACCACTAGTTGCCTTTTACTCAATTCTGATAACCAGTTAGCTTTTTGCTATGCTAAGCGATGTTCTCTCTGCTCCGCGGTTTCTTGTTGTCGTCTTCTCCTTCGTTGCTCGCACTGAGTTCAAGTCGGCGTTGTTGCTGCAGAGTTTCGGTGGTAAATCTTCCCCAGCGATGATTTCTAGCCACTTGCGCTTGCGGCTCCGTGACATTCGCATGAGAAATTTCTCTTGATTCACTCATAGCAAACATCAGTATTCACCAAATCAGTGGATAGCAATTTCCGCGCGTTCTGACTGGCTCCGGTTACTCGGAATATCCTTGTTATTCATTTCTTGGGGACGGGATTCAAAATAGAACATCAGCCGTTCATGAATGCAACATGCATGATAATGCACTATAAACAGCTTCAATGTTATCGAATGTTGCCTGCAAACACAAAATGCATGTTGCGTGACGTCAACTGGATGACTTCAATGCGGATACCAACTGGAAATGACCGATATATAAATTTAAAGAAAGAAGAATATATATATATGGGCCAGCTGGGTACGGTGTGCACGCCGCTAGGTCCTCGAGAGACGAGATTATAAACGCGAGAAATTAAGGATCGGTTTGACGAACTTTCTGAAGCAATTTCGCCATGTGCGCGTTGAAACAAATACCGATAAGATTATTTTTATGCCATCAAAACCATTTGCCCAGTCAATTCAGACATCGACCAATAATTGTAGCTATTTTTTTGCTAAAATTTTATTGTCTATTCCCCTTTTTTCTATTATTCAACCTGTGCAATCTAAAACAGCCCTTTAAAGAGTTGGTGACTGACTCCATAGTTTGGATAATGTATCATCCACCAGGAATATACAGCTGTTTCGAGAAAGGTTGTCGGAAGAAATGCGCACGCGACAATCCCGAAAGGTAATATGGGATATGATCAATACGCTGTTCGTAACGACTGAAGCTGTCGAACCTACTTTTGTTGCTTTCCTTTAGTACTCGCAAAAATATGTCCATGGCCTCCCTTGCCATTCTTCCAAATTTCTTTGAAGAAAAGTGCCCTCAAAGCCACCCACAATACCTTTCGGGATTGTCGCGTGCACTTTTTCCGACAACCTTTCTCGAAATAGCTGTATACATATAGTGCGTTCTGTCACAATGACTTTGAATGGTTTGCAATAAGGAAGTGAAAAACGAACGCAAAACGAACAACTTCCTGGTGGAACATCGCATTGTTGCGGAACATGGTATCCTCTTCCCGAAAGGTAACTCGGCCTCTTCGTTATCGCTAAGATGGAATAACCTCCTGTAGATGCTGTGATGAGTCAAGAGGAAAGTGTGATGATGCGAGACCAGGCTAAGGCTTTAGTTGCCTCAGTGCGACAGAGAAGAGTAAAGTCAGAAACAAACAACAATTAAAAAAGAGAGATCTGGTACACTGCCAGACTATCTGTACCAGAAGAAGGTGCCGGTGAGTGAAAACATCAGATTGACTTCAAGTGCAGGGCAGTCACAACCGCTGTCCCAAACGCTTACGCCAGAGATTGCAGCACCCCTAACCCCGCTGAATCTGACAGGACAGAGTCAGATGAACGAAGCGATTACGACTCAAGCGGTGACAAGGAAGCGGGTGAAGAATATCTTTCCGTAGAAGCAAGTGACAACCTAGGAAATTGGAATCGGGATAACAAGTCCGAGACAAGCAGAATCGGTGGGACAAAATAAAAAATTGTGGTGGGAAGCGGTATTTGGTAACCCTATTTTAGGCCCTCTACACAGTGCAGGCTGATTGAAATATGCCCGAGAGGGAATAAAGGGGACAGAGAAGGCATCCCCCATACACACCCTATTCCAAAGGTAATTCGTCTCGAGTTATTTTTAAGACCACAGATTCCAAGGGGGATTAGACAACAGCCAATCACATAGCGCGAATGTGTTCCGCGTGGATGACCCACGCTCAGAGCCACACGTCCTTCACGAATTGACGCAGAACAAAATGGAGGAAGACGCGGAGAGCGATATTGCTATTCGTTTTGCCGACGAAAACGACTACAGAGAGATTTAAGCTAAAGCTGTGTCAGCGAAACGGAAATTAAAACAGAATCGCCCTTACTCTCTTGTATAGAGCTAACAGTACAGCAGGGAAATCCTTAACACACTGAATATTCTCTCAGGATCATTTATAATGTACAGTTTGAAGAGAGCAATTTCTGGTTTGATATTTATTCTTTTATTAGTCTTTTATTATTCAACCAAAATAACACTTGGCGTGTTTTCCGATAGTAAACACTTGGCGTCCCACGACCGGTTTCAATAGACCGGCGAAATATCTCATTTTATTAAAGCACTGAGGTTACGACAACTTCGAGTTAAACTGATTTCACGGGTTGTCAAAGAGTCCAGCGATTCCCTTTTCCCAGGTGAGCGCCGACTCATTTCGCTTCAATATTCAGGAATGCTATCTATCTCTTGGGGCTTTCATTTCCTTTCGCCCGACATGTTTTGCACGGAGTTTAGTCATGCGAAACCTCCACGAAACATCCACGCAGCGTGCGAGGTAACTTTATCCCGATTCTAAAAATAACTCGAGTCGAATTACCTATGGAATAGGGTATATATGAGGGATGCCTTCTCTGTCCCCTTTATCCTCTCTTGACTATGACGCACTTTTTGTAACTTTTCGGTAGACTACGAAATGAGCACGGGCGGCAGTTCTGCGAAGAATTCTCTCCTCAGCCGGGGGAAATAGCAACAATGATTCCCTTACTTTTAGACCCAATCTGTATATAAGTAAGCAAATAATCAACGAAATACTACCCAGTCATTAAAGAAGGGAGTCGCAAAATTTGTACAGAGTTATCATTTTACAAATGGGTATTACTTTTCTCGATAATCTTAATCTTATTTGCTGGGCTCTCGGGCATGGAGGTAGCACAATAAATGGGCCCTTCGACTTCCAGGATCTCCACCCGGCCATGAAATGTCCTCCATGTGTTTCACTATTCACAGAAATTGCTGAAAATTTCCAAAACCGTAAAAGCTCTCTACATGAAAAACAAACAAACAAACAAAGACATAATTTTGATATGTTACCTTGATTCGTAGTCAACTTGATCAGATATAAACCTGTAAATACTGCTCGACAAATATGATATTTATCATCAGACTTCACTTTGGTATTATATTTACTTGTTTTATAATGAAATGCGATACATTTAGCTGAAACAAGTTGAGGAAAGAGAATTTCATCGTACAAAAAAAAGGTTAAATAGATTATTTATCGATCTTTCTTCAAATTTTTAATTTGGGAGATCAGCCCCGTAACAGTCGCCCAAAACTAAATAATGGGATAAACTGACAGCAGTTTACGATCAATTAATGAAAAAGTATCCGATCGGAGTGATAAGAGGTAACATTTTTTTTGTTTGTTTGTTTGTTTTTTTCCGCCCATGGAATTTTTGTGCTCAAGCGAATTCGCTCCCAGTTTTAAGAATTGCCTTATGATTAGTTTCATTGTATCTCTGGGGATTGCACCTCTTTAAGTCAAAGCCATTAGGGGGACCGTTTGACTAGGATGGAATCGAAGAGACATCTGTGATTACAGCATACTCAACTAAAAATGACGTAATACGATTTTTTGGCTAACAGCTGGTGACTAATACTTTCCCCTTTCGATCCTTAGAATAGGACTCAGATCACAATTTTATTTTCGTAAAATCGGCCAAAATATCTCTCCGCCTCACTCCCGCAAGTTTATACTTGGTTAAAATCTTGACGTAAATGCTCTTTCACTTTCTTTTAACGTTGTAATGGGTTAATTTCATGTTTAATTCAATATGGTGGCAGTTCTCACGGTTTGAATTTTTACAAATTTCGTGGCACGGCCCCTTTAAGTTCCTGCTTGGCGCCGACCTACTACTTTGTCAACATGTTCACTTTAATATCTGAGTAGCCTCACTTATTTAGACCATTGAGGCAGTATAGATAGAAAATACTTCTTCTAGTTTGATTTTGGGGTGGTTTTGAAGTGATTTCTTTGATTTTTTGTTTGTTTGTCTGTTTCTTTGTTTTGTTTTTCTTTTTTTCCTTTACTTTCAGGGATCTGACGCAACCGATTGATATTAGTGCGCCAATTACGAAGCATATGTTCTAGAAACACAAGGTTTTAAGCTTTACTTCATAATTACACATTTGAATAACAATATATTTGTAAACAGTGAGTATGGGCTATTGATATTGTGGCGTAGCCGACGTTCGATATATCGAAATTCTAAAACGAATTCGAGGCTTTTGGGTCATATTTTTTATATCTGGTGTTCTTTGTGCTCAAGTCTCCACTGGGAATAACGATACAATCAAATCTTAAAAAGAAATGTAATTTTGTTTGCAAACTCTCGGAGTCATGTTAGAATTTTGAGTTTGATTATATTGAACGTGGGCTATTACGTAATGCTTACGCGTACAAAGGTCAAGTGGACGGAAGTGATTACAACATCGGTCATGATCGGTGCTTGAAACAAAACTCAGTAGGCTTAAATGCTTGTTCAGTTTGCTTGGTGTCTAAGCTATGGAAAGAGTATGCATTGTTGTGGTGTTTGTTATCCTTGCATGGTGTTTTAACATACAAGGACAGGAGCAGCAAGGTAAGAGAGATATATGTCACTTATTTTTATCATTTAACGGGCGGTTTTCAACACTGTCTGACAAACTTTAGTCTGAAATAAAACTCTTACTCTGATATACTGTTAAGGAAATTCACCGTTCGTCAGTATTACCATTTATCCTTGCTGCACATGGGCTAATGCTGATTCGCCTTTTAAAATTTTCTCATCAACATTGGATTAATCGTATCTCTAAGGATTGCATCTCTTAAGTCGAAGCGATAGGTTAACGCATTTACCTGACGGGGGGCCGTTTAACTTATAGTATGGATTGAGCGTCTGTGAAAACATACTAGACAACTGACATAATTGTGCGCCACCCCAATGCTCCCCCTTGTTGGGTTTTCATAACTAAAACTTTAGATGTAGTTGATTCAAACTGTTTGTTTTGAAACGAAATATAGATAGATAGTTAGGGACTGTTTTCTATAGATTTTAAGAAACGTTAGTCTAAATATCAAGATGTTTTTTACAGTTTCTGGGAAGATTGATTCGCTCTATTTTACGTAATATTTGTGTTCAGGACATATATGCTTACATCATCATGTTATAGAAAAGGTAGAAGAACATTGAAGCTGCTCGCGTTTTTTTTTGTGTCTAACCATTTTGGAAAACCTAACTGTGGCGAGAATCAGTTTCAGTTAGGAATTGGGGGAGTGCTATTGTAAAAAGAAATGTTCAGAAAAAAAAAAAAAAAGGTCTAAATCTCCCAGAATACGTTGCGTATGTTCAAATTTTCATCATTGTACCGCATTTTCAACGTTTACCGTAACATTTGACTTTTCTCATATAACTTAGGAAGCATTGTGAATACGGCCAAACAGGAAAAACTGAGAGGAAACTCGTCGGTTTTGATCATTACATAAGGTTTTTATTATTATTATTATTATTATTCAGTTCTTGGCTTTAGAAAATCCAAGAAACATGTCTTTTTGTTTGTTTGTTTGTTTGTTTGTTTTTTCACATTAAATAATATTAGCTTAGACATCCAGCTCTAAGCGTGGCATTTTTACCCATTGTAATTTTTAGGAATATGTCCGAAAAACTGGTTCAAGTTAAATAACGAGTCATGCTATCATATCTTTAACTCGCCTCTTAACTGGGAAGCAGCAAAATCTGCCTGTGAGGAACTAGGATCCACTCTTGTCATGGTAAAATCACGAGCTGAACAAGAGGCACTCTCTCCTAGAATCATATCGGAGCGCGTTTGGATAGGAATGCACAGATACAACGGTACCTCACCTTGGTTTTGGGTTGACGGAACACAGGTTACATACACCAACTGGGGATCGGGAGAACCCAATAACCTGGACAACGAGCTCTGTGTAATGATTTGGCCTCCGTCATTCCCATTTAAATGGAAATGGAATAACCAGAGGTGTGCAGTTGCTTACCACTACGTGTGCGAAGTCTCCGGTAAGTAAATCAAGACCCAGTAGTTGACGTTTTTGGGGTAGGCTATACTTAAACGCTGAAGATTAGATCATAAAAAGATGTTGTAAAATTAAACGATTTCTGTGAAGTTCTGCGGTGTTTTCATATGGTGCGTATTCTGATTAGCATAACAGTTGTCGAATTTCAGACGAAAAAAAAAAAACGTTTCACACATTAGAGACCTTAAGATCGAAGCTTGGACATATAATCTTACCGCAAAAGGCAATCCGCGGTTTGCGGTTAGCGGTTTCACGATATCCTTCTGCCCATATATATTTAGGAATTAAGATTCGCGCGTGGTAGCTCGCGGCTGCCATGTTTGTTTTTATTCATCCGTTCACTCTATTTTAGCGGAGAAAGTTCAACATTTAATTAGCGAAAGAGTTCGAAAAAGGATTATTTTCTCTCGAACATGAGATTGTGATGTTTTAGGGTGCGAAAAACCTTGTAGTAAATCACTTACCTCTGGAGCGTGATCTAGCCGTACAAACTAGAACCTCAAACCGCAAACCTGACGGCAAGGTACTAGCCACGTGAATTCTTGACGTTTGTGGTTCGCGGGAAATGCCGAAAAACCTCAATCTTAAGGTCTCTATTGTTTTCCCTTTCCCATGAGTATCACGAGACGGTTGTAGAAAATCAATAATTGAGATAGATGGTGTGACGTACTACAGGATTACATAATAACAATTTCAATTGATACCCCTAGGCTGTCTGGAGACCCATATCGCTAAAATCTCAATATTGATGTCAGAATCCTCGCTCAGAGTCATTGTATTGACATCGTTAGTCTATCCTTACTTTGAACTTAATTTTGAACAAGAAAAATAATACGCACATCTCTCTCATGGGGGGGTCTATTAGACAGAGGGCGTTTATTCCAGAGGGCGTCTAATACAAATATAACTTTGTAAATGGAGCGTTTATTAGATCATTATTTCAGGTTTTTTTAGTTGATAAATCGTCCAATCTTATTTCTAATAATATACTAATCTAGCATCACTAAGAACAGCACCTGCATCCAGCATTACCGAGTTAAGCTACTACCTGAGGAAACAGACGAAAAGTAATACTATTCGTCGTCTTGAACAACGAGCTGAAATTTGATAGATCACACTCATAATTTCCAATTTAAATGGAAGTTAGTTTAAAGGACAGGTCGATACAAACTAAATAACTGATAAATCGCTTTCATCTCTTACAGAGGATTAATGGCGAAACCTTAATTTGCTTATAGTCAAGCATGCACCACAATGACAACAACTTGAACCTCGACGTTGAATGATTCAATTTATTTTCCAGGAATACATGGCATTAACTTGAATGCATCCAAGACGGTACTGAAAGTGGGAAGCGCTATTGAAATAAGCTGTACCGTGATTGGTGGGCTAATCAACCCATATATCACTTGGTTTAAAGGGAGTGAAATGATAGTGTTAAGCCATCGCAGAAATATTACGACCGATGAACGCCAATCTCGTTTGACCATAACGAATGCAACTGCAAAAGATGAAGGGGTATACCATTGTTATACAAGGTAAACCTCTTGACTAAACAGCTATTGTGTGGTTGGCCATTTAAGCATTAGTTTTTATTATTATTATCAATGAGCACTATGCAACACGCATTTTGACCTAGGGCCAACTGATGGACAATGAACTTCTTTAAGCTCCTTAAATATGTCAACAAGATTTGGTTCTCTCGAAGCCAAAACTCGAAGATAATTTGAAGCCCTTAACTCCCGATCCGTTCCCCGGGAAATGGATGAAATTCGGGCAAGTCAGGCTAGAAAAAGTTGTTCCGTTGACCTCAAATTTGAAAGAGTTTTGCCTTTAAGAATCTAAACAATTAAGAGCTCGATTTTTTTTTCCCTCAGAAAACGTTTTTGTTGATAGGCACGCGTATCTGAAATTCTACTGAACCTTTAAAAAAGTTTCTTTTCTTCTGAAATTTATGTAATTTTCAGCCGTAAACTAAATTGCCTGGGAAGAACAGTTTAAATTTGCGAAAAAAAAAATAACAAAAACAAAGAGCAAAACAAAACAAAAAGGGTGATCCGGACACTGGTATTTAAAAAGTGTTGAAACCAGTGCAATAAGGAAAATTTATTAGTCGGGTCACTTCTGAGCCCAAAGCATGGCCTAAACTTCTGAATAACATAATAAAGCAAGCAATTAGTTTGGACGTGCATGTAGAGGCCGAACACAGCAGACATTTCATTTTTATTTGTTTGTGTAGTTATAGTTTGTGTCACTTTCAGGTATAATGGTGACTATTTCCCAAATTGAAAAAAAAAAAAAATTGCATGTTATCCACTCATGCTATGGATTTCCGAAACGATTTAAACCATTTACAAGAATTCTTAGTAGATATAGGTTACTTTCCATCTAACATCGGTGAAGGTAATAATGGTTTTCTATCTTTACTTTTAGCACAGGGCAACAAAACATCAGTGACTCAGTTACTATTTGGGTAGACCCGCCAGTGCTCCTTATAAAACCGCGAGTCATGACCAAACGAGTCGGTAAGTTCTTATTCTCGCTGTAGCAAGAGCTTAACCAGATTACTGTGGAGGGGTTTTTAGTTACTTAATGACAGAGGAGAAAATCGCAAATGTTTCCTTCCCCGTCTTGCTTTCGAGAATATTAATTAGTCGGTAAGTTCTTATTCTCGCTGTAGCAAGAGCTTAACCAGATTACTGTGGAGGGGTTTTTAGTTACTTAATGACAGAAGAGAAAATCGCAAATGTTTCCTTCCCCGTCTTGCTTTCGAGAATATTAATATTAAAGCAATGACATTAAAATAAGGGCGATCAAGGCTATTGTTGCGGCACAATTTGTTTACGTTATTATTGATCACTTGAATCAATGACGTCATATGACATGGGACCATAATTATGCCAGGCAAGTGCCAAAGTTTAGCAAGCAAGAGATAAAATGATTTCATTTAATCTAATATAATTTTAAAAGTCATTCTCGTTTTGATTTAACAAAGAATTTAATTAAATAGATTAAACTAAAATAAATTAACAAATCTGGTTGCTATTAAATATCCAATGTCATTATAAAAGTTTGTAAGCACATAATGTTTGGAGACAAGTTATGAAAAATCCAAAAGCCATTTGGTTTAGTTAGGTCTGTTTTATCTTGCTCAATATGCGTTATTAATGTCGATGTTAGATCAAAGAAGTCAAGTCGTTAATGGCTGCAGGTTACTCCAGAGTCATGTCGAGGGCTAGGGATTCTTACAAGTTCTTTGTTCTATTTTACCTTGTTTTTTTTGTAGGGGAACAAGCTATTTTTATCTGTAATGTGAGCAGTGGATCCAGCACTGTAACTAACGTGTCTTTAGTAGAAGTCACAGAAGTTAACAGCAAGTCATCCAAGTTGGACAAACACCAACAAAAATTCGTTGATAGTATTTTGTCATCCTACCATCAAGTGAGCTTCTCGATAATTAACCTACAAATTCCCGAAGGAAGGAAGATTCAAGTAAGGCAATTCATCTGTGAGGTGAAATATCGAGACCACACAGTCAGAAGCGAATTAGCAGATCTAATCATTTTGCCGCCTTCACCTGAACAGCTTGACCCAAGTACAGTTTGTTTATTTAGTTATTTATCTATCTGTTTATTTATTTATTTACTTATTTATTTTTGTGAACTTATCTTTAACTAGAACTTCTTCTCTTTCAAACCTTTTCGTTAGTTCTTTAGACAAATTTTGGAAACATTTGATGACTTAAATGTAATACTATAGTTACGATATGGAAAAAATGTGCTACCAAAAGGCATTTTTTGTCAGTTTCTTGCACTTTCTTTATGATACGGCCACCAAAATTACACAGAATAATGTACCAATATTTCCAAAATCAAGGTATGATTTTATTGACACAATGAGGTAATGTGAGGCTATTATGCCGCCATATTATTGAATACGTATTGGCAGAACCCAAATTTCATCAATTTTTCATAAAAGTAGCCATAAAGTGCAAAATACTTAATAATTAGTAAGGCTTCTGGTAAAATTATGAGGGCTGGTCTGCACATTGATAATCTTTAGTAATAGCAGTCATGTTACTGTGATGTCAAAAGAACCACGACGAAGATCACGACGACGACGTCTGTTGACTGGGAAAAGACTAGAACGAGAACGTCACTTTCGGCGGGAAAAAGGAAACTTAAGATGCATTCGGTCGGTAGGTCGACGACGACGACACTGAATGTAAACACAAATGTAAAACTGTGATGTTCGTTCGCAGCAAAGTTTTTCGCAATGGCGTCTTTTAAAACAATGCAAGATCTTATTTTTTAAGCCGTACGTCTAATTTCAATGACGATGAAGAATTTTTTGTGTTGTTTGACCTTTTCGAGTGGAAAAAGCACCTGCTTTCCGTACGAACATCATTCAACTTTCAACCTGAATGAGATGACCGAGTGCGAGTGTCTGTCAGAGTTTAAATTTGGAAGAAGAGACATTCTGATATGATAGCTGTTCCTCTATATTAAAGATAAATGATTTGCCTTACCTAGATACGTACAAATAAATTTATCACTCACGAGTTCGCTCGCTCGGCCTCCACAGCTGTTGTCATTTTTCGAAGTAAAAACCATTCATTAGTCGAATTTTTAATCAACATCGCTTGTTAGGAGAAAAAAGGAACGATACCTGAATTTACGAGGATATGAAAATGATAAGGACTTCAAAAATCGCTTAAAAACAGTGGATTTATATCTGCCGAAGCTTGTGGATTGCAGGACGACGTGATTTTACTTTGTTTGGCGTCGTCGACGACACCACGACGACGAAATTTACTGGTCGCGCTTGAGCAGTACACTGTAACTTACTTCCGGTCGTCGTCGACAACGTCGTCGTCGTGGTTCTTAAGTTCCCTATTTAAGGTGGCTCGACTGGATTTTTCAGAGACTATACCTCCTCACTCTGAGCGTTTACCACGTCGGCATTAACAAAGATAACCCCAAAAAGTTGCACTGCATAAAGATGAAAATTTGTTATGATCCATGTTTTATTGACATCAGAGTTACCATTGCAACATAATGACGCCATTACGTTTTTTACTTGCCTTTGTATTTCTCGGTACTAGGATTTTTTTTTTTTTCAGAAATCGCTTAAGGGAGCTTGTACCTCACATAGTTGCCTCGGTTGTGGCAAAGTTTTAGCCTGCGAAAACATCCGTTTCTCCACGCTCTTCGCCGCTGTGGACGTTTCGCACGGGCGAACGTCTACGACTCAGCGACAGAAATTCCATACTGATGACGTAAGACATGTCCGGAAATCCGGTCAGAAGCCCTGATTGGTCAAATGTAAACGCGATGAAGTTAACAAAACAATCATTGTCTTTTAACATTTATTGCTCGTTAAGAACACAACACTTTACCAAAATGGCAGAAACGTAAAACATGACCACCGGATTTATTAAAAAGACAAATTTTTGGCCACGAAAAGGTCATGTTTTCGAAGGCTAGCAAAGTTTGAACAAAACGCGATGAATAAACATCTCAACAAAACAATCAATATTTAGTGGAAAATAGTCTTCTCTAGAACAGGCATTTGATTTTTTGCTGGAGCTCGATTATTTCGCAGATGAACACAACAGTGTTACCAAAATCGACCAGGAGAAACTGTGAAAATTGAATAAATTTGCGTTTTTGTTTTTTTGTTGTTTTTTTTTTGGAACCCCATAAATAGTTGACCACCGGATTTATTTTAAGCTAGAAATAAATCCTTTTTATAGAAAAATGCACCTGGTTGCCTGGTTGCCACGTTTTGCGATATTAATATGTTCTCAGAAAAGTTTTCAGTTTACGGCCGGGTTTGGAATTTTGTTTTGGATGGGTTTAAGACCTAATTACGTTCCTGAAGGCATAAAATGCCTGAGAGAAATTTCCTGGAGGAGGCGCGAAACGTCCCCACGGCAGCCAGTCAGTTAACCAAGTCGTAAATCAATTCGTGTTTTAACGCCTACTTGTAATCTACATCTTAAAAGTAGAATTAAATTTCGACCCGCACGCCATAGAACCTCCAGTAGCTCAGTGGTTAGCGCCTCCGAACAAGACCTCGGAGGGCAGACTGGGAGTCGAAAAATTTTCTTAATTTGTCTTTTCCTTCCAAGATTTAACCTGAATGTTTGCAAAGCTACGAAAACCCCTTCATCTAAATACGCTTTTGTTTCTAAACAAAATAACGTTTTTACTTCTCCGAAGGAACCGCAACACGAATCTGCACTAACAAAGGAATGTGGTTGAACGCAAACTTTACAGGTTGCAGCTCTGATACATTTATCAAGTTGGCTGATGCAGTAAGTGAAATTATCAATGAGCATGAGTCTACTAGGATTTGTACATTTAAAGTTTGTTAAATCTCTATTGGCGTTTAAACTAATAAAGAATTAAGAATTATCGTTTCGTCAGAGCATTTACTTTTATGAGGTGATAAAGCCTGCAGGTTAATACTTATATGTTTTACGAATTTTCAGTTCCAAAGAGTTCTTCTTACTTTTGAATTTCTAAGCTATCGCTTTAGGTGGCATTTTAGGTGGCATTTAAGTGAGGGCCGAGAAAGCTGTCATGTGTTTCTAAAAAGTTTAAATCTGTACATTGTTTGTACTAGAGTTTCTGAGCTCCTCGAGTGATAAATTCACGCTTCCGTAGCAAAACTCAATGATAAATGTTTCTGATAGTTTACGTCCAATGGTTAATGGTTTCGATTTTGGTCTTCGATGACGCGACAGTGAGCACTACTGTCACAAACTGCATCATTGTGTGTCATCGGAGGAAAGCATATCAAGTTGACAAATCACAAATGTAAGCAAAACGCGTACATTCAATATCCAAATAATACTTTAATATGTTATCACTATTTCTATCGTCTCTCATCTCCTTGCTAAATCCTCATTTTACAATGAGTCATTTGGTTCTGTTTTTTCTTTTATTATTCTGCTTGATAAGATGAAAGCTATCGTAGCAGGTCTTGAGACAAACTTGACTGCACAAGATGTTCTTTGGGAGCTCTCAATTGCTACTCAGTCCATTCAAAATAATCCTAGCAGGCCTCTTCAGATCTATGGAGGGGATCTAGTTATAGCGGTGGACATACTCGTTGAAATATCCATTGATAGCAAAAACGTGACTTCACGAGATGACTTTAAAAACTTTGCACACGTGGCCAGTAATTTGTTGGAAACAACGAACAGCAGGACTTGGAAAGAGCTGAAGAAAGTAAGTATGACAAAGACTTGGCATTTTCATTTAACTGGTTTCTCGGCAACGTCAGAACTTAATTGAAGTATTTGAAACGAGAGCCACTATCCGCTGACCTGTTAACTTGTTGACTTGACAAGTATAAGTCATCGACATGCGCTTTGGACTTAAGGAATTCTGGAATTAATTATAGTGATTCCCAACGTTAATCATATTTCAACCAAAACATTTGAAACCCGTTCTGTACAGAGCTTCTCGATATCTATACAGGGGCGGATTTCAGTCGACGCTTGTTTAGTAATCTAACTCTCAACCCCTCCATTACGCATTGCTGTCAGAGCAAAGGTACCAGCACAAGGAGTGGGTGACAACATACAATGATTTTTTCAAAATTGCCCAAGCAAGCCTCAACTTTGCTTGGCTGTGTATGTGCTTAGTAAAATGGAGGGCACACAGGAAAGATAGGAATACAAGACATCGTGACTACAAAAAATGAAATTTGCCTTTCGGTTAAATTCAAGGTTTTTTCACAGAATAGAGCTTGAGTTCTAGAGATGGCTTGCATTTGATTTAAACGCTCCGATATGTTTCACTTACAGGCTGGTAAAGATAGAAGTAGGAGCTTGGTAAAAGCGATGGATAGGTACGGGCTAGCTGTTGCTGCCACGCTACATGGATCGACAAAGCCAATCGTTGCACGAACCAAAAACCTGCTGATGCGAATTGACCGCGTAAAAAAGGACAGTCCGGTATGATAATAATGTACGCTTTGCTTCTTTAGGTCGCATATATTTAAAGGCTTAGCTCATCAGGGACTCTTTTTGTATCGTTAGCTCATCAGGGACTCTTTTTGTATCGTTTTGTGAGAGCTATCTTTAAGCGATTTCGAATCGCGTTGGAGGCACTCGGATCAGGCAGGGGGCGCGGCTTTTTCGTAGGAGGACTTCGTTAATTGCAAGAAAATCAGTAGCTTTGTCACGTTTAACAAACAAAATTCAAGCAGCTTGGAAAGCGATATATTATGATATAACATTTTTCCATGTATTCTCACTTAAAGGTCTCTTAGCTTCTTAGCTCTTCACCCATTTTATCGCGTTGGTCTTGTAGTTATAATAAGTATTTGGGGAAGACAATTATGATCTGATGTAGTTATAATAAATATTTGGGAAAGACAATTATGATCTATTAAATGACCTCTCGGATCTGAAAATAGATTTATATCCATATTGTATTTAAATGAGCAAAAAGCTGAATATGGTTCATTTGGGTTGTGTCCTAAGGCCTATCATGCCTTATACTAGTCGAATGTGACCAATGAAATATGACGTGCGATGGCATTCAATTGGGGAAATTAGTTTAGGCGTTGTTATACTGGATTTTTGATGGAAAGCAAGAAAGAAATTATTAGGCAACATAATCCAAAAAGCCGCTGAGTTGCATAACATATGAATCTTACTACTTATCTTTTAATCCTGAGTTTACTAACATCTGCGTTCGACTTCCAGGGTTTGAAGATCAGTTACAACCAAAGCTCTATCTATTTGCCTTCGCAAGCATTCAGTTCATCACAAGATTCGTCCGTGGTAACCATTATCTTTTTGACGTTACATAACGTCCTGTCGCTCCCAGCTGCAAAAACAATTCAGAACAACAGTGGCCGCCACTTGTCTCCTAACACTTCAGTTATATCTGCCACCGTAAAACCCAGACCCCCAGACGTTTTCAACAAACCAGTTAAAATCGTACTACGCAACACAAAGGTAAGCGTTGCTTCTCAGATCTGAGTAATATATGCATTTCCTTAACGCTTGTTTATGATGATGATAATGAATAATGATGATTGTTATGATGATGATGATGATGATGATGATGATGATGTGATGTGGTCTTCCCTTCAGTTGAAGGTAAACTCTTACATGCCACCACAAGGAAACTGTGTATTTTGGCGACCAGAAGAGTCTTCGATTTGGAACTCCACTGGCTGTAGACGTGTGCCCAGTAAATCGGACACCGCAATGACAACTTGCGAGTGTGATCACCTGACAGTCTTTGCTGCACTCATAGATCCATTCGGCCCACCCGTAAGTTAATGACAACCACGTATATATATATATATATATATATATATAATATGTAGAGGACACACATGGCTTAACGGAGATACGAAACTTCTCTTCCGAGTGTTGAAAAATATTCGAGTTAACCTTTTTGAAAACGAGAAGAGAAATATCGTATCTCCAAGCGACTATGTAAGTAATGTAGTAATGTTCTATTTATTATATAAACACCAATGAAATACCAAAAAAAGTGTGATTTATCTTGTAGCCTTAGCAACGGTGATCTTTTCATGTGTGAAGATATGTTATTTTGAATTCATATGTGATTTTGCGCGTGGTGGTTATGTAATAAAAAATGAGTACCGACGACACACTCCTTGGGAACTCCACGATGGACTAGCCAAGGAGGAGAAATATAATAATATATGTAATAATCAGTCAAATGAAAATTTCGTTAATAAAAAATACGCTCAATAAGAAATTTCTTCGACTTAGATTTGAATACACTCAGTAAAAGGTCCTTCGCCCGTATGATTTAAGATTATATTTCGGTGTAACAAGAAGATATTACCAGAGGAACGCAATCTTCTTCCAGGATTGTAAACGGATAACAGTTCACAAGGATATTCAGGTTCCATGCCGAGTATTGATTTGAACGTTAGAAGTAAGATTTTGTAATTAATTCTTTCGGCCACTGGCAACCATTGTAACCGTTTCCTTAAGGGCGTTATGTTATCATACTTGCCATTCCCAATGAGGAGACGCGCAGCAGAGTTCTGGACATACTGCAGTCTCTGAGTCTGATTCTTGGAAAGGCCTGACAAAATGGATTTACAATAACCTAGCTTTGAAGTAATAAATGCATGAATAAGGGTCTCGCAGTGCTGAAAAGATATAAATTTCCCTATTTTGGCTATGTTATGCAGAAAATGTAGGTTTGCAAATAGAGGCAATCTGAAGCTGTTTATCCATAGACACCAAATTGTCGAACCCACACGGCGATAGCAATACGCAATACGTCTACAGGTGGCTGATCTCATAGAAGCCGGGGGAATCTCCCGTCTTTTATGCACCAGTTAGCTCGTAATGCCTTTTTAACTGTTGAAAAGAAACAATGATCTGGAATTTGAATTCCCCGTCAGTCTTGCAGATCAATTTAACCGGTTGCAAATTGTACATTTGAGTGAAGCGTAAACAGAGATTGCTCTCGCTATGTTGTTTGGAAAAGACATGAAAGGAATAAGCAAATCATTGAGGGCACGACCTGCCCTCTTCCCCTTTCCCTGTAGAAAATCTGGGTTTTAGCTTTTGGGATTAAAAATGCTGCCAGCGACATTCAGATAACTAACTAAGAGTTATTGTTTTGATACATATTACAGACAAAAGAAAGCCACAAGGAAGCCCTGGAAATCATTTCTACCGTTGGCTGTTCTATTTCGTTGGTAGCTGTGGTTATTACCATCATTGTGTTGAGTCTCTTTTCCAGACCACTCAAAGCAGGGGTTAAAGTGCTCATTAACTTATGTGCTGCAATTGCAATCACTTGTGTGCTTGTAATATTTGAGGGATTGGCACGAAGTAGTAAGGTACGTGCTAGGCCGGTTGCATTCAAATCCTTTAATATATGGGTTGTAGTTCAATTCTATCCTTGGTTTTAATTTCATTTCCCTTTGTTTTGGGTTATACTAATGTATGATTTAATGAGTTTGAAACAAAGGAAAATAACATTTAAACCAAAGATAAAATTAAACCACAACATTCATACATCGATTTAAAATGTAGTACAGATCAAGAAGATAGTTCGCAGTAACAACAGAGGGTAATATTCTCCGCTAAACAGCCAAAAAAAAAAACACAAACACACACACAAATGAACAAGTAAATAAATAAAGAAAGACGCTAACTCAACAGCCGCCCAATGAATGTTGTAAGAGCTATGGAAAATTATTGATATATTTAAACAAACCCTTACGTATTGTTTAATGACTCCTAGGTTGGTTGTCCTGTGGTAGCGGCGTTTTTGCAGTACTTCTTGCTGGCTTTATTTTCGTGGATGCTCTGTGAGGGTATATCACTTTACCTAAAGGTCGTCAAACCGCTGGAATATGGTCTTGCCATTGAGGAGAAAATGAAGTCCTTTTATCTTTTTGGGTGGGGTAGGTTTGCTCCAAGGCTCATTTCTACTATAAGCCCTTGCTGAATTAAACAATCGAAAATGTAGGATTTAGCCAGTCTATTTAACCAGACTTTTTAAGAGCGACGGTCAGGAAATATCGAACAAAATCTTGAATTTCTGGCAAGAGTTTTAAAATCAATGTCTTACATTTTTTGTCTATTGTTAGCTTTTAGGTAGATACGAAACCTGATCATGTAAATTTCCTCGCCAAAAGCCTTTTATTTTCAACAAAAAAATAAGAATATCGATCTTCATGGTCGGAGACTCAAAAGGGCCAACACCTTTCAATGGCTGCCACTGCCTGGGTAATAAGGCTGTGCGCATGAGTAAGTTACTGGCCATATGGCGGAGTTGGTCGTGTGTGTTTCAGCGCCGAATTTCGCTAGCATCAGCTCTTGTTTCGTTCGCAGGCGCTTTCCATGAAATTTCAAATTTCAAATTCAAATTTCGACTGTTTCCATGAAATTCGACGTTCTCCTTTTATTTCGTTTGCAGACACTTGACAAATTTTTACACTTTCCATCGACGAAAAAAACTCTTTCTTCAGGGGGTGCTTCGTTTTGTTTTTTAAAAGTCCGTTTAGTACCTTAAAAGGTACTTTCAGGGTAATAGCAAAAAAAAAAACAAACAAACAAACAAAACAAAACTCATTAGTACTCATTTTCGACGCTGGTATTTAGGGTGCGACAGGTTATTGGCTCCTGAGTGCGACTATTATAACCGGGGCCACCCTAACAAAATTGACCAGTCGGATTGCAGGAAAATAACAGTACATTCCGCAATAGTAAGTAGTCAATAATTGCAATGGAACGAAATAAACAGTAGATCGAAATTAACCAATCACAGCCTACAGACGTCGCCTTTTGAACCCGCTGAAGAAAGAGAAGAAAGCCCGTGTTTCCTGAGAGGTCCTGAGAGGTCGTTATTGTTATCGTTATCGTTATCGCTATCGTTAGCGTCGCTATCGTTAGCGTCTTTATCGTGATCGTGATCGTTATCGTGATCGTGATCGTGATCGTGATCGTTATCATCATCATTTTTATTATTGTTACCCTTCCCGTCATAATATCATAGGTGACGAATTACTCCTTAATTTTGGCGCGAAATTTCAGCGTTAATTTGTAATTTCACATTTGAAATTACAAAATTGCCATGGCAACCCTTCCGTACGTCTCAGTGTCAAGATGGCGACTAAGTTTTAAATCGCCCTGAATGAAGATATCAGGGCACAAAAAGACGCTTTAGAAAACCTGAACACACAAAAGAACACCAAGAAGGATTCTAACAGGTATTTTGCCGAAAAAGTATGAAAAATTCTGAACTTTATAATTCAAATTCAAGGTCTCAACATTTGAGAGAGTAGAGTTCTCGATCGATACGATCCAGGATAAACATGTCAAAAATCCAAGACTGCTAACGTAATTCGTCACCCATGATATTAATTAAAAGCGAGGGAAATTATTAGGATTTGGACAAAACGCGAGTGAAATTATTCCCTAATTTCACGAGTATAGCATTTGATTACACATACTAATTCAGTTACTACGTTCAATTATTAAGTCTTTTCTGGGGGACTAATTTTCTTGTAATTGTTTTTAGGTTTCCCAGCCATTATAGTGAGCATTTCGCTGGCTGTCACTCAAACAAATGGTTACGGTAGCAAATCAGCTTGTTGGCTGGATATCAAGAATGGATTGATTTGGACGTTTATTGCTCCAGCGTTATTCGTTATCTTGGTTGGTGTAAATTATTTTGCCTACAGTCTGCTTCATTTAAGTATAAGTGAATTATAATTTATTGAGTGAATTAGATATCAGATAAGCTTATATATTATTGCAAAATTGGTTACACTAGTGGCCATCTGTTGCTTGTTGGTACTCAATGTTTTAAAAAATGGGTATCTCGCCTGTCTGATCCGAAGAAACACGCCAAGAGAATATCTTGATGTTGTACTACCCTCTTTTCACTGTTTCTTAGCATTGTTACATTTCCATATTATTTTCTATTGAATTAAGTTTTATATTTCCTAGCCTGTGTACAGACGCGCTCCCCTAAAAATAAACCGGCAAGAGATTTTCGCCCGAATTAATTTGAGGGGAGGGGGCGTCAGTACAGAGGCTACATAGTTCCCAGCAAGAATGTGTTTCCTTATTATTTATTCATTTTATTTTATTTTTTTATTTAGTATTTTTCATTTTGTTATGCCAAAATAGTCTGAGCAACAAAGGCTAAAATCCTCGTTCTCAGGTTCTTCTCCTACTCGTCCAGAGGAGTAGGAGAGGACACTGAGAACGAGGTAGTAAACTGCTTGATTATTTTTCCACAGGTAAATACCGCGGTACTGATACAGGTGATGCGTGAGATAACGAAAAAAGTGACGAGAAAAGTGGAAAACAAAACACAAAGTGTGAAACTGAGAGCCGGAGTAAGAGCCTCTGCTGCACTTCTTCCTTTGCTCGGAATCACGTGGCTGTTTGGTCTTCTGGGCTTCAGTTATGATACCATCGTTTTCAAGTACATATTTGCCATCTTCAATTCTCTTCAGGGCTTAATGGTCTTTATTTTTCATTGTGCGCTCAACGACAAGGTAGGCAATTGAGGACTCCGGCTTTCTCTGCCGCCTTAGAAATTTAAAACAAAATATTAAACCGTTTCCAACGTGTCCAACGGTTACAAATATGGCAGCTATTGCGCTTGCGCGTTAATCAGCCAAAGCTGTCAATTTGTAAACGCTGGCCAAAAGAAACAGAGCACTGTTTGTTTGTTTGTTTTTTTTTTGAAGATCAGGCCAGAAGTTAAACTTCTAAAACCCTTCATGATGTTTATGTTGGTAATAGAGATACGCTATATACTGTGTAAATGAACTCGGTTTGATATTGTTTTTTGACACTCTTGACTCTTTAAGTGTCATAAAAAAGAATCAAGTAAGCAAAAATAAAACAAACAAACCAACCACTTAACTACACTGTACCTGAAAATTAAAATTTGATAAGTGTAGACTCATGCGCGATCATCCACACGATCGAAGTAGGGTAAAATAAGCTCTGCTCTGTAAGCCCATTTTATGGACTGATGATTAGTAATAACTGACATTTCACTACTAGGTTAATAACCATTTCAGTCAATTAAATATATTCATCAGAAGACCGCCTTTTTCTTATTTTCGAGGTGAATACCATCGATGATGTCCTAACAAAGAGGTAATTGCTGTTGTGATAAATTCTATGCCTCAGAATAGATTTCATTTTTTTTTAACAGATAAAGCAAGCTCTCATAAAAGGGAAAAAAGCGCATCAAGTCAACAGAGGTAAGTTATTTTATTCCTGCAAAACACAGAAAAAAAGAAAATACTTTTGGAAGCCGGGGTAAGCCTTTCTAGTCCAAAGGACGAAACGTTTCCCTCTATTTGTCATACATTTCTTCACTTTCCCTTTTTCCTTTTTCTGCTTCTTTGTAACACAAATTTTATTTCTTTTATTGCAGGTACAATAAAACGGCCAAACAGGAATGAATATGAAGCGGGAGTGCCTCCGTGAATACTTGAAAAATCAAGGAGATAAAACATTAAAAGCCAAAGATAACGGATCTCTTAACCCTTTAAACCCTAAGATCAAAATATGAATTCTCTTTTGTCGCCCCTGTTCATTTCCTACAGAAGTTGTGGAGAAGTTGATAAAACATCAAGCAAATTCATTTTGGGTGATCGTGTCCGTAATTCTCACGACCGCTCTGTTTAACAAAACATTGATATTACAAAGAGAAATTTGATGCTGATCACTCTTAGGGCTTAAAGGGTTAACTGAAGCCGTTACCATTTTTGTTAAACTACGTTAATATCCCGGGGGGGTACTGCCATATATGGGCTATATAGGTATGTGCCGCTGTGAAGGGTATGGTTTTCAAGCAGTTTACTCTGGGATAGGGTATATAAATCAGAGCGTTTGGCTCTAGAATAGGGTATCATTTTTCAGGAAACTGATCAGTTGGTTGAAGATTTTATCGAGACTAGGTACACAGCTACTCTAGGATAGGGGGATTTGGGGATTTTACTCTAGTATAGGGTAGCAAAATTCAGCTGAACTAGCTCTGGTAAAGGTTAAGGGGTACCCCCCCGGGGTTAATATACAGAGGTCGTCGAGTTTCACCTTTATATTTAGACAATAGAATTGCCTATCCAGGTTTTTCGTCTCCAGAGTTAAGACTAAATAAAACATAAACTGTTAAATCAATGGAATTTTGTCTTTTCTGGCCCTAATATCTATCGGAGCTTTAACATTTTTTTTATTGACTGATTACTTTAATCGTCAGCCGAGCGCTGATCGGGGTGCTATCAGGGTGCAATGGCTTAGAACCAACTGTCAAATGAAACACGTGAGATGGGGGATCTTACTAGCTTTAAACTCGCCATATCTTAGGATATAACTTTTATCATGTTTTTATCTTATTTCTAATACTCATTTCTTGCTGTTATATTGTATTGTTAGTTAATCACTAGTCTTAATTTGTATAAATTGTAATTATCACACGGCATGTCTGAAAACCAGCTTGCTGAGCCATTTACCGTGTTTAAATAAAGTTGATTGATTGACTGATTGATTGATTTGTTTTGGGTCCTGGCATTATCATAGTTACTAAATAAGGCTATGGACAAAACATCTCTCCCGTACATATTAGGATGATCGGTATGCATCTCCGGGACCTCTTTCCCATTTTATCTTCTCGCACCAGCTTTAATTTTCTCGTTTGCATGCACGCGGTAACGCGGCTTACTACGGAGACTTGTTAATCTCTTTTAAAGGTTTTCCCCCTGGTTTTCCCCTTTATAAGAGGCCTGGGGGGGGGTACTGCCATATATGGGCTATAATTATAGGTATGTGCCGCTGTGAAGGGTATGGTTTTCAAGCAGTTTACTCTAGGATAGGGTATATAAAATCAGCGCGTTTGGATCTAGAACAGGGTATCATTTTTCAGGAAACTGATCAGGTTGTTGAAGATTTTATCTAGACTAGGGAAACAGCTACTCGCGGATAAGGGAGATTTGGGGAGTTTACTCTAGTATAGGGTAGCAAAATTCAGCTGAACTATAGTAGCTCTGGTATAGGTTAAGGGTTCCAGGGTCCCAGCGGCACATCCCCACCCAGAAATTCCTAAAGTAACCCCCCCCCCCCTCCCCCGGGATAAGAGGTTTCTGATCTGCTTCAGACATTTCGTGTGCCCCGACATAACAATCGCAGCAGGTAACCGAAGTTCGCCTCAGTTAAGTATGGTCAAACATCCGGCCGGCATTCTAAGCAAAATGAAACTGGGGTTAAACGCTGCTGTAACCGCGCTGAGGGTGTTTTACTTGATAATTTGTTATTAGAAGCAGCTAGCTAAATCCATTCATTACGGTTACCCCATAAAGTCGACATAGAAGGATTTCTAACTTCTCTCACGTTATTTTATGCCACTAAATAAATCAGAGTTTGTGTTGAGTTTTCAGAGTTCCTGGTGGAACTATTATAGGTGCAAACAGTTTTATGTATGTATTTATTTATTTATTTATTTATTTTTCATTCCTTTGTTCGTTCGTTCCTATCTTTCCTTCCTGTCCTTTCCCCTTTCCCCTTTTTCTGTTTTTGTTTTCGCCTTTTTTTTCTTTCTAAGAAATATAAAATTCGCACGGCCTCTCGCCCTATTTATGGGAATCCGAGAAACTTTTCCTTGGGGAATCCGGATTCGATCCGGGAATCTTTTGCTCGTGGAATCCTGAATCTTGGGCTTTGGAATCCGGACAGCTTAGAGATGTCCGGTATTCAAAGTGTTTCTCCAAGGAACGTTATTATTATTATTATTTTTTACTTGCTTGTTTTCCAAACTCTTCCGGTGTACCTATCGTCTTTGAGACGGATCATTATTCTGTAAAAATGGGATCAAATAGTTTGGCACGGTTTATGTGAAAACTGGAACTTTGCCACGGTAGGATGATGATAGGTTTTAAGGGCGTAGCTAATAGCACAATCCTGGATTAGCCCTACACGGCCTTTATGTAAATAAAGGTAAACTTACTGAATTGAAATGTTATTATTTGTATCCTAAGAAAATAACATTTAAAAGAAGTGAAGGTATTTGTTGTTTATCATGTTTGGATGTATTTGACCTTGTAAAAAGTGTACCTTTTTGTATCCTGCTTGCTGTCCCATGTGCGAATCGTGTTAGTCTCATGCTAAGACGTTTGAAACATCATCTGCTGTACATGTTAAAACGGATGATTTGTAACACAATGTCACCTTCAGCCACGCTTCCTCTATAAAAATCCCGGGCATGATATGAAATAAATATTCTAATTTACAGATACGCCACCTCTTATAGCGAATTTGATTCAATTTTTATGACCCGGAATTCATAACTCATTTGCTATAAATAAATTTGCAGAATTGAGTTAAAATCCATCTTTTTTTTGTTCCATCGTGACAACGTCCTTAAAAAGCCAAATAAAAGTACAGGAAGCACTGAGTTTATGTAACTGATCGGCTTAGGAGGGGTTAAGTAAGGTCATTGTCTGCCGGCTATTTTTTCAACCTCACGGCGGACGTCCAATTTTCATTTTAGTGATGAAGTAATCACTCTGTAGACTGAGGTTATCAATTTCCGGCTTATCAACAAATTCTGGAACATACTATAACTTCCTTTTCGCCAAATATATAAAATGGTACAGCATGTAGTCTCTGGCATCACTGGAAAGTGCGTGCCCTATGATTGCTCTAATCTGACCTTTTTTTCTCCGGCGGCTCGATGGACAAGAAGTCGGATAGAACTTTCGGTTCTTTGAAATGTGTCCTGCAGGAACGAACTCGTTGCATTCTGTACTTGATAACCGTCGCTTTCCTAGTGTTGAGCATCGTGTACATATCTGTCGCGTTCGTCTTGATGAAGCAGCAACTATCTGAGGTAAAGAAAGAGCTTAGAGCGATTAAAGATTCAAGGACGAGTCTTGAAGAGAAAGATCCACCTTCGAGGCGTAAAAGGAGAGCTAGCAACTCGCAAATTTCCGAACTTGCCAGGAGAATTGCTTTGCTGGAAAGCGGGTAAGGAAATCCACGGTTAGAGTTGAGATGCAAATTTAAGATGCAGTAGGTAAAGGCGGAGTTTATTTAATAGCACATCTCATGCCAATGTCAAGGAACTCTAAAGATATTATATTAATAATAGAGTCGATATGAAGGCAGATTTTACGCCCGGGTACTCCAGTTTTCCCCTCTCCGTAAAAAAACCAACACTTTCAAATTCCAATTCGATCTAGAACGCACGGACACGTTTCAACGAGTTCTTATGAACTCCTTAGTGCTCCGTGGGTAAACAAATTACAATTTTAAATTACAATTAATTACAAATCAAAGTCTCTCTCATCAGCAAAGGTGCACTTTCTTATTTTATTTTGTTTTTTGATTCTGCTAAGGCGCACAGTCTCTTTTTTGAAATTTTGCTGCCCAGGCTGGTGAATAGATCAAAACAGACTTTGTCACGCTAAATTTACTAACTTTAAAATCGGACCTAATAAGGAAACTCTATATGGACCTCAAAGTTCAGTAGCCGAATTCGAATACCACACCCCTCAAAATTGCACTGTAGTAAACCCGAAAGACTGGATCTTTCACTGACAGGAAGGTTAGCAATGATAATTAAATTTATCAGAATGAAATTTGACCATAAGAAGACTTAACTCAACCTTGAGAACTCTCAAGGTACTTTCTTGAACCTTAATAAAATTTGACGAAATCCATCAGGATATTGAGTAATTTCAATTATTGGTCGTCAAAAACCTTGTACCAAAATAATGTCATCGCGTTCTTTTTACATTTTTCAAGGGCTATAGAATGATATAATTAGTTAGCTGTAATAACACCAAAGACTGTTTCTCATGGGAACCCGAGAAAATAAATGTCAAATTTCACAAGAATTGTGAAAACACAGACATGACAGACAAAATTCTTAAAATTTCATGTGTAAGATGTCATTTTATGAAATTGGACATTCATTTTCTTGGACTCTCATAAGAAATTTTCTTTGGTGTTATTACAGATAACTAATTAGATCTATAGCCCTTGAAAAATGTAAGCAAGAATGCGATATTGATTATTCCGGTAGAAGGTCTTTCCACACTGAAAATTAAAATTACTCAATTTCCTGATGGATTCCGTCGTAAGTCTTTTTTTTAAAACGTGAAAATATCTTCATATTCCAGTCTCAACTTATTTTAAGAGATTTCCACTATATTTGGTTTACAATTCTTCCCGGTTGATAACAAGCACACGCCTGACGAGATTTTACCCTAGATCCCATGCGTATGGCCTGTTGGGGTCTGTTTAGAGGCCAAAAAGCTATTTAATGAGCTAAAAATGGTGAAAAAATTGTCTAACTTCATTTAATTTAATATTCGCCTTAAACTTAATTTTCAAAGAAGGGCGAAAAAAGGATACCAAAACTACTATATGGCGAAAAGGAGAGTCTTTTGCGGAAAAGGTCTAAAGTTCAGCGTATAGTCTCCACGCTTTTACCCCTGTAGGGTTTAAGAACTATGGCGAGCATCAGGTAGCTAAGGGAGTCTGGGATCCCCTGATATCCTCCAAGATGAATATTCGGGCACGTTCCTATTCTAGCGCAGCGTGTGTTTGATCGTACATGATTCTAATAGATTCGTCTATAATGCATAAAATTCAGTTTGTGACAGTTTTGGGGCGTCAAGTGCTGCTAACAGAAACTGTTTCTCTGTCGCCTTTTTACAGTTCCGTGAAAATTTCCAACGGTACACGCGGACAGGCATCACTTCCAGGTTTGTAATTAATATACCAATTAGCATTGGTGGGTGCGAGTCAAACTTATTGGTGAAGTATGTACATATTTTCAGCGCCCAGGACTATGTAAGGAAATTCGGATTCAGGAATCCAGGAATTTTTGGCTGGGAATCTAGAATCCTGGCTTTGGAATCTGTAATACTGCTCAAGAAAACCGGAACCCCTTGGCATCCGAAAACTAAGCCACTAAGTAGGAATCCGTCATTCAGTACGCCGGGGCGAATTGTAAAATAATGAAACACATAGTATACGTACTAGAAAACATTTACAATTACAGCACAGAAAAGGGGCCCTAGGGCACGATACGGGCACATTATACAAAAAAGCAAACAAAAAAAAAGCCTTGAAGGATGGCAGACGACAGGGCACCTTAAAAAGAAAGGATATTAGTTTTATGAATAATGTAATCTCTTTTTTTTTTTTCTTGCCCCTCTATATCTTTTGCCATCCAGCAAGGGTTTTTTTTTTGTGCCTTGTGATTGTATCGCGATACAAAGGGCCCATTATCTGCCTAAACATACGCGCGGTTCAATCTCGTAGACAAACGCGCAAACTTTGTGGGCTGTAAATTGTACTCATTTTCTGCCGTTTAACAGAATATGCTTACGCGCTACATTTCGGTGCGCTGTGTAGCTTTTACGTTACACTTCTTGTTTCGTTATTTTTCACAGGGCGAGATGGGAGAGATGGCATGCAAGGACCTCCCGGAACGCCAGGTAAGTGTTGATATCTTCCCTACAGTCCACGAAACCAAGCTCGGGTACCATATTTGGAAAAAAAAAACATCCAAAGTGGTATTCATGATAATAACGATGACAATAACAACCATCCTAGTTTTCAGTGTCACTGAAGATCAAAATAAAAATCAAAACCATTCGACAGATAAAGTCCAGAATCTGGGAAATGAAAGGAGGTAAATATACAAAGACCCTCGCCAAGATTTGGGTGGAAATGTTTTACCCAAATTTATAGAGCTTTATAGAACTTAATAGAACTTCTCAACATTACATAGCTTTTGGTAAAATAAAAGCTTTCCTATGTATCCATTTTCTGTAAATGAACCAAGGCCAAAGTGCAATTGAGAGCTAGACATACCGCCAATATTTCTTAATTAAAGTATCTATTTCACATATCTTTCCGAACTGTTTATTAATCATCTTATTAATCATCTAATTATGCATATTTATGATTTCTTATTAATATTAGCAATTGTTGTCAATGTTATCTCAAGTAGTTATTGCTAAAAACCGTTTTAGTCAGAGGAGTCGCCTTTTTTCTTTCTTTCTTCTCTTCTCTTTTCTTTTCTTTTCATTTATTTATTGTCTTTAGTAGTCCTTTTGTTTGTTGTAAACTAGTTTTAGGTATTTTAATGTAAGTAAGTAGCAAACAAGTAAGTAGTAAAGCTGTAACGTAAGTAAATTTTGTAGTCTTGTTGTAAGTAAGTACCGTGTAGCTGTATTGTAAGTGAATGCCAAGTGTGATTATAAAATAAAATAAAATAAAATAAAATAAAAAAATAAAAAAAATTTATAGAGCTTTGTATGGAGACTCCATGCTGCACGGAGCTCATCCGGATGAGCTCCAACATGGCGGACGGAAACCAACAGAAACATCTGTTACCCGTTTTATCTACAAAAACGTGAATTTACTCCTAGTGGAACTCATAAACATTAAAGTAATACTTTTTCTAACACTTGAACTGATTAGATAGCAAAATTCTTCGAAAAACGTCACTTTTTTATTAACCTAAATGACAGCTCGCTCGGCCGTCAAGAAAATGTTGCGTCAAGGAAAAGCTTAGAAATTCAAGCGTACTTTATTACAAAACCAAGAACCCTTTTAAAGCGAAAATTTGCTTGAAAATTAGTTTTCAGCTGCTCTAATACACCATGAAAGTAAAATCTCAGTAGGATCGATAGTATTGTAGTTTGAATTTTAGTGACGTCATGTGAAAACCAGCAATAGGATCACGACGGACAATAACGAAAATACCCATAGTAGGATGAGGATTGCAATGTTAATAATCATCGCCACGAGGGGCAGTGACGATCAGATGATGATGACAATGATGATGACGATGATTATGACAATGGGGATGACGACGACGACGATGACGACGACGACGACGACGATGATGATGATGATGATGATGATGATAATGATGACGACGATGATGATGAAGAAGAGACGCTGGGTTCCGTGAAACTGGTCATGAAGTATATTTTCAATAATATGCGGGCAAAAATAAATAAATGATTGATGGTAAATAGATAACTTTAAAGTAAATTAAAAAGCGATAAACTATCTTTCAGATTCCCTCTTACATCGCGTTTACCGTTTACTCTTAATTATTTAGTTAGGGAGTTTACATAGGCGATATTATAAGGAAACATGTTCAACAAGAGAAATGAAACATTCATCAACTTTTAGGAAGAGATGGTAGAGACGGAAACCAAGGACCAGCAGGACCACGAGGACCGCCAGGGCCAAAAGGTAGAGGAACAAAAATAATACAGCTGCTGAGTGAAATATCTTGTTTAGTTAGCCGTATATGAAACCTATTTTTCAATGCTCATATTTTTAGTGTTAACTGTTCATGAATCATGTTTAAGCTTTTTTCTTAATCTAGAATACAATAAACTGAATGAAACGAGGCTTAGAACTCAAAACAATTGACCAAGACGAGTTATGAACGTGGTTAACTTTCTAACACTTTGGATTGAACAAGAAAAAAATTAATATTGCCCTTTTTCCCTTAAATTTTCGATTCGCAAACAAGGGTGTCTAAATTAAGCGGGTTAAACTCAAGGGAAATGTAAAGGCTTTCCCCATCGATAATAACGTATTAAGAGGTGCCCATAAAGTGGGGTCCTAGGTGGCAGTTATCTTCTCCGTAATATTCAATGACGTTAGCAGGTCTCCATGATTTTAACGTAAGTGTTTGGAGAGTGCTGTCTCCTAAGTGTAATTCACGTGAGAACAGCGAGCGTTCATTGCTGAGGAAGACTGTGAGATAAAGTCGAAAGCTACAATGCTACGAAATCTGAGACCTTCAGTTCCGTCAAGCAAAATTTATCTTTCAAATTTTAATTTCGAGGTCCAGAATGAGCATTCACGTGATTAGTTTTTCTTTGTTTAATTAGGTGATATCGGGCCGGTGGGAATTCCTGGAGCTCAGGGACCTCAAGGAGAGAAGGGATCACAAGGATATTCGTTATCAGGCGTCATATACAATAGATGGGGACGAACAACCTGCTACGGAGATGCCCTGTTGGTGTATAACGGTTAGAGTGCAGGGTGTTTCCCCCTCTTCCTTATATACATTGTAGATATAAAACACTGGTCTTGACCCTCTTTAGAACTCGAAAAGAACTTTATTTCCAGCTTTTCTTTTGGGAAAGCAGCTTTAATTCAAATTTTGCTCGCCCAGGGCCACTTCCTGACCTTCAAAGTTTTCAATTTTGTTAGAAGTTGAAATGCCTGGACTCTTGCCACTAAGCAAGTAAGCTTTAAAAGTTTGAGCAAGTAAGCTTTAATTCAACTCGTCTGCCTGTCGAATAAACTCGAATAAACGAAATGTCTTTGTTGTTGTTGTTGTTAACAGGAGTAATGGCCAATGGTCATCACAATTTGCATGGTAGCGGCTCTAATTACCTTTGTCTTCCAAACAACCCTAACCATGGCAAGAACAACGGCGGCTGGCAGGGCACTGCAATACACAGTACCGAGTACGAATCAGGGAACTTCTTGGGATCTATCCAAAGCCTTACAAACCACGATGCTCCTTGCGCTGTTTGTTACGTCACCTCACGTGGTTCGCAATTAATGGTCCCTGGAAGAAACAAGTGCCCGACGGGATGGACAAAAGAGTACGGCGGATACTTGATGTCATCGCATCACGACCATAAACACGGCACCGAATTTGTTTGCGTTGACGTGGATGCTGAAGTTGTACCGGGGAGCCATCGCGACACGAACGGAGCATTATTGTACGTGGTTGAGACTTCCTGCAGTACAGACTTACCGTGTAAACCCTATACTGACGGTCATGAGCTGACTTGCGTTGTTTGTACCAAATAGATATCATTGACACCGTCTGTTCTCCACCGTAATACGCGGTGTCATTTGCTATAAGGTGGAAGTATTGTTAATGATCAAGTATTCAAATTTTGGTAACGTTACGTTGTATTTTTTCCTCAAAATTATATAAATTGAGCTTATATCCCAATTGTTAGCTAATTGTTGAAAACGCTTGGCTTCCTACTAGATGAAGTACGAAGGCATATAACGCAGAAAACTGCTGTTTCAGTTTTCGTAAACTTTCTTATGTTTAAATGTTCATATAACAGAAAGCGGCAATGTGCTTACAGAACCCGCACTTTCCTGCAGGACATGACCTATCTCTTGCAGCTAATACCTTAGCTTTCCGGTGAGTTTGTTAAAAACCACGATACAAGAGTAGATTCCAGAACCAGAGTTTATCCCATTGGCCTGCTTCATCGCCGGTGTGTCGTGTGCCACTCTAGCAGAAACATATTGTTATATCCAGTCAGAGCGGTTTTCCGGTAGTCTGCTACACAGCCGTTTTTAGTGTCGTCACGCAATGCTCCTCCCCACAAACGGCTGCTGAGAATCGAACCACATTCATCACATTTCCCTTTGTGTTTGTGGTCTAACGAACAAACCAATCACAGGGGCACCCAACGGGAAATTTGGAGAAAAAGATCTAAAAACAACAACAACGCATGAATAAAGCTTTCTGAAGCCATTTTAGGCATTTTGGGAGAATGCTGGGAAAAAATCATCTGTTCCTCACTCCCAGCAGGACTGATAGAAGAGTTCCCAGCGAGCAAGGTGCACCTACACGTACTCTGCAACCTGACTTACTGGGAAGTTTCCCAGCAGACGTATGTCCAAAAATTACTGGCCAGTTTGGGTCTGATTATAGCGCGAATAAATACCACATAGCAGGTACTCTAGACAACAAATCCTCTAAGACACCCTGCACTGTCTCTTTCCCAGCAACACTTTCCTTGCAAGGACATATCATTTTTCCCAAATGTCCCAGCCATCAAAACTTTAATTGCATGCAGAACAGATATTATGAGGAGCAGATCCATCGGTCCATCTCTGCAATCATACATGACGTCGCTTGGAAGCGAATACTCTTCTCAATTTTCGACAAATCAATCAATCGTCGCTGAATTTGGACGGGCTCTGTTGCTGCAAGTAACGAAAAGGTTAATTTGCAGAAAAGTTTGTTTTATTCGGTTAATAAGGTTCCAAGTGAAGAAACAAACAAACAAACAAACAAATAAACAAACAAAAAAAGGTTTGATAGGCCTACATGACTCATACCAGGATCGGTTGGTTCATTTTTTGTAAATGTGCATGTGTATGATAAATTTCATGTGCCAGATGTGCTCATTGTGTTGCTGTAACATGTGAAGACTAAACTCTCAAGGGTACTGATTCAAACAAAAGCAATCTTATAAATTATCGATGAATGATTATCCGAAACTATACCCGGAAACTTTATAAGCACATCCATGTTCTGCATCACATTTGCTTGACTTGCTTGCAGCTGCTGCTTATCTCATAAATTCTGAATGTGACACGACAACAAAACACTACTCTAGTTGACTGCTTGTTTTAACGCGACGATTTTGATTGTTCTGGCTCTGAAAAAAGTAAAGTTGTGATTGGAGGAGCCACCGTACCGCAAACGTGGCCCGAACACCTTCCAGAAAATGGGAGGAGAATTCTAATTGGCCAATCGCAGGACAGGAATGTGGTTCGATCCTCAGCATCCGGCCGTTTGTGGGGAGGAGCGTTGCGTGACTACACTAAAAACGGTTGTTTAGTGGACTAGTTTTCCGGAGGTTTCAAACTTTTTTGTCTTGGAAAATTAAAGGTAAGCCGTCTGTGAGGTGTTTTTTTATCCTCAGAATTTTGAAAGAACACTTCAGGTGGAAATAACTTCTCCCTTGAGAAATTTTTCGGCGTTCTGGTTTTCTTTTCGATTTTCTTCTTGGATTTTCCCATCTAGATCCTTCAGTAGAAACTTATCCCAGCCATATTGGATTTACAAATTGATTATTTTAGACCAAAATAAATAAGTAAATAAATACCAAATCAAAACCGGTCTGACACTTTCCTGCCAAAATTAAAGAAGTCGCAACATTGAAGGCAAACAATTACGCTCGTTTAAACTTACTTGGATTTTAGACTGTTCAGAGCGAAAACACGTAAATTTCTACAACCACGGAAAGCACTAGATAACATCGACCTAAACCAGATGAGTCATCGATATGTCAGCGGCGTCTTACAAAATGACTGTAATGATCTCCTCGAATTCCGCTCTCTGACTTGATCGATCGCAGCGAGGATGTTACTGTCACGTGAAACTTACACAAAGCACAGCGATGGATAGACTACGAGTAGATGATTATAGTCCCCCATTTTTCCTCAGGGATAGTGGAGCAAGCGAAACGCGAGCGCGCGTGGAAATCACCCCACGCGAAGAAAGGCGACACGCGCGCCGCGTGTCGCCTATTCTTGCGTAGGTTGATTTTCACGAGCGCTTCCTCCCAAGCGATTTTCACGCCCCCCTTCCCCCTCCCCCCCTTGCAACCTCGTCCCCAGGGCTTTTCCCTCAAAAAATGGGTGGGGACGAGGTTGCCCCCCTTGTACGTCTGGGTTAAATTACTTGGATATATTCTTACCTCACGCATAAAGTTAATTTTCGGTATACATGGGTTACAAGAAATGTTCTTTTGAATTGAAAAAAAATTTCGGTCGACAGGCTGAATTTTACAACCAAAGTCACAGGGTCCAGAGGAGTTTCGTGTTAAGAAATGAATTACTTATTTAAAGTCTCACCTTGAAAAATGTCTATACCTGTCGCTAAGCACGATTAATTAGCCCAATGGAATCTTAATGAATCTACTGTAAACGATTTCTTCGCTTCTTATCAGCTTACACCAGGTACTTACCTTTTGAAAATCAATAACTGTAACGCGATCAAAATAACCCATTTTTTCAGAGGTTTTCGACGGGATTTGATGTTCTAACGACAAACACAATATCCTCTGGACCCTGTGCCAAAGTTCTAGGAGGAATATTCCAAACCAAATTTTGCGAACTAGGTCCTTGGTCCGGCCACCGGACGATAATATAAACCAGTCAAATAGTAATTGAAAGGGAGAGCCTCAGAAAGTTCAGTTTTCGTTTCGTTTAGTTCTTAGTAAATTAAGATTTATGAATTGAAGTGAGGATCTCTCAACTTTGAGTCACATTTTAAGTAAAGCCACTTTCAATGAGTGGAGTTAATAATAAAAACTGCATACAGCGTTCAAGCTAAATATATTGCTCGAGGCTTTCCCAGTAGCACTGCACTTTCAAGTTGTTTTTATTAAGTAATAATCAAGAAGGCCATAAAAAAAGGAAACTTATATACGCCCTTTGGTACCCTGGGTGCCAGAGACTTTTCTAGCGCGGTTTCCGGTTTCTTTAATTTCTCGGCCTAAGGCCGAAGATGTGTCAGCCTTCGGCCGACACCGAAAATTCCCGCCGCATGCGAGAAAAACCTCTGGTACCCCGGCTGCGTAGTCTCCTTCGCAGCCGTTATTAGGGTCGTCACTCGTCACGCAACGCTCCTCAGCGTTGCGTGACGAGTGACGACCCTAATAACGGCTGCGAAGGAGACTACCGGGTGCGCGGGTAGTCCGTTGGGTTCGCAAAGTCAAATATTCAAGCAATACAAAAAGGTGTAATCATATTGTCACTGGACCCTAACCGTGTATAACTCCTTTAGAATTGTTGTTCAAGTAAAAATAGTAGCCGTGGAGTCTTGATCAGGACTGTTGCCCGGTTTCGGAAATCTCAGATGGTTTTCTTCGTCAGCTGCTTTAATAGTTAGTGCTTCTGGGGTTGTCAGCAAAGGAGAGTGAATTTGTGGCTGGAAGAAGGTCCTTTTTATAGGCAATGAAAGGAAGCGTTGTTAGAGAAAGTAACCAATTAGAAGTGTAACATTTCGATCCGTTACGCTTGAATGTTCTTGTTCGTTTGAGCCATCATTGAACAACTTCACAGCATGCCCAACATTAGCACTGGATACTGGGAACTAGTTCGCAGAGAGGATTTGGTATTGGTCAGCGGCTTCCTTATGGCACGTGTTGTGTAAATCAAGATGGCGTTCGAAGAAAGTGTTCGCCACAAGTCCGGTCCTCTCAAACAGCAGAACAAAACACATAAACACGGGCGGCATAGGAGTAAAAGTGAGATCGACAACACAAATAAAGGTACTGAATCATATTTGCTATATGTTTTTGTTAATTTGTTGGGCTCTAGCTAAAGATTGAGCCTAGTAAATACAGTTATAAAGCTTATCCTAATTGATTAATTATTTTTTTAAAGTTAATTGTTTTTTAATCGCAAGATCAGGATGGGAAAGTTATTGTGCAATATCAAGGGAACCTCCATTAAAGTGAATAAAAATTGTATTATATTAAGTTCATTGATTTTGCCCGAATCACTTTGTGTGCAAAGTGGTGTCTAACTAATCTTTCGTTTAGTTAAGGATGGATGCATTTTTGGACTGCTTTCATATCAACTTATATTTGTGTGTGTGTGTGTGTGAAATAGTAGGAAATTGCCGCATAAATGGGGTTGTACGGAAATTGTTCGCCAGAGCAGTTGCCTAAGAGGGATTGGGTCACTAAATCCCAATTCTCGCTTCCGAAAAACTCAGTGAGTTTCAGACCTTGCTACCTCACTCTGCATTGCTTCCACTGTGGTCCGAGTACCTCTTCACACTGCAGCAAAGACTGCAAGAACCCTATTCAGTGTGTGACGATCCACCTTCAAGCTCAGCACCGTGTAGCTTTGCTTCATTACAGAAATCATTCCTAAATCACTGTTCTTATTTAAGATAGAAGCCTATAATGGTATGGTTTTTGTGTTGGCATGTTAATAACTATCCAGTATCATGTAAATCAAAAGTGTACATGGAGATATTTGTGGCCTGTTCATTTCATTTACAGGTCGTGTAGGTGTAAAAGTTGTTTCAAAGAAAACCAGGCAAGCCGTAGGAAAAGCTAATCGCAGACACCAGGTTTGGAAGATTCTTTGTGCGTCGTTCCTGCTAATAAGTAACTTACTGGTACATCGTTCAAATTACAGTGTAGATAATATTATAGTAATCCTAACACTGAGGCCTGGGATGAATATATTTTTGTTGATGTCTTGATTTTCTTTACTGAGAGTTTTTTGAGCATCTTTAAGGTCTCGGTAAATGAAAATTTTAGTACATTGCTCGATTTTGTTTTTTTTTTGATCTTTGGCATGAGTGGGTCCTAAATTTTAATTTGGCTGAAAAAGAAAATCAGAAAGTACTTTTTAACCCTTCTAAAATGAGCCTTTTCTGAGCTAACCAGCCAAGCGTGGACTTCGCGCTAAATCTTTAGAGCTGATTTTCTCTCACTCTATTTTAGACGCAAAAATCAAAATTCTCCGACCTCCAGTCGGGACAGGTTTTAAGCTATCGCTTCGAAACTTTCAGATATGATGGATAATGATATAGACTCAAAAAGGGTGTGAGGAATTTTCCGATTTCCCTTTGTAACTCATTTTATGTCAGTTTCTTTGCGTAAATCGCACTCGAGATTCGACTTTTTAGTTTGAAATGCAATAATTCCGCTAACACGAGACATCTGCAAATTTCCTCACACCCTTTTTTAGGTCTTTTATCTGTCAATCAGATGCAATAAAAAGGAAGTGAATATTTAACAACGCGAAAGGGCTGGAGCTTCAGCAGTAAACTCGATACCTCTGAGTTCCAGAACAAAAAACTTAAGCACCTTTTGAAATTCGATGAAATAAAATCTTTTATAAGGTAATTTAGTCTTTTAGCTTTAATTTGATATGTAACTTGCCTTTGTAGCGAAAATACTCGCGCGACTAGAATTTTTTTTCTGTGGGCACCTCGTTTTCCTTTACCGAGACCTTAAACAACTGCCAGAGAAATCACACGGACGTGATATTCTACCTAAAAAATCTTCAAATCGATCCATCATCCTTTGCATTTGTTACTCATCTGTGTTTGGAGCAAGTATGGACAGATAGTGAAGAAAAAGGGATAAAAAAGGGGAAAATTCAGAAAAATACAGGAGTGGATGCCCACATGAAGGCAAACAGTATTTAATTTATTATCAAAAGTTCAACTGCTCTTATGAGACTTCATATTACTTATCTAAAGTAACTTCTGGGATAATTACATGTAGGCAAAACAAATACGACAAAAAAGGAGAGAGGAAGTTTTAGAACAAAAGAGGAAAACAGGAAAGCATGGAAGCCCTCCACATCTTATTGTAAGTAATAAAATAATATTATAATTATTTTTAAAAGAAAAATTCAGGTTACTGAAAAAGAGAATATTTTGCAGAAACAAAAAAGCCTCTTCTTCCACCTCTTTTGTCATAATACAGGGAAAGGTCTACAGAAAAAAAAAAAAAAAAAAGAAAACAAAATAAAACAAAAGCAAAAAAAAAGTTGTCTATATATACAGTGACAAACCTTTTTAACTTGTGGATTATGTGTAAGCCTAACGAACAAGTTATTGTGGGCACTGTTTTGTTTTGTTTTTTTCTTTAAACATATTATTTTCATTTTTTGACAGACTTAAAATATACCGGTAAAATAATTAATCCTCAAGTTAGCCATAATAGACACCCTTTGATTTAGGATGATATCAGTGTACATGTCATGTTAATTGTGTCTGGCAAAGTCATTTTTTTAATATTAGTTTTGGCATCATCCTCTTGCGTTTAATTATTGCTACTTGGTTTGTGACTTAACATGAACTCTATATATTGTTTCTGTTGTTAATGTATTACAATTTTTTTTTTTTCAGGCAATTATTCCCATGTCATCCAGTGCTAATGTTGGGCATGCTGTGCAGTTGTTTAGTGAGTGTGACAATGATGGCTCACTTTATCGTTCAAGTAACACAGTCACATTAGTGTGAGTGGATTTATATATTAAATCTGTATATATCCAGCTTACAGTGTATTATATATTAAATCACCAGATTTGGGAGGGAGTATTTGGCTGATAATCTAGACCCCACTTTGTTATCATTAGTCCATTGTATGTACATGTTTAAAAAATTTAAAAGGTGTAGTTGAGTGTATTGATTTTTAAAAAGGATTTAAGGGTGCCTGTAGGGACATTTTCACATATGAAAGTCCGCTTAAACTATCTTAAGTCATAAGAGGTTGGGCTATCTTTGAATGATGAGGTATAAGGTGCCAGCTAAGGAAGTGCAATATTATTATTTGAGCATAGTGAAATAGCTGTGCCCTAAATGATCAATGATTCTTTGGGAAAACTTTTTAAAAGTGCATAAGGTTGTTTACTGACAGTAAATTGTGAACATGCAGTACAGTATACATTGTATATCTTACTAGATAAAAATACTGTAGTCATGCATGGTGTTCTGTCTCATTAGTTCACAACAGATCAAGCAGCGATTTTCCTTTCTTCAGCTGAAGTATGGAGATTTATACTCAGTTCTGGATGCAGTGAAGGTAACGATATTATTGGTAATTATATTATTCATGTATGCTTGGCAGATATTGAGCTTAACTGTTTGTCATAATTATGGATGTCAGTGCACCTCAGCTTAATAATTCTGAGTCACTGGCTTTATCAAAGAAGACAGTAGCTGCCGCATGTAAGGGTATCCAAAACAGTCTGGGATTCTGTATTTGGGATTCTAGGTACTGGATTTCAGTCTCTGTCAACAAAGCTTGGATTCTTGATTCCAATCATAGGGATTCCTTGAGCTGTATTCCTGATTCCAATTCCAACGATTCTGACCATCCCCAAGCAATTTTGTTTTTCCAGATTCAGGATCCCACAGGCAAAAATTTTCCATATTCCGGAGTCCAGATTCCCTTACATGGGACCACAGTAGAGACATACAGAGTTGATTCATTATATGCAGTGCCCTAATGTTATGGAAAACTGAATAAGGTCATGAAAAAAGCCATGGAAAGTCATGGGATTTGAAAAAAAAAAAGTAAATAAAAGAAAGCTGATCGAGTAGAGCATGATCCCTGTAAGTTACAAGATTGTCTTTAATTATAAATTATATTTTTGTTTTGTAAACTGTTTTACATGTACTGTTTTGCTGAATTAGGTTGCAGATTCTCTGCTGTTTCTTCACTCAGCCATGCACCCTGTAGATTCTTTTGGTGAAAAGTGTTTATCATGTATTTTTGCTCAAGGATTGCCAACAACCTTCCATGGAGTACAGGTATATATCTATATAACTGGCTGAGAATGCCTCACATGTAACAGCATGTAACTATTGTGTGCTTTGAGGTCAAGTTGACTAATTTGATTTAATTAACTTACAGTAATTTTGAAAAAGTCAATAAGGTAATAATATTCAATAAACGATGGTGAAAATGAAATCTCTTGGAACATAAGAAATAAATCATATTTGAACAGTGGATAAGACATGAAACTGATTGCAGAGATCCTTGCAATGTAATAATATTCATGACCAACCAATGTGGTTGAAAAAGAATCTGGTAATTTTCAGGCTTATTAATCAGGGAACCCTGACCTTTGTGATGACTGGACTCAATGCTCTATCCATTATCCTTTGAGTTCTGCAGTTCAAAAATAATGGTTGATGAATGATTTACCTATGCCACAAACACTTGTACCACAGAACCTCTCCTTTGGGACACCTCTATTCAAGAGACACCTCAATCCAGGGGACACAAAATTTGGTCTCCGAAAAATGTTCACACAATCTTTGTATTTGTTATGTCTATTGAAGGGACACTGCCTCTTTTCAGGGGAAAGGGACACTTTTTCTGGGTCTTGAAACCTGGATTTAACTTCCATTCAGGGGAAACCTTATAGCAATCAAACTGTGACTGACCATAAAAGTCGTTGATAAGTTTAAGTGTTCACTACTACAAAAGTGACAGCTTTCAAAACGTGAATTAACTTGACTTAAATCGATGTACTGCACTTGTGGGAAGTCAACACATGACATTGAAGAAATAAGTTAATCATGATTTTTATACACGATCTGGCTGCTTAAAGTAATGACTACAGCAGATTCCGTAGCCTGTGAGAGCAGATGCCTTATTCAGTTCTAATAAAAATATTTTATTTGCTGGTTAGTTATTAACAACCCCAGCCTAGCCCTCCATTTTGGGGACACCTCTATTCAGGGGACACTTGCCTCGGTCCAGAGGGTGTCCCGTGAATAGAGGTTGCACTGTAATCCAAATATTATCAATATGTGTACACCGTGTATGGTATCTTTGGAAAGGCCCAGTAAACCACTATTCATCCACACCCCTCCCACCCCTCCCACCCTCCTTTTCCTGGTACAATTGTAAATGTTAATGATAAAACTGTTTTGTTTTGTTTTCCCTTTTATGTAGGGACTAGAAAATGTACCTTCAAAGAAAAGGAATGATGTGAAGAAGAACGTACAAAAGATAGTTGAAAAAAGGTACATGCGCAAATGAGCTATAAAAATTGTTGTGTTCATAGCTCCTCATTCATGCAGATGTACAGTTTACAGTGCACTGCACGCCACATTAACTCGCAATACCCAGTACCCCCAAGTTTTCCATGTGCAGTGTAGGTCATGTTTTAAATAATAATCCTCTTTACTTAACCTGGTAGCCTACATGTACAGTGCAGGCCATGGGGATTGCAGTTATAATTATTTACACACGTGTAACTTGCGTGCAATATGGCGGATTTACATGCAAAACGCAGGCAAAAAAAAAAAAAAAAAAACAAAACAGGACAAACAAAAACACAAACACGCGTGTAAAATTCTACTCCAACAATTACACGAAGCTTACATTACACGCAAGATGCATGCATTCAGTATTGTAGGGAATTTTTCTCTCTACTTTTACACGCAAGCTGCGTATTTTTTTTTAACTGCAAATCTAAAAGAAATCGTCTCTCTAATTAGTTTGAATCATGTTTTTCAAATTCAAAACAGCTTTATTAATCTATGAAAGAATCTTTTGGTAACTGAGAACTGAGAAGTTACAGTCTACAGTCGACTCTCTCTTAACGGACAGCTCTATAAGACGGACAGCTCTGTAAAACGGACGCTTAGAGTTGTTCCCTGCCTTTCTGTACTCCTTTTATTTGACTCTCTATTAGACGGACACCTCTATAAGACGGACACTTAGTGCCGGTCCCACAGGTGTCCGTCTTAGAGAGAGTTTACTGTACTTCATACAATGTACACTGCAGTCAGCAGTGTAGTTTGTCACTGCGTGACCATTATTTTGTTCGAGCGAATCGAACCAAAGGCAAATTTTTACCGGATATTCATCTCAAAAAACTGTTGTTGCATGTTTGTGCCACATGTGTTTGATTGACAGGTTATTTTAACATTAATTTTTGTATTTGTTTTCTTGACTTAGATTTCCAAGAGACAAAATTTATGGACTGGAAACCCCACAGGTAAGGACTGTACCTACCTTGAAAAGAGAATGCCTTTACATCGACGTTTTTGGAAATTAAATTTTGTGTGGTCCTTTGTTAAGTTTACATCTCAATGCATTTTACGAGCATTAAACTGGAAAAAAAACAAACAAACAAACAAAACAAAAAAACAAAATCTACAGAGAAACAAGGTTGAGGATATCTGGCCGTTCTTTTTTAGCGCTGCCCTCCGTCATTTAATTTTCCTAATGCAACTGCGTACAGTTAATATTTATAGCTCTGACGTTCAGGCAAACCAATTTAAATTACCGTTTGCGAATTCCTTATCTTTGTTTGTCTTTTGACATTAAAATGTATCACTTGTCTGACTTTAATCTCTTTAAAGACAAAAGCCAGGTTGCGTTCACACGGCCCCGCACAAGGTTTCGACGACTGAAAAATCTGACCGGACACTTCGTTCACGCGAGACCGTTCAGTATGTTGCCCTGTTCACACTGAACTTTGAAAGGGACAGGGGTCTAAATTTCCGTTTTGTTAGGGTGAACGGAACACCTGAACGCACGAATTTTCAACCGGTAGAATTAGACTTCTTTCAGTGCCTTGTGAGCGTAGCCTCACAAACATTGCAAATTAGTCACTCTGACGTCATTTGTGCGCCGTGTTGTTGCTTGCACATGCCTGAATTTATCGCTGTACAATGTATTTCTCCAGTCAAACTAGGCTTGAAGTATTAATTTACTATTTTGGTTAATTCACAGGATGCCCTGGTGGCGTTGAGGCTCATGTCTAACCAGCATCAAAGAATGATCCATTTCCGGGATGTACGACCCCACATTTTAGCAGAGAGCGTGACATATGAACCAAACAGTACAGTTACAGACATTCCTAGAGGCACTCTTAAAGTCTGTGGGTTTGTAAGGGGTCAAAACCTTTCTGTGAATAGACTGGTCCATTTACCAGGTTATGGAGACTTTAAAATGTCACAGGTGATTATGGAGTGTGTGATTTGTTTTATATAAAATCGCCCGGTTGAATGTTTTCATCCAAGCTGTTTTCCCGTAGATATTATAGTGTGTCTAGTTTCCTGACGAATAACTGTAGTGTACCGCTCATGTACTACTTTTAACGTAACACTTATGACGTAACCTAACGTAACGCAACTCAACGTAAATCAACGTAAAGTAACTAAAGGAAAGGGCAGAAAACCTACGAAAACCTGTTGTAGGGCATAATTACTTTAGGTAACTCGGGATAACGTAACATAAAGTAACCTAACAAAATATAATTATTATTCAAGGAAAGGTGACGTGTGACACAACTTACACTGTTAGGTTTTTCCGCAGTTTTTTTTGCTGTATATGTTTTGTTCCCTTTTGCTCTGTTTGGTTTTAGACATGCAGTCGTAACTATATTTTTAGCCTTTGCTTAAACCGTTAAGATTGCCGTGAACGATTTTTGGACTCGTTAACTGTAGCTACATTGCCGGCCAGAACTAAGGGAACCAAGGTATACGCGTAACACGCGGCTGGAGGTCCGACGGTTACTTAAATCTAAGCTGACGCAGACGCGGGTAAGCGCTGACGTTAACGTGAGTCAGCGTCGCGTCTTCGTGGTTAGTTTAGTTCTGGCCTGCACCGTATACAGCTATTGCGAGAAAGGTTGTCGGAGAAAGTGCACGCGACAATCCCGAAAGGTATTGTGGGCCGGTTTGAGTTCACTGTTCTTCAAAGAAATTTGAAAGAATGGCACGAGAGGTCATGGACGTATGTTTGCGAGTGCTAAAGAAAAGCAACAAAAGTAGGTTTGACAGCTATAGAGTCAGGAACAATGTATTGATCATATCCCATATTACCTTTCGGGATTGTCGCGTGCACATTTGTTTCCGACAACCTTTCTCGAAGTAGCTGTATGAAATATTCAGTCATTGCTACTGTATCTATTTTCTGATGCAACACATACATGTACATACATGTCTCATCTTTCATTTAGATTGATGCTCCAGCCGATCCTTTCCCTTGGCAGAAGCGAAAAATCTCTTCAGGCGTTAAGGGCGAATCCATGGCCGTGGTAATGTTGTTATTCATTGTTATTCATTTCCCCGTGTAAACGAATTAGTGTAACCATTTGTTCATTTACACTTTGTTCAGTTCTTTGGCAACTCTTGAAATAACGCCTTCCAAAGTTGTTGTTTTTGTTTTTATCTTTGGTGGTGTCGTTGTCGTTGTTGTTGCTGTTTTTGATTTTGTTTTTGTTTTTCTTTTTTCCTTGAAGTCTCATAACTTTAGAAACCCCTGCAATCCCATACATATCACCGCCTGTGCCCAGATCAAAAACAAACAGCTGCTATTGCTGTTTGTTTTCAGCTAGGGAAATAGAAAAAAGTTCGAGTTATGGGGAGTTCGAAGCAAATAACCGGAAAAAAAGGAAACAAGTAAATAAGATGGAAAAGGGTTACAATTACCATGCACACTTCACTTCAAGCAGCAAGAAATTTATTGATCGATATTTTAAAAGGAATTAATTAGCAACAAAACAACAACAACCAAAAAAAAATAATAATAACAATAATGATGTAATAAATAAATTCATGTTTCGTACTGCTGTACGTGTCTTTCTTTCTTTTTTTGGCGACTTTTCACGCGCGCAAAACGTGGTTCAAGTTATCGAGGGTAAAATTTTAATTATAGAAATGATTTTAGCGGTAGAGTTAGCGGTAGGTTCGGGTTATGGAGGGTTCGAGCTAACAAGAGTAAAGTTAATGTAATGTTTGAAGGAATACCAGGGGAACTCACGTTTCGTTTGCGTTTGCGCGAGGGACGAAGGCGAGGACGAGATTTTCTTAATACTATGTAGCAGATGCGCTTTAACCAGCGTCATTTGGCGGGAAAACGAGATAGTCGTCATCATTCAACTGTAGGTGTTAGCGAGAATGTCGTAGTGGTGGAAACAAGTTATCGATTGTTATAAGTTTTATCATTTTGCGATCAGGGGAGGGGTTAACCTCCTCCAATTATGATGCTCTTTAGGGCGTCCGTCTCGACGTCCCTGTCGTCCTCATCCTTGAATCTAATGTTCTCTGTTATGCTTATTAAGGACAGCGAAGATGGAACCACTGCCATGGACGAAGACCTAAAGCTGTTAGCGCGAGCTGACCCAGCACATCAGGAATCGCTGCAGTCAGAGGTGGAACCTGACCCAATGGAAGGCGAGCAAACATGGCCGACTGATGACGAACTTCGACAGGCAGAAGGTGAGGAATAAGCCGGACATGATAGATATGACACATATTTTAGAAACGCTGCCGTTCCTGCTCGTTAAGTAAAGAAACAATAGTCAGTTAAAGAGACCAGCGGAAACCAACTAAAGGGTAAATACGTGAACACACCAAAATCTCACCACGTTTAACGTGGATAACCCTATCCTCAACTACAAGTAATAACGAAAACGTCAAACTGAATAACAACAAAACCTACGAGGTGCGAGTAAAAGTACGACTCAAAACGAGGCTTAGCAATCGGACTTCATAAAACAATCACGAATGAACGTTCTCAACACCTTCCCCCCATTTAAGTGTTTATCAGCTTAAACGTCAGTCAACATCTTCAACTTCTTATTCAGCAATGACTTTGAAGAGCTCATTGGTAATCTCTTTGGTCCTCTTGCTTGGCCTCACTCTTGGTACGAACACTTCTGCTCCTGGGCTAGGCTTGTAATCAGGATTCTCTCCTCCAATTTCCGAGTTACAGTCAAGTTGCAGGGGACGTTCGACAATAACTGCATTTTCTTGCCTCAGCTTCAATCCGCGAATCCCGCCGTCCTTGCCAATAATCTTACCCACAACTCGTCCAAGCTTCCACAGTGCTTTTTCCTTCGCTTCACTTTTCAATAACACCACTGCTCTTGTGTCTGGAATTTTCAGATTGTCTGCGGTGGAATTAGACTTTCGCTCCCCAATTTCGTGGGCATACTCTTTTAAAAACCTCCTTCGAAAGTACTCCTTACTTCTTTGTAAGAATTTCATCCGCCTTGACACTTTCTCTTCGCCTATTGTCTCAAGATCTTCATCCACGTTTGGGGTTGGTTTCCCTCTTCGTAAAATATTTGGGGGTAAGCACCGGTTGCTCAATTGCCTCTCCCTGATAAAGTAGTGGTCGATGGTTCGTACAGTTCTCTATGTCAATCAAGATATCTTCCAGCTCTGGATAGGTCAGAAGGCTTTGGCCAACTGCCTTTGAAAGTGCCCTTTTCATGATCATGACCAATGAGGCGCTTAAAGAAAGCTCCCCACCAAGGAGCTCGGGCTAGGTTTATTCAGAGCTCCAATGTAACTTGCAAGATTGTGATCCTTCTTGAGGGTAAACAACCATTTCCCTGTAGCTCAAATGTTTTTCCAGTTCCGAATCACCTTCTTCGTCAATGACCTCAGTTTGGGTACCCAGAATTTCTCTCGCACGCGGCGCATGGTTACTGAAACTTCCCCTTGCAACATTTGCTTGTGTACTTGTAAAGCAACCAGTGATGTTAGTTCATTCTCGAGGTAGGAAGGTTGGGTAACACATCTGAATATTCCATCTTCTTCCTTTTAAAGGTTTACATCTGATTTTGGAGCTCGAACAACCTAGGTGATCTAGAACCTCTCTGCTACTTGCAATTCTTCTGTTTTCAGTGTTCCTTTCTTTGTCTCTGTTTTCTTGCAGTTGTGAACAAATCGCTTGACATAAGCAGTCACTCGTAGAAGGTTCCAGTATGATAAGTACTTGTGTAGAAGCTGATCCACGGTTAGATTCTTTTCTTCTTCTTACTTGGCGAGCAATTGATTCTCAAATTTAGGATTTACAGTCTCTACTACTGTCTCGGAGGTCTCACACACTTCAGGTTGCGACAGCCACTTGTCTGGAATACTTAGCCAGTTTGGCTCTGGGCTCAGCACCTCTGCTTCCTTGAACGCTCGGGTTTCCACTTGTGGGCACATATAGATGCCATTTCAGGTACCCGTTGACAGTCTTGAATAGCTTGAGTTCTATTTCGCACAAACTGAGTCTCTAAGTTCCTTGTCATTTAGTCCAGTAGAAAACAGTGGTGCTGTTGACTCAGCAATGATACTCTTCAACTGGCCGACCTTATAATTCTTCGGAGCTTGCAAAGTGTGTGTGCAGCGATAAGCTCCAAGCGTGCGCTTGAGAGTTGCAGCTTGCAGCTGTCTTTGACTTTGCAACAAGGAGACTTTGACAAACTGGGGCAGCTTTATGAAACACAAGGGCGTAGAGAGCTGCTAAAACTGCTAATTTGCTGGCATCAGAAAAGCCGTGATATGCTATTTTCGTCACATCTGTGTTCACAACCCTTCGGGGAACTGATAGCACGGAGCACTCGTGTAATCCCCTCAGCCACTTATTCCAGGATCTCTAATGTCATCAGGTACCTGTTCATTCCACTTCAGTTTGCGTAAGCAAGTTTCACTGTAAAGGATCTTTCCTGTGGTCACCACTGGTGCAGCAACACCCAGCAAGTCATACGTGTATACACCGTTGACAGTTGACAACCTTTTCCTCTTTGTCAATGGGCCCACCGCAACTGCCTGTAACGGTTTCATGAAGCCAACGGAAAGTTACCTTCTGTTTTGTTCCAAGGAACTCCCAGTAGTTTTGTGTCCTTAGGACGTTTTCCTATCTCTAGCTTGGCATAAGTCGTACTTGGTTGAGAGGACACTGCATCATCTTCAGTTCTCTGACATTCTTCTATCTCTGGTAGGTTACTGTACCATTTGTGGAGATGAAAACCACCTCCCACTATAATCTTTGTGGACTCTTCTTTAAACTTAATCAACTTATCGCTGTCATTCTCCGCCTGACTGGAGATCATCCACATAAGTGTTGCTCAGCAACTCATCAGTCGTATCAGGAAACTTTTCAGTATACTGGCTCACATGTTTCTTGAGTGTCACGCCGAGAATGTAAGGACTAGGTCCTGACCTGAAAATCACTCTGGTGTATCGATACTCAGTAACTGTCCTTGAGTCAAGGTTCTCGTACGATAACAGACGAAGGGCATCTCCATCCCTTGGGCCCTTTTTAATGTGAAGAAAAGCCTTTTGGTCCGAAGTCCACGGTAATACACAGCAACCACAAACGATTTCGTTGAAGAATGTCAAAGATCACAGGATGCAGAGGGGGTCCAACTTCCAAACATTCATTCAAAGACGGTTCTTGTGAATTGGCCTAAGGTAAGCAATCACGCACTATCCTCATCTCTGTAGACTCTGCCTGGTCCCTGATTATTGGTTGGTGGGGAATGTAATGTATAGCTTCTCCAGTGGGTATTTCTGGCACCAGCTATATGATCCCTTCGTTTAACTGCTGGTCCATAACAGTGTGATACTCCTCAAATCTCTGCATCCTCTCCAGCTTTCGCGTGACTCTTCTTAATCCCCCGACTGTCAGTTCCTTGTTTCCAAGGCAAGCTTGTGCAGTAGGTACATGTATCTTCCTCCAAGCGCTGTAGCTGATCGATGAAATCTTCATGGAAGGAATCATGTACATTCTCAAAATCTTTCAGGCCAAGCACCTCTTGACAACACATCTGTGCAAATGCATTTTGACTAGAGTTCATAAAGAACATATTTTCTTCCTCCGCACACGAAGGGGTAAACTTTCCAGCAGTGACCCATCCCAACATGGTGAACTCTGCTCCGGGAACGGTGTCAAGGTTAAGACCTAGAACTGGGGGTTCAGTTGACTTGATTCATTGAATATCAGGTGCTCCAAGGATTATGCATACCGGTAACTTCTCAACAGTTGCTTGCTTCACACTAAATACCAGCCTCCTAATGCGATGATTCTGTTACTTCGGTTCAGAGATTTTGGGGTTAGGAAGGTAGGTTGATTAAAACAGGCTTCTCAGCATTGACACATTGCAACTCTATTCCAAAACTATTAATGACATTTGATTCAACATGGACATTGTATGTCTCAACTCGTCTGTCCACTGTCCCATACATTCGTTCAGTCACTCTGCTTTCAGATCGGCACAGCTTAATGTTGAGTTTGTTTAACAGATTTGCACTGATGTATGAGCTACCTGCCCCACTATCAAGGATGATGCGTGTCCAGGGGGTTCATTAAGGGCCGGGCACCGGGCAAATTGACCGGCTGTGAACACGACTCTGCCCGGCTGCTTTACATCTCAAAGAACTTCTTTTTAATACAAGGAACGATCAAAAACAGTTTTAAGTTACAATCGTGCCCATTTCTTGATGAGTCTTATCGAGTGTAAAACATACTTGAAATTTTAAAGATAAGTTGATTACGGCTCAGATGCTGACGGTGAGTTTGAGTAAAGATTATTATGAGCAGAGCTATTAAAAGAGAACCAAAAAGTCCAATTTGTGTGGTGGGTATTGGTATCAAATCAAGATTAAATTGTCTAGAAAAGTTATCTTTTTTTGGTTGTTGAAAGTCGTTGTCTGCAGCTTCAAAATGCAGGAAAACACATCCTTACGACTATAGAATTTCAAAATTTTCCGGGGGAGCATCCCCCCGGACCCCCCTAGAGGAGGGCCTTGCCAATTCTTTGCCCGGGTGTCAAACTCAGTTGCCGTCCTGTTCAAAACCTTAATGAACCCCCTGACCGTGTCTGCAGACCATTTGCTTTAGCCAGCACTGAAGAGTGCAGGGTCGTTTGTAAATCATTTGCACCATAGAGCCTGTCTGACGGAGGCTTAGTATTAGCATTAGACTTGGGTGGATGGGTGGAAGTTGTTGTACTGTTTCTTTCGCAAATAGACGTATGGTGTCTGCCATTATAACTTCCACATCCTCGAAACTCCCTTCTGCTGGTAACATCAGGTATCTTGGAACATTCTGAACTTCTGTGGTGGTGAGAGTTACAGTATGCACAGGGCGCACAAGGTAGAGGCAACCTGGGCAGACAGGTTTTTGATAAACCAATCTTCGTCTTTCTTATGTAATTTTTGTTTCTCTAAATCGCTTAACGCCTCCTTCAGTTTATCACTCTTAGGTTTCGCACAGGAATAAAATATTGTTTATGGGTGTCTGACCACTTTCTTAACTCATCAAAACTAGTGTCAGCATCCAAGATTTGGTCTTTAACACGGTTCGCAGAATCCTCGAGTGCTTTGTTTATGTCACATATTATTCTCTCGTATGCCAAGTGTAAATCCTCTGTCATTCTCAAGTTTAGTTTTTCCTCAATTTCTTTGACGTAGTAGGTTGCCTTTTTCAATGCCTTTTGGTAATTTTCTTCCGTAAGATACACCATGTTTCACAGTTAATAAGCTTAATCTCCCATTTAATGTCAGTGTTCGTCAATGCACTTCTTCTTCAAGTCTAGTCCTTGCAGGGTCGCCATTTTTGGTGTGGAAAATACGAGAACACAACAAATAGTTCCGAAATCTCACCACTTTTAATATGGATAATCCTATCCTAAAGTACAATTGATAACGGAAACGTCAAACCGAACAACAACGACCTGCTCCCAGTTGGCTTGTTAGCTGGTAGAGCGCTGCCCCGGTATCGCAGAGGTCAAGGGTTCGAATCCCGTACAAGCCTGAATTTGTTCAGGCTTTCTTTTCGCAACTGCAAAAGTGGCGTCTATTCTGTGTTGTCACTCACGTGGCTAGCATCTATGAAAATTTATTGGAACAAAGGAAAGCTTGTACGTAAGAAAAGAGTTCAACTCCCACAGGACGGTTGGGACACAAACATGGCCGTCGTTTCATTGTTTTGGGACACAAATATGGTCGCCATGACGTCATGTGAAAACACACAATAACTGCGATGAGCTTCTTTCATACAACACTTCATATAACAGTCACGAATGAACGTTCTCGAAAGTGTGGACGTGGTGGACCCGGAAGTGTGTGCGTTTTTTTTTTTTTTTGGCGTGTAAATCCGCCATATTGCAGGCATTTTACATGTGCGCGCGTGTAAGTGCTGCAATTCCCGTGGGTTGTTCTGACATGTAGTTTCTAAAGAAAATGTGAGTGTGCACAGGAACTCATCACCCCTGACGGTCATTACAATGAAATGGTTATGAAGCTCGTCAGACTCCTCTAACCGTGATTACAAGTATCCAACAGATTCCACAGGTGATTTACAGGATTGCTCGGTGAAAGTTACAAAATGTACCTTTTTGGTGAAAAACTTGATTCTTATCTATAATTACCCAAAACAGATGCTCTTGTAGAGAAAAAAGTTTTGAAGAGGGTGCCAAAGGGGACATCAGAATACCAGGCTGCGTGGATAACAAATAGTGATGATGAAGAAGGTGCTAATCATGATGGTGATGAAAATGAAGATGAGGAGTTTTACGAAGAAATGGCGGAAGCCAGTGATAGCGATAATTCCATGGTAAGGATCGCGTGTATTTTCTCGTAGTACAGATGTAACGGTACTAATACTACATGTACTAGTCAGGACACTTGCCTTTTTTCCACTATATCCACTATATATCATTGTAATTGTTTGTTTCTTCCTTTCATTTGTATTTTTACTGTGTACTTTTTTTTTATTTATTTATTTATTTTTTTTGCAGAACGATGACGATGAGCAATATGAAACTGTAAGTTAAATTTAGTACTTAGATGTTTTCTACGTAACTTTGTAACATTCGTGTGGTCCTGCGGTCCAGTGGCCCTGTTTGCACCACCCCTTGTCTAGTCAAAAAAGCTCATTTAACTTCCTTTTTTTCCAGGTTCCTAAAATTTCTTTTCCTCCTCTTTCTTCTTGAAAGTCCCAGGGTCTGTTGCGAAAATCTTAACGTCACGTTTAACTGCTGACACGTGGGTACTTGTCATAGTGCACAACGACCCCGGTGAAAATCGTGTGCATAAACGTAAAACTGTAAAATTTGACGGGGTGGGAGAACGATCCGCTACCAAGTATTTCCAAATAAGCTAAACTTAGTCAAAAAAGTATGAAAAATTGCTTCGTCTCAAAACACAGCCCGTATTCTCTAAAGCTTTCCAAACAGAATAGCGCGAGCCATTTGATTTTCCTACTGGAATTTCCGGTTTTTCTGGCCATGTAAAGGGTAAGTACCCTTGGCCTCTTGTAATTACTTGGCTACCTTTACGTTTTATGTTCTAGCTTTTAATGGTGTTGACTGGTGTTAGTTAGCTAGACAATCTGCGCTGTGTAAGCGGCTCGGAGCCGCAGGATTGAGTTTGAGGCAGTACACAGAGCATATCGTCCAGTCTAGTGTACCGTATTCCAGGCTCTGAGAAAGTTGGGTCCGCGAAATTGTGAAAGCACGAACACGAAAATAAAACGGGAGGAAACCTTTTTCCCATCACCGCCCCCTTTTCACGAGCCTTTTACTTATGAGTCATCGTCACAAACTGGAAGCCTGGAACAGGTGCTTTAACTCCAAAACTTTTAGTTAGTATTATTTTTTTGAGGTGCAAATTAATCGAACAATATTATTTGTAACATATTTACCTTATAATATGTTTGAATGACAAGTGAATCGTGTCATTATATTATTAATCCTGTAGGTGAGCATAGCGGCTACCGAGACAGATGACAGTAAATATGATGAAAGCATCGATGTAGACGAGGATCGAGACCAGTGAGTGTTTTACCTTGTCAATGTTGAAAGCGTCTTTCTTAGTGATCTCTAATTCTTTGTCTAATTTGTAGGTTAGAAAAAATTCGTGCAGAGAGAGAGAATGAAATGTTTCCGGATGAAATAGATACACCTATGGACCAAAGTGCAAGAGTTCGATTTCAGAGGTAGGTACAAAATTAGAAAGTTAATCAAAAGCAGACGGGTAGGTGACGGTAAGATTTTTCCTTAAACGTAACACTGTAATCCTTTTCAATAACTTTTGTTTCTGTTAGAGGTGTTGCCGGTTATCTATGGGTTTTTTTTTTTTCAATTATTTATTCATTTATTTATTCACCATGAAACCTGGCGGATACCCATGGTGGTACCCGCGTTTACTTTTGCTGGTGTCCGCTAAATTCGGGTTTGTTTGTCTAAAAATATGCGACGCAACGTTTGAAACGTACTGAGCTATTCGTCCGCACTGATATTGGATATCCGCTTAATACAGTCAACTCTGTCATAGCGACCCCTTCTCGTAAGCGATCACTTCTCGTAAGCGACCACTTAGTAAATAACTGTTCTCTTTCTCACTCTAATACTTTTTCAAGAACACTCTCGTAAGCGACCACTTCTCAGATTTCTTACACGCGACCACTTTCAAGACCAGGAATGTTCTGGTAAGCGAACACCCGACAGGATCACGTATTGTAAGAAAACTATTTCTCGAATGTCACAAAAAAGAAAACATTTTTTTTAATAGTGCTGACCCAAAGTGCTGAAAAATACATCGTAATAACAGTCGAGGTTGCGAAGAGTTCTCCTTTGCAGTCACGTAAGTGTCCGATATTCTTGTTGACTGTAGGATCAAAACACAACAGTAATGGAGTTGGAGTATTCAGCTGAAATAAAGTATTCATTAATTTATGTAGTTATCAAGTTAAACTCCTTTGTTTTTGGTAGGTATCGTGGACTGAAGAGTTTCCGTACGTCCCCATGGGATCCAAAAGAGAACCTTCCATCAGAATACGCGAGGTACATTCATTTGCAAGTCACTGTAGTTATAGCTAATCCCGGCTCCTCACGCTGAGCTTTGCAGCTTATATTAAAAGGCTGGTTGAGAGACCACAGTGATAGTTGCAAGGGAAAATGTCGATCACTGCCGTACACGTCATTTCTAGTTTAAGGCTGCTGGCGTCCAAATGGCCATGGGCGTTTTCGATTGGAAAATTTTGATTTACTTTCTGAAATTCTGATTTCGGATTTTGCAATAAAATCCGAAAATGGATTTCAACTTCGAACAATTCATCCTCAAGGCGGATTTCAATTAAGAAAAATCCAAATTCGGATTTCATGGATTTCCTTTACTGCTTCATTTGGAAATCCGATAAAGGATTTGTAATTTTTTTGTATTTGTTTTCTCTACAAATAATGTATGCTCGTGCAAAATTGCTGTTCTTGAGAGCAGTTTTTAAAGCCAGTTTTCGAAAGAAGAAAGGTAAAAGGAAATACAAAGACAGGTTTCTCAGTGTAAGAACATTTTTGGATTTCGTATGTTGTTGCAAATTCAAAATCTAAATCCAGATTTTCCAATCAAACACACCACATGTTTCTACTGTAAGAAAAATCAGCCCATCCTCGGATCAGGGGCGGTCTTTCAGGTCGGGAAAAAATGGCGGCGAAAGCAAGGATGAAGTCAACATTGCTTTGGTTTTCAAACTATATATTCTTAATTTTCTCATGGGTGTTTCTTATTGTGTTTCTAATTTTGTCCTTTTCTCCTGTTCAGCATATATTTTAACATCTATGTTGCTATGTTGCTTATTGATGAGTTTCATCTGCATATTTGTAGGATTTTTCAGTTTCAAAATTTTAAAAGAACAAAGAAGCGTGTCTTGGAAGAGGACGAGGTGGATGGAGCATTGGTAAGATAACTTCACCACGTCGATTGTTAATTACAAAAGGAAAGTTTCGTATTCCCCGACGGCCTCTTGGACGACAGACTTCTTAGCATGATTGCGAGGCTAATCCGGGCCAACGTCTTGGCGAAACAAAAACTGACAAAGTATATTGGGTCTGAGTGGCTGGAAAATCCAGCCACTCAGACCCAATTTATTTTGTTAGTTTTTGTTTGTGGAATAGATATTCCTTTAAATTACGGCTAAAGTTTAAGCTTTGAAATTCTATTATTTCAAGACTTCTGAAGTCTTGAGTGGCTGGAAAATCCAGCCACTCAGACCCAATTTATTTTGTCAGGTTTTGTTTGTGGAATAGATATTCCTTTAAATTACGGGTAAAGTTTAAGCTTTAAAATTCTATTATTTCAAGACTTCTGAAGTCTTGAAATAATAGAATTTCAAAGCTTAAACTTTACCCGTAATTTAAAGGAATATCTATTTCAAACGACAAAACTAAGGGAACGTCATTTAAGTCATATTTTTTATTCGAGGAATTCAAATTGATTGATTTTGGAAACTGGCTTTTAGAAGTGCATTCATATGGTGATGCACGTTTCCAAACCGCATACCATACACTTCACACACCCTTTATTTTTAATTGCTTTTTTTAATTTTCTAATTGTTTTGTTTTTTGTTTCTTATGTGTTTGTACATGTACATATAGCCAGGGTGGTATGTTTGCATCCACATTGTGAACGTTCCAAGTGCATTTATGGGTAAGAACCACGTGATTTCTTCCAAATATGATGTTAATACTTTTTTTTTTTTCTGTTGATAAATAACCACTTGTTCATCAATAATAACAATATAAAAAATAAATAAATAAATAAACAAATAAAGAGTTGTTCATCGCAGTTTTAGGAACTGAACGTAACCTAAAATGTTCATGTCTCACTTATTCTAATTTCCTGCTCTGTTTTCAGAATCTCACGACCCCAGCTCCCCGCTTGTAATATTTGGTTTGCTTCCACACGAGCAAAAGGTAAATAACCCAGAGAGAAAACAAACTTACAAAAAATCGTAGGTTTGCACTCACCGGGCGCCTTCACCCCTTCGATCATATCGGTCTTGTGATCTATTTTTTATTTTTCTATGACTTGTTTTACCGATAAGGCCTTTCTGTGCCCACAATAATAAGTTCACGCTTTTTGGGATGTCCCTCATAAATAGGTCTGGCGAAGCTGATAAAAAAAAAATATAAACAGCTGTTTGCGTGAAAGATACACACAGTACCCCTTTCGCGTATCGCATATCCTTTCCTGTCTAAAAGAAACTTACCTTGCCCACACCGTCCCCAAGTTGTTTCTTGCTTGGTCTGAAGCCACAGTCAGTGTAGCACGTTTGAATGGGTTCGTGCGGGTCATGGAGAACCTGGAAAGTCATGAAATTTAAGAACTTCATTTTCCAGGCCTGGAAAAGTCATCGAATCTAATAATCGATCTTGGAACATTTATGTCCGTGACTGAACGTATCCGCATAAATTTGCTAGCAAATGATTCTCGAAATTTTAGCAAACAAAGATTTAAAGCAAACTGCTATCAGAAATGTATAAAAGAAATAGCAAATATAGCTAGAGTAACAAATTTAACAAGGACTGCAAGCTGTAGCAGAAATTTGGTAGCAAATATTTGTCGCAATTTTCGCGCTTGTTTCCGCTTCGCGCTGCTTGGCGGAAATCTGACAGCTCAGTCGAAGGGGAGCCATAGGGGAATTGTAGGTGGAATTCACTATATTTGTAAGTGAGTGTCTCACAAAATCTTCTTGTGCATCATTTTTTGTTGAAATTGCGAAAAAAACAAAGCTAGCAAAGTTTTGCTAGTGCTTTCAATCTTAGGCATATCTCTCGTGGAAAGCCATGGAAAATTACAAAGCTAATTTTTGTCACATTAGTTACTGCAAATATGAAAGTACGGACAAAGTAAGATAGAGACCAGTGATCACGCATTTTGGTGAACACCAGAGTTTTTGTGATTAACTGAGTTTAAAAAAATACCCTGAAAAATTAAAAGGAAACTTTTGAAAAGAATCGAACGTGGTAGCTAAACCTAAGTCATGGAAACTTGGAAAAGTCAAAAAGGTTATGGCAAGTCGTGGAATTTTGACGAACCCCTGTTGTTGTTGTTGTTTTTTTTTTTTTGCAATACCAATCTACTATTTTGACCCTCAATTAACTATGTGGTTGACTTGTTTAAATCTCACAGATGTCAGTTGTACATTTTGTAATAAAGAGGTATCCCGCATTCAAGGAACCCATCAAGTCCAAGGTGCCGTACTTGTAATGAATACTTTTAACTTGTCTGCAGAATCTAGGGAATGTTTCGCATGTTCCTCCGGAATATTCAGTTTATAAAGCACCAGTCTCTCTTTTTTTTCCCTCCGTTCTCTTCGATGAGAAATAATCTTGGCATTTCGTATGAGTAGACTATATAATAACCAGAAAGAGACGGCGACTGCGTGAATTAGTCGCCGGTGCAGTTGCATTATACAATCAGGAGCCGTTGTGTTCAAGTCTCGTTCTGTGCAATAGTTGGAACATTTTTTTTTTCTACTTGGTAGTTCCGAGTTCTACTCCTCCACCATGTTTGTAAAAGGCCAACGGGCTGCCGGCTTCACACATGACTGTAGCCGTGTTATGTTTAAATTACAGTCATACTTGGTGGTCGCCTATTAGAGATGTTCGCGCCATTGAGACAAGAATTACAGAATCCCTTTAGTGAAGAGGTCTGAACACATGACTTGATTTGAAAATAATTTATTAAATACGTGTTCTACAGGTTCTCACTAAAATTTCTTCGCATACCTTCATTGATTTTTGTTACCTCTGCGTCCCGCGTCCTTGACGCATAAAAATCCAAATCGACGCAAACTAATTCATAACATGCATCCCGTAGAACGCAAAGATCGATCTGAACATGTGTATTTGTTCGTGTATATTATGTAACAGTTATTATGGCTGTCGTTTACGTTGAGTAGTGTAGTACATACCACGTGCACGAACATAGACATCAGACCATGTGTCTAGTGCTCGCTTACAAAAGAACCGGCCAACTATAGAGCTTAGGAAAAAAATGGGTGTCTGGAGGGAAGCTTCCACATAGAGGTTCCACTGTTTTTTTTTTTTTTTCCTCCAGTCAGTTGATCGCCCTTTTCAACCTTTTTGCTAGAAATACTGTCGAGGGTAAATAAATGAATTTTATTTTCATTTATTGTGATCTCGTTTGATATATTATTTTGGCACTATTGTGCGCATTAAAAACTCACCTTACCACATTTGTAACAGACCCCAAACATTAGTGGTTCTAGCGCGTTTGTCTATGTTAATGTGCGACAATTGTAGTTCAATTTTATTCTTGGCTACGTAACACTGAGCGACATCACATATCGCTTCTCTCCCCAGGAACGACTGATTTTCCACTGCGGCTATCGCCGGTTTACAGCATGTCCTATATTCTCTCAGCACACATCGGGGGACAAACAAAAGGTGATTGCTATTATTATAAGTTGGGCTTCGTGTGGATTTCACGAGTCGAAATATTATTAGCATTTGTGCTGCTTCTGTTTCATGTAGTTCCTGCTTACAAGTTTAAAACCTTGGAGACAGGCTGAGGTGCTAAAACTGCTATTGATTAGGTCCTCGCTTTTAATTCTCTGGCTGTTTCTTTCACAGTTGGAGCGTTTTATGCCCCAGGAAGGTTCATTCGTTGCCACAGTGTACGCACCAATCATGTTCCCTCCTGCGCCTGTCTTGGTATTCACACAGGATAAACACACAAGTAAGTGCCTTAATGTAATTTAGGCACGGTAAGATTTTTGTAGGTCAGCGAAAAAATCCTGAGTTCGGTGGCGCTTTGTGCGGTGGTCTTCAACTACGCACTTGTGGTAAATTCAGCTGTCAAGTACCGCAGTATTGTTGGGTGACAACTGAGAAGACGAATTAAGAGGCATATTTCGATAGAAACATTTGCTGTTTTCACACTAGATACGGACTATCCGTCTAATCCACCTACAAAATTCATCAAAATTGACGGAAAAACAGATGGATAAAGTCAGGCGGATTGTCCATCCAAAATTGATACCTTTCCATTTTCAAATTTGGTTTCGTCTGGCGTGAATTATGCAACGAATAACCCGTCTCAGACAGGTAGTCCGTCTCTAGTGTGAATAGGGCCATGTTATTTTTCATCGGTGAGGTATCTGGTATATCGGAATGATTTTTTTTTATTAATTTTTTATTTATTTATTTTTTGGGGGATTTATACCTATTCTGACACGACCTTTCAAAACGAGAGATGCTATTCGCTTGGTATGTTTTCTATTTTTATTATGTATATATTTTTTGTTTTTCCAGGAGCGAAATAGACGTTTGCATACTGTTTTTGTACTTGCTTTTGTTCTTGCTATTAACCACAGGTATCTTCATATAGGTTGTCACACCCTGGTTGCTACAGGTTCTCTGTACAAGGTTGATCCGGATAGAATTGTAGCAAAGAAAATCGTACTTAGCGGTCATCCTTTCAAGATCAACAAACGATCAGTTGTTTTACGTTACATGTTTTTCAACAGAGGTGAGCACGCTTTGTTTAAATTCAATTTGTTTGTTTATATATTTATTATTATTATTGTCATATTATTATTATTATTATTATTGTTATTATTATTATTATTATCGTTGTTATTATCTTATTTGGTTATTTATCATTTATTTATTCAGTTTAATGTATTTAATTTATTGTTGTTTTCTTAAATAACAAAAGACAATTTAAGTAAGGAAAAAATTCTGTGAATGTATTTCCTTTGCAAATTCAATGTGAAATGTCCGAAATGGAGCTTTTTTTTTATGTCGAAAATAAAAATGGGTATGTACGTAGTCCCAGCGGTTTTGTGGTTGTAAGCATAACAATTTCAAAGCGTTGGGCTTTACGGAAAATCTGTGGATTGAGAATTACATTCTCACTTTAAACAGGGATCCTACAGGTCATGGAAAACCTGGAAAGTCATGGAATGGAAGAATTTCATTTTCTAGGCCTGGAAAGTCTTGGAATTTTATTTTCAGTCATTGAAAGTCATGGAAATTTAATTTTTTGTTTGCTACGTTAGTTACTGCAAATGACAAAGCAAGGACAATGTAGGATAAGGTGGAGTAATTGAACAGAGCGAACGGCACGTATTTTGGTGGACACCAGAGTTTGTGTCTGTTGAACTATTTAAGGTCAAAAAATACCTTGAAACAAGGAAAGTTTTGAACGTTTTTGAAAGCGACAGCTAAGCTCAAGTTCATGGAAAAGGTGAAAAGGTCACGGAAAAATTCATGGAAAGTCATGGATTTTGAAAAGCTCAAAAGAGCGCGAACCCTGTTAAAGCATTCTCACTTTAACGTTAGAAAAATTGGGAAGAGAAAGAAGACTCTGCTCGCGGCCTGCACAATTCCTTTTGAGCATGCTCCAAATTCAAATGTAACCGAGCCTCGGCCTTGCTTTCAAATCGAGTGCTTTTTTAATGAGTAGGAAGCGAGACAAACGTATGGCTGCCACACAGAAAATTTTATAGAGACCTTTAACTTTTGTGATAGCAAATTTCACGGCTTTTTCAAAGGCTTTGTACGAATCAAACCGAAGCGGCTGCCATGTTTGTCGATCGATTGTCGATCAATTGACAAATTCGTAGACTTGAAAAAAGCGGAAAAAGTTATATTTCTTTTTAACAAAATTGATCCATTTGTTTGTAAAAAACTTGGCTACAATGTCTATGAAACATTTCAACTAAGAGAATTTTATTCCATTAAACAAAAGCATGGGAAATAGAGATTTCTAATTAAAACTTTTAAATAACACTATCTGTTTATTTGAATATTTTAATTATTATTAAAACTATATTGTAATAGTTTAAAAGTAATACCATTTCTTTATATGGGAATGCTAATAAAAATTAAAAAAACAAAAACAAACAAAAACAAACAAAAAAAAACCTTTAATGGTATGTTGTTATGATTGTAAACAATATGCTGTGGGTGCGGAAAAAGCCAGCGATTCTAACGTTTGAGCATGCCCCCCGGGGGAAAACCGGTTTGACCAGTTCGAAACTGGACTGACTCATCCAGTTTTTTGGATGACTGGCGGATAAAAGAAAGTGCAGGCCGTGAGCAGAGTCTCCCTCCCTTCCCGATTTTTCTCGGAAGATCGAAGGAGTCTCTGGTCGTAGGGTAAACTGAGGCAAACGAGTGTCCTTTTTTGGGTATCAGTTAACTTGTAATGGAGTAACAATTACATTTTATTTGTTTTGTTTGTGTCGCGTTTATTTAGAGGATATTCAGTGGTTCAAGCCCGTAGAACTGTTCACCAAGTACGGAAGGAGGGGTCACATCAAGGAACCTTTGGGTGAGCAACCAACACGCGCTTAGTTAAAAAGTTGTTTGAACTAATTATGCGTTACCAAAAACAATGACCCTACATGGGTATGTAATCGCTTCGTCGGCACGCGAGCCCTTTTCATCTCATGCCTTGGTCTGGTCCCCAGTTTTGCAGGTGTTTCAATGAATATTAAAGTAGCCAAACAAAGCCCCAGTTGTTCAAAAGCTGGATAGCACTATCCACGGGATAAATCTTTTTTTTCTGGCGGATAGCACAATTGGTTTCCCTAATACTTATCCACTGGATATTGATTTATGCGGTGCATAGCGCTATCCAGCTTTTCAACAACTGGGGCCTGGTTTGAATAGAGAATACCTGACTGTATCAACAAGGGGTTTTCTAGTCTCCTTTCTCTTGGTGGGTCTGGGTGAGTACGCCCCTTATTTTGAAATTTCAATGCCCTAAAATGCGATTTCCAGCATTCTGGGCACTAAATAGACCTTTCCCGCATTACGCTCCAGTAAGCGAACATAAAGAAATGAGGTCGAAGCTGGGGTGGACAAGTTTATTTAGTATATACTAAAACAGTGGATAGTGTTTTTCGCGCGCTCTGATTGGCTACTCAATCAGTGAATATCCTGCACTATTCACTGATTCACCTCCAGTTCCTCCGAGCGAGCGACGCCAAACTCGCGTACAACAGCAAAAATAAACGGTTTTGCCGTGACAAGCCAAAAAGTTCACAACTAATCAAATCGTACTTTTGAATGGTTTCCTCTCTGATTTCCGAAATACATGTGTATATACTAAAGGTGACTCGGTGAATAGGTTTGGAATTTTTAACAGGTAAAAGCCACTATTCGTCGATTTTTTGTTAACTATTTGAATAGTTATCGAGCGAGCGAAAACCGGTGAGCAAAATGCTTTCCCGGTTTTTTTGTTTACAAATGCAAATTCCGAAATACATGAAGAAGTCTTTCGTTTTAGTTTTTATTTCTTTTGACTTGAATAGTTATCGATAAAACCGGTTGTTTTTGTTCAAATGCAAAAATCAAGTCTTGCGTTAAAACTAAAAATTTAATAAAATAATAATTTTTAACAGAATTATTTAAATACAAACAGAATTCACAACCCCTTTTGAAGAAACTTCCCCGCAAGAGCTAAACAAACGCCTTCAAAAGTTATATTTGTCGCTAAGAAAAAACGACGACCGCGGCCGTTCGGTCATCGCGCATAAAAATTGTAATCGTTGGCAACAGTAAATGAGTTAAAAATCACCATTTTGTGCTCAATTATCTCACTGTTTTAGTATATACTAAAACAATTATTCACCGAAGTGGAGGTGGCTAGTATTGGATATTTACCTCGCCGCTTCGCGGCCTCGGTAAATTTCCAATACTAGCCACCTCCACTTCGGTGAATAATTGTTATATAAATCACTGTATTTTGTCCGCCCAAGCCTCGATTTGTTGGAAAGGTCTATTGAGAAGATAAGTAAACGTAATTCCCATCAGAGTGGACACAAAATGCGCAGGAAAACTCAGTCTTTTCGTGAATACAAACTTAAAGCTAAAACTATGTTTTAAGTCCAGCAAATTAAATTTTAAATTAAGTTTTGATGGAATATTCATTAATTTGTTACGTCATTCTTAGCTTCCAATTTTAAAAAGTAGCTGACTTCTCTGAACAAAGTGCCGGCGTATTTTGTCGGTCGTCGGTGCTTATTGAAACCCCTACGTTTGGTAACAGCTTCTTGTATACTGAATACCGGTAAACGTCATGACTTCTATTATATCGACTCAGTAACTTATCTTACATGCCTTGCATGCCTTTTCCCACGGTCGGTGTTGACATGTTCGCCTTCTTTAAGTTTTGATTGGCTTGCTGCATTGCCTACTTCAGTTACCATTTGTTCAACGGGTTAACTGATTCATGCTTTACACTATTTGTAGGAACGCATGGTCACATGAAATGCGTCTTTGACGGGGTCATTAAAGCTCAAGACACGGTTTGCATGAACTTATATAAAAGAATATTTCCTAAATGGACATACGAGCCAACTATACTGCAACCTCCAGCGGAATCTCCTGAAGAAGACAGTATGGAAATATAAGACAACCTGCCCTTGTCTTATTGATTAATTTATTGGGAGAGAACGGATATCTAAAACGGGGGTGTCTGTGAAAATGCCTTGCCGACTCGCGGTCCGTTATTCTTCTATTTGATTTTCATCGATTGACTACCTCGGGAGAAGAAGACCATTAAGTTCTAGCTTTTGTAGTAATCACAAACATCGTCATTTTTTAAGCCTGTTGGACTATTTCACAATCAGTGCTTATTGTGATCGTGTAGGCACTTTGACTTTGTTAACGTGACGCCATGGTTTGGCCGTTTTAAGTAATGCATTTCGAGATCTGGCAGAACTATTCGTTGATAGTCAGTGCTTTCGAACTAAATATCGCGCTGTCAAAAAAATAATAAATGAATAAAAATAATTATAATAAATAACAGAATAATAAACGAATAAACTTCCTCTTTTGCTTCACTACTAATATTGCTATTTGTTAACCATCTTAGGTCCGGATAAATTAACGTCAAAGTGCAGACAGTTCCCCTTGTTTACTCTTAAATGACATTAACTTTTTTCACCCCTGTGCTGTTGTACCTTGGTCGAGGTTATATAACGCAGTAACGTTTTATTGCCAATTTTTCTCACACCCAGAATTTTTGTGATCATCTGGATAATTAGAAAACTGCCTAATAAACGATATTCTGTCTTCAAAAAAGTAATAGTAATAACGTAATCATTGTAAATAGTTGAATAAAATAAATAAATAAATAAATCAGTTTTTAGCTTCTCTCTGTTTAAAACCCATTAATTGAAAGGTACGCAATTCAGTTTTGAGATATTTAATCCAAAAAATATTGCGGTCTATTTCTTTGTCAGTTGTGTCCCTTGCCGCTTGAGAATTGTCTCAAACTGTTTGCAGTGTCGACTGTCTCTTCTCTAGCGGACGTAACTGGCTGTATTGCTGTCGCGGAAGGAATGACGGTACGGTTGGGACGAAAGCTCTGGGTGTTGTTTCCTTCCTAGCAGCGTCGCTTTTGTTTTGTGGGTTAAATGTTCGTACCTTGCTTTTGCTGTCGAGCTGAGATTATCAATATCAAGTTGTCTTTCGAAGTGCGACAGAAAGTCCTCTTGATTACAGATACTCAGTTCATGTCTATCTAAGACCACATAGCTGCCTTTGTTTAGGACGGTTCGAGTAACTTTTTCGCAAACTTAAGGTGACTTCGTAGCAGCTTTTTAAATATTTTCAGCGGCTTCCATTTCGGAAGAAACGATTCCAAAGTTAAGTTTATTCCCATTTGTTCTTGTACCTACGTGCGGTAACAACTCGACGGTGACTGTAACTTCTGCCTTTTTACTCATATTTATAACGATACAGCGACTAAACGATGCCTTCAAATTATTAATAATTGATTGCTTCAGGCTTGCGCTTTACATTCCCAGCATGCAAAAACAATTGACATCAACGTCTATCATTTCATCAACTTTTCCTAAATTACTCTCGTGAAAGTTGGTGAAATCTGAAACAGTCAAGTTTCCTCTTGCTTTAATCGTATTCACCGCGTCGGTGTTTTAAGCAGTGAGGTTTCTCTATATACTTTAAATGTTGTTTTTTGACCCATGTAGGCTCATTATAATGCATCTAAATTAAGTAACGATGTCTTTGTGGTATTAAACACTTAAATCACCTGTCGAGTCGGGTCATTGAATATGCAAAAAAAGCTTGTTAGATGTTGATATCGTTCAATATAAGGCACCTCATAAGGGGTAGTACGTCATACATATTAGGCACAGCGTTTCGCCACAAAGCATTATCATTCATCCAGAAAGAAAGACGACTGAAACTTCAGCGCCGTGAACACATTACAGCTGTGTGAGTAAAGAAATCAAAACATGGCGCGTGGCAATGTCTTAAAACCTTGGTACCAGTCGAAAACTTTGACCATTTTGGTGGTTCTTTGGGCACTGTTCACGACCTGCTTAGGAATTATGATCGTCGTGATCTTTGTTCAGCCCCACTGGATAAGTGGAACGGTTCAAGAACCGAAGAAGACAGTGAATTTTGGCTTGTACCGTAACTGCACAGAGAGTTTGAACGATTGTTCTGGAAACTTGAATGACTTCAGCAACATCTACTCGGACGCCTGGAAGGCTTCTACCATTTTCGTAGCGTTGGCGTTCATCTCCACGTTTCTTTCGGTTGCTATAATGTTGCTTTACTGGTTGTGTTGCTTTGAGTCTTCAGGAGTTGGTTTTCGAGCAAGTAGTGGACTGCAAGCCACAGCGGGTATGTATTATTTATTACCTAACAGTTATTGTTTTAGGGGTCGCGGTCTTTTAAGCATATATGTATGTGATTTGCTTGCCGTGTAGACCCTCGACCTCTTAAATTACGAGATTGCTTTAGGGTTGGTTAGATTCAGTGAAGTAGTTGAAACTATTTGCGATGGTTTCGACCATTACCACTTAAAAGAGAAGAACGTTTTCAAAATCATGGTGTCAATCTTTCAACTCGCACATAATCGTATTTTTCTAAGTGTACGTATCTGCGGCTTTGTAGAAACGTTCTGTAATGGGTAAAAGATGAGGAATCATTGCTCCTTTTTTTAGCTTGTTATTGAATTATAACCTTTTAGCAACATCTTTGACAGCGAAGTCATCGGTACTCTCCATGTGGGGTGAACATACTGATTTCGAAGATTCCTTTTCCCTGAAGGGTGGACCAATAGTTAAGTGTCATTAACTTTCCCGTGCGTTTTTACGTGCTTGTGAGGTTGCCTTCATTCAGGACATAGCACTAATTGCACTCTAAGCTGAGTCGGAAATAGCAAAAGTCACAAATACGTATTTCATTGTTACTACCAAAGGAACACGGAAATTCCTTCTAAAGACACTACTTTTTTTCCTCCCTGTGCATCGGTTATGCCACAAGTATTCTACCCTGGATGATTTTCTGCACGTACTGCAAGGCTATTCAGAATTCATACTAAATACGCGAGGAAATGAAAAAAAATAAATAACATCAAAAGCCCATTTGTTCACGTATCTCTTTCAATTTTGGGGCTCTCCTTATATACAACGTAAAATGGCAATTTCATCTGCGGAAACCTGTGACTTGTGATATCATTCTTTTCCATTCGAATAATGAATTTCTTTTGAATGATTGAATGGTTTTTCATTGGTAATACATTGGTTAGTTAAGCAGGAAATTGAACAATTATAAGCAGACGACGTATTTACAGCTGACTGATGTTGAGAGCAAAAATCGTTTGAAAATACTGCTTCAAGTTAAGTGTATTTATTCAGATAAATTGATGTACATGTTATCATCTAATCTTACGCAAGCACCTAGTGTAGAATGTTCTAAGGAAGTTTTTGAGAATGTATCATTGACAATGAATTTTGTGGGACCAATTAAGACCTTAAGCCTTCTTGAAAACCAATTATTGATTAACTGGTACCAATATTGCTTCTGTTCCCACCAGTGGTTAATACAGGATATTGGCCTTTTCTTACCCAGCGATCACGAATTGTTTTCTCTCTTTTTCTTCAGTTTCCTTCTTTTTAAAATACTTTTTTGAACTTTTAGGTGTTATTTATTATTTCCTTTTAGTTGATTAGCATTGTTTTTTGTTACTCATTAGCTTGACTTTTTTTGTGTGACGTAATCGTGTAATATAAGCACTTGATGAACTTTCTAAATATAACAGTACTAAGTTTTGTGTACTTTAAGCGGAATCCGTCTGATCTATTCTTTGTTGCGAACATATTTTTCATTTGCTGGTGATTGTCTTATTTGGTTTTTGAGAAATGCGATATTGAAAGTGAAGGCTTTACCAGTTTTCACATGCTTTATGTACCATATTTTGTTCGGGTCATTTAACGTTCTGGGAACCTAGTAATTAAGTCATCAAAGAATCTGTCAAAGTAACATTAATACATTAGTGTCTTTCTTTTAGATATCAGTTTAAATATATATATATATATATTTTTTTTTTTTTCTGTGGAGTTGTTTGTAACGAATTCTAAACCATATTTTAGTGAAAATAACGTATGATGTCTTGGGAAATGTTGACGTGTCTGAGAAGTTTGCGGGGGCAACAAGTCGCATTAAAAGGCGGTTAGCAGCCTCGTTGGTTAGACGAGTTATTTTCTAAGGATCACATACCTCATAGTGGAGTCTATGCATGTTCATAATAGAGAAAATATTATATATAAAAAGGAGCTGTGTACATATAATTGGAAACTACCACCAAATCGAGGGAAACCAAAAAAAAATAACTGCTCAAATTTTTGAAAGGAAGGTACAAATAACGCGGCATACACAAAAGGAGGCACGCGGTTGGACAAATTAGAAGAAGATTGAAACGGGTAGCACTTGTGGTTTCTGAAACCTTAAAACCTAACACAATGTTTTTTTTTTTTTTAATGTTCATCTTTGTTGTTTCTAACGTTTCAAATAATGCTTGGAAGACTTATGCACGTGCATAAGACGACATTTGAAAGAAACAGTTCTCTGGGGTACCATCACGTGGTCTAAAATGGGAAAACAAACATACAAGCTAAAAACGTCTTTTGTATCTAAATTTTTTCTTTGTAATATTATATTCAGGTCTCTGCATGCTCATCACTTGTCTCGTATATCCGGTTGGATGGAATTCTACCGCCGTCAAGGCGGTTTGCGGTCCAGAAGCAGACAGATACAAGATAGGAAATTGTAATGTAAACTGGGCTTATTGGATCGCCATTATCTGCATGGCGGACGCTTTCGTGCTTAGTTACCTCTCCCTCATGTTCATCGAGCGAGAGATTGGAACCCCGAATGTAACGAGCAGGAGGCAAGAGTCCAACGGAACAAACCCAGAGGATGGCATACGGTCAGGAAGAGCTGCAGAAGGATACCACAACAACGATACCACGTCACTGTGAGCTTCTGAGGGAGCACATGCTATTCTTTTTGTCCCCCCTTTTTCTAGAAGGTTGTCAAACAATCAACAGGTTTTAAAAGCTCTACAAGGTTAACTTGTAGAGCTTTTAAAACCTGTTGATTGTATAATCAACTGCTGCGTGATAAAACTGCAGGGTCTCTATAAAGTCCACTTTGATTAATCGTTTGCTTGGGTTGTCTTACTGAGAGTTACACTTTTGTAATGAAACTCTATATAGGCGTAAACATCATGGACATAAACCATCATTAATCTCATTGAAATTGACAGTCACAGGTCTCAAGCAGACGTTTCTCTAGGTAATAGTTGTACTGTACATTTGTCAACGGTTATGTCCTTCGGCGGTTCAAGGCAGTTTAGGAGTGGGAAAAAAAAATTGCAGAAATATGGGTTTTATGGGTTTTATCCTTTTGAAAATGGGGCGGTTTTTGTGTAGAATTCAAACTGTTCTAGAATGGTGGGCAATGTGGTGCGTCGTGAATTTTGAATTGTGATTTTTTTTTTTTTTTTTTTTGGGGGGATTGTGTTTTGTAGAAACTCTTCGCCAGATGAAGTGTACGTGTGCCTTGATGCCGTCTTAGTAAGGCAAGAGGCAAGTAATGAGTGTTTTCATTTTTAAATCTTTAAATAATAATATAATTTGAAAGGCCTCTAAAACATATTTTAAAGACGTGTGAACAATTAGCAAACTGTATATTGTTTAATTGAATAAACTAGGGTATCTAAAAGATAGTACTGCCGCGGCATATTCTATTGATACTGGCATTAGTTAGGCAGTGAGACTTAAAAGAATCGAAATCGCTGTTATTTTGAAGCTAATGGTCAAGATCACATCCATTTTCGGCTCATACAGGTTCTTAAGAATAGCATGGCATGACATTTTCTCACTTTCACATCACCTTCTAATGCAAGCTGAAATTTGTTTATCCCCCATGTTGCGGATTCGAAGAGCAAATGCTCATCTTCTCGTCAAGTTTAACGCCTGGACGAGTCAAAGGCTCATGAATTGAAATCCAATCCCCAAGTTAACCATCGTACTCATAAGACCTCTAACCGTGCTGTAGAAAATTTGCCACAAAGAACACAGCGAACGATGCAGGCTCCCACCCACCGAGCTTCCTCTTTTTTTTATTTGAGTTGTTCGTGGCCTAATGCATTCTGGTAAAAGGGATTGTAGTGCACTCTGGTTAAATGCAATGCATTCTGGTAAAAAGTGTAGTTAAATGCAATGCATTTTGGTAAAAAGCGATGAATTCGAGAATTCGTCCCACCTTATATATTTCCCTTAAATCCTGATTACGAGTGGATATTTCATTTTTACAAGTTGTTTAATAGTTGTAGAATGTGTAGACCTGAATTAGCATTATTATTCATTTAAAATATTTTCCCGATTCTGATTGGCAAAAAGCACACGTTTAATTCACCATAACCAGTATATTACTGATGACCAAATTTGAAGAATTTTGTGTTTAACGAGGAAATGACGTCAAAAATGCAACCTTCTACAGGTTAATGAACCGTTAACCTAGAAGACCTGGGGACGAGGTTGAGTTGTTTTGGTTGTGAAAACAAAAATGGCCGACACTTCACTCGTTTCAAGAGTAAGAACTACAGCTGGAACTAGGCGAAGTAATAGTTATAAACATAGCAAAAACAGCAAGAAGGCAACTCGGAGGGTGACATCTGCTATTTGGAGAATATTTGTGGAGCTGGGCAAACCTAAACGTACACTATCGAAGATGAACTGAACATCGATGGATCGATGGAGCTAAGCATGTTTTAGCTATGTTTTTAAACTAGGAATTATTTTGAATGAATAATAAAACAGCTATTGAATTCGGCTTCCCTATCATATGAAGAATTATGGAGATCTTGGAGGATGTTATCCGCCTCGGCCTACGGCCTCGACGGATAACACCCTCCTCGATCTCCATAATTCTTCATAAGATACTCAGCCTCATTTATTAACTGTTAAATAATAAGAAACCCATAAGGGGTTAACCTGTTCACAGACCCTCTATTTTCTCTTCAAATTCCGTCGAGCGCTGGTGATAAAATATAAACCGCAGGGGATTTATTGACGGCCGCCAGCGCAAGGGGCTAGTTGTGGGGGGAGAAGAAAATAGACGGTCTGTAGACATCTTTGGGAGCAACTGAAACTTGCTTTTCCCTGAAAAAGCAAATTACCATTGGCTGAACGGCGATTATCCTGTGATCATCATTTCAATGACTCTTTACGCTCGCGTCATGCGAGTAGAAGCGTTTGTCATTGCCCAGAAGCGCGCTAACCGCGACACTTGCTATTGTAATTTGCATAAAAAAATAACATCGATTGAAAGCGCCGCCGACTTATGAACTTGGGATGGAGTCATACTACGAGCTTGTGTTGACCATGTTAACCATAATTATCTTTTCTATCGGAGTGTAGACTATGACGACTGTTTGGCTCAATTTTCAAGCAAAGAAAAAGAAGAGGAGCGCCAGGCTGTTTTGGGTTTACTGAAGCAAAAGGATCTTGTGACGGTTCTTCCCACGGGTTTTGCGAAAAGTTTAATTTAGCAGTTGTTTGCGGCAGTGAAACTCAAACGAAGAGAAAAGGACGTTGAATTGTAGTTGCATCACAATTACGAAGTACAGTCGACTCCCGGTAACTCGAACCCTCTATAACTCGAACCTCCCGCTAACTCGAGCCAATTTTCATTTCCCTTCAGATCGCTTTCTATATAATTTTAACCTCGATAACTCGAACTCCCGATAACTCGAACTATTTTCTATTTCCCTTGAAGGTTCGAGTTATCGGGATTCGACTGTATTATCAATGATCAAGTTGAAGTTATGAGGGAAGCTGGCATTTCAGTCATTGCATTACCTTGCCGCGGAACCATGAGGTGATGCGGATATTCAATCTGTTTTTTTAAAAACCGAAAGCTATCATCGTCGTGCGCGCTTTCTTGAAAGCTGGCTTTAATAAAAAAAAAAAATCCAGCTCGGGTGCTTCTAGCCTGATTACTGCAATGCAGACAAACCCTACTTGACTGATCTTCTGTTTGCGAAACGGTAAAACCAAGATCTCTTAAACCGTGCACCAACTTTCGCTTTGTAATTAACACCTTGACGAACACTCTCAAAAAAAGATTCTCTCTAGATTTATGGGAACGGAAAGATTGCCCACTACTATTGAGGTATACAAAGCACCCACATGTCCTACAATAATCCGATGTGCCGATTTGTTTCGGCTTTGGACCTCTTTTAGCCGGCGTTTTCGGCGTAGAAGCAGAGAAGCAGTGTAAGGAAGGTCTAAGAAGACATGCTTCAACAAACACGCGACTCCGAGTGTCATTGTTGTTTGATCAAAGTACTTAAGCCAGTTACACAAGCAGTTTATATCTCCAATTCCATTGGTCCAATTTAATTGGTACTGCGAACGCGGAGGAGATAATGGATGATGAGGCGTTGAACCTCGTTTTTCCCAAATATGTCTGCAGACGTTCTTTCTTTCTCGCCCCCGCGCTAGCCTCCCACGCAGGTGTTTTTAGGGGAGCTCGTCTTTCGTCCATGAAAAACGAGCTCCCCTAAAAACGCCTGCGTGGAAGGCTACCCCCGCCCTCGCTCTCGTGCGCTTTCTTCGCTCGCACGCCCGCCGATGTTTTTGAAAAGAACAAAAAGAAAAGTAAAACAACGTCTGTTCCTCTTGGTTGCCTTTTAAGGACGAAGTAAATCTTCAACAATGTAGTTTAAGATTTAGGCACATAAGAAACGAAGATGACTGCCCAGACTATATAACGAAACTATTAACTAGAAACTCAGAGCTCAGGAGCGACAACAGAGCTAGCCGTTGGGGAGGTTTAATTTGGTATGTCCTTTTTATAATAGAGAAACGGAAGGGGGACGTACTTTTAACGTTCGTGGAGCTACGCTATGGCCGGCATCTTGATCTGCGAAAGAAGGACACCGCTGGCTCGTTTAAGAATGCCGTCTTTAAAAAGTATTTTTTAGCCTAGTTCTTATGTGTAGATATGTTTTCATATTTTTAAATTCTAATGTACAAATCACTTTTTCTTTCCCTGTAGTATTTCAAATTCGCTGTGTTTATCTTAATGGCTTTTAATATCGTAAATTTAGGATTGTATCTTGTAGTATTTTTAAATTTTAATTCGTCGTACGTGTATTAGTTTTAAATATTTTAATTACGACTGAGGGCCACTAGTTCATCAGTGTTTACTGTCATGTGTTACCCTCATTAAATAGAGTTGCTACCTACCTACCTACCTACCTACCTATCTGTTTACAGGCTAATTTTTTTTTAAAGGGTGCTCTACTTCAACACCAATAAACCACATTTTTTTTTTTTTTTGCAGAAACTAGTTGTGACATCTCGTATAGTGCTCGTGAATATTCACTTTTACCATATTTGGAAACCTTAGTGAAGGATATCCATTTTCAACAAAATGGCTGCCGCGCGATCTCCATGCGGTGGTTTTAACGCCAGAGTTCTGCATTTCAAGGTTAAAAATACACCGTTAAAAGACAAAATGTAGAGAGAGAAAACTCAAAAGGATGCTCAGCTATCTTTTTGTGGAGGAAGGGAAGCTTTTTAGCATGAAATCATCCTTCGCGGAATTCAACCTTGTTTTCTTCACGGCAGAGCGCATGGCCTGTTTTGAAATGCAACCAAGGCAGCGAAGTTTTTGCTGAATTTTCAGGTACATTTGGCACTCTATGGCCGAGAAACTTAAGTTTTCGGGAGGGAATTTATGTATTTATAACTGTTTAATAGACGCTAGAGAAAAAAAAACAAAATTCGCCCCGATTAGAGATGGATTAAAGGGTGTGTTCCTTTCGGCGAATCCAAAAACAGATTTTTGATCCTAGATTTGCCAGATTTCGCGGTCGAAAGGAACGTGAAATCCGAAATTGGATTTGTAACCTTGGTAACCTTTCGCCAACGCGTGCAATATGCACGACAGCCTCTCAAAAAATGACGTGTTTTCTACTCTTTGTCAAATTATGCGATTATACCGTGAAGAATTTAGTGGTCGGCAGTTCGAATGGCGACGATGAAACATATAAAACAGACAAAGAAAGAAGCGCATTAAAATTGAAAATTATCTAAAGAATGTCGGCCAGTTTGATCCAGTTCCATAGCTCGGATTTTTTTAAGTAACACGATCGACTGCCTTTCGCGTCTACAAGCGAGTTTGTAGTTTAAGTTAGATAGCAGTCCATTTGTTACTTTTACTTATTTCTGATTTCAAGCAATCTTTAGAGACAAATGGTTAGTATATGGATATTTTAATGTACCAGGATCAATCTTCTAGTGTTTTCAGATGTTTTGCAGCAAATGACAGGAACGAGGAAACTCTACGGCCTCTACCGGAATACTTCAACTGGAAATACCGCTGGATCATCTGACTAATTTCGGATCCACTGTGAATGGAACAGCGTAGATCACTAATCCGTTAATCTGGATTTGGATTCTTCGGATTTCAAATCCAATGAATCCTTTTTCAAAAAGGATTCACCAGATCAAAAATCCGGATTTGGATTTGCCGAAAGGAACGCGAAATCCGTTCTTAGATCTAAAATCCGTTTTTGGATTCACCGAAAGGAACACACCCTTTGTGTTGAATTTTGCCATGTGTTCAGCCGATTTTACTTGCGTAAACGGATCCACGCTGCAGATAGTGTTATGTGAATTGATTTAAAGGATTAACTTTGTGGAGTTCGAGTGAAACGGCTTCTCTGTCTATTGCTTTGAGTTGGTTTAGTCATAAAAAAATGGCTCAAAACACGATCGTGAAACGCACCCAAGGTGAATTCCTCACATTACACGCATCACGTTTGCCGAGATGTCGGCGAATTTTATACAATTTTTACTTTCAGGTTAAGTTTTTGGACCCTTTTCGATACGCAGCCTGCTAATGAATGTTATTCGAAAAATACGTTTTACTGTTTATTCTATACTTTTAATATGACACTTTTAAATGCCTATTTGCAGCATAAGTTTATTGCGAAGGGGGTCACCGAGGTATCTTTTTTTCAAGCGAGAACTTCAAGAAGTCGAGCGGTTGTCGGTGGGGTTTCATAATGTTGCGTTTTGCTCGGGTAGTAAGCCAATTTCCTGCTCAGTATTTCGGTAAGGAAATTGGTTTCAACATTTGAAAGCTTACTCTGCTTTCGGGAGTTTGTCCTACGTTTGTCGGCCATTTTTTTAAGCGGGCGCGGAAACGTGATTTTAAGTAAATTTACGTCACGTCGTTAACGAAGTTTGATTGGTCAGTTATCTTTTCTTCTCGTTCCAAATATAGTACTTTCGAAAATGAATAATCACGAGCATTGGACAAAACCCCTTGTGAGTTTCTGCAATAATTAAAGGTCTCTTAATGACGTTGGCATTTCTTGTAAATAATTCTTGCCTAACATTTGTTCAGGTTGTTGTGGCTTTTGTGCTCTTATTTTGGTTGGATTTAAGAATTCTGTTGTTTCGTTTTATGGCTTTAATTAGACTGGATGCCAAATGATCTACCTTGTTCAGCTTTTTAGTCACGAAGTCTGAATACTTGGTGAAACCTTATAGCCTTTGAGTATTGTAACTTTATATTTCTTTAAATAAATACATTGTTGCTGTTGTTGTTGTTGTTGTTGTTGTTGTTGTTGTTAGTGGCCTTTGAGTTTGTGGGCTAAATCCTGCGGAGTGCCAGTCATATAAAACCTCTTCTTCGGTATCTGACATAAAGAACAATTTCAATTAAAATTTTACTCAAAATTTAACCTGTGTTCTCTTGGGTTTAACTTTTTTATAGTAGCGTAGCCTACATAGGCAGAAACGGTAAATATCTCGGTTTCTCCAGAAATATGAGTCAACTATGATGAAGTAAATTATCAAGACTGACTGGAAGTCTTTCAGTCCTGTGGTATGATTATTCGAATAAAATCTCTGAATTTTACAGAAAATGAAGCTTAGAGATTTTTTTGGGCCACATTCAAAAAAAGAAGTTTTTGCTTTGAAAAAAATAATAATAATAATAACAGTTTTATCCATCGACTACGAGAACTGATCTCAATCCTGCATTTCTATATGGTTTGTCATTACTACCGATCTTTGACGACCAAGCACAGATTTACACAACAGTTAACAATTCTGTGTACTCCAACTCGTCTTGTTTATTGGGGGCGCTCTTCTTCGGAGTCAGCTTGGTGAAAGTCCTTGTTGTATTAAACTCGAGTGAATCTCCTTCTTCGGAGAGAGAGCAATACCCAGAAGCCTCGGACTTTCTCATGGGCCGCAAATAAAAGGCACCCTGGACGTTAGGATCTTCTTGGGTCATTTTGCACTCGCCGTTGCAAGGGTCCTCCTCAGGTATACCCGGCGTTTCTGGTTCCTCATTTGGGGACTTTGTTTGGTCAAGCTCTGCGTCAATGGGGATAGACAGCTCTCGGTATTGACGTACCTTAGGAGTGCATTTGTCTTGTTTTAGTTGAAATCGTTTCCGGCAAACAATGATGACTATTATTATGATTAGTAGCAATGCCACAAGTGTCCCGATAGCTATGTACCGCTTTGGCGATGAGCCTGGAGAGAACAAAACGAAGGTGTGCATTATTGATACAGCTTTTTCGGCCAGGAGAGAATACTCTAATTGACACAAATGGCTTTGTCAACAGTGAACTAGAGCACAGGTAGCCCACGCTCACTATGAGAGCCCTGAACAACATTATCCTACTTAGCTAATTAATTATTCATACGGCAAGAAAATTATAAGACGCTGTATGGAGAAATATTCTTTGCTCACTAAATTAGCAAAAGGTACATTGAATATCTCTTTGAAGCTTACCTTTAGCGTCTTCTTGTTTTTCTTTGTATTCTGACTGCATTTCAGACCTACTAGGCGCTGTTTAAGGCCTTTTTTGGAGCAACAGTTTTTCACCCAGATGACAGTAGAGGCCTTAAACAGTGCCTAGGAGGTCTGAAATCCAGTCAGAATACAAAGAAAAACAAGAAGACGCTAAAGGTAAGCTTCAAAGCGATATTCAATGTACCTTTTACTAATTTAGTGAGCAAAGAATATTTCTCCATACAACGTATGAATAATGAACTAGCTAAGTAGGATAATGTTGTTCAGGGCTCTCATAGTGAGCTTGGGCTACCTGTGACTAGAGTAGGGAAAAAAGAACGACAAATGACGTAGTCATTTCCTTAAAGTTTGGTCAGTACATACGTATACTACAGTTAACTCAGACGAGTAAGCGATCGAATAATCGACTGCAGATACTCTTCCACACTGAACATCATGAGGGAAAATGCAGAGGTGAAGAATGTGCAGAGGCCTTTTTGGTTTTAAAAGCTTTTTACAAATATCGCGAAGTTCTTTTCAAGTTTTGAAATAGGACTGTTGGCCAATATACTTAATAAGTTTCTTCCCACGGCCATACTAATCCTTACAAGGCACCAATCCTCCCCCTTAGTTATTCAGAACTTATTTGATGCCTAGACGTAATATTTACCAGGTGAACTTTAACTTTCTGTAACAGTGCAGCAACGACAATAAACTCTTACCATTAACAGGGAGGGCTTTAATGGCAAACCCCTTCTCAGTCTCTTTGTTCGTATCACTTAGAAATCTTATCCATAGGATTGAACCGCTGGATTGGACTGTGGGAGGACTGGTAAAGCCACAACGCCTTCTTATTTCTCTTCCGTCCCTGAAAGTAGTTCCGCTCTCTCTAATAGGTGAAACAATGATCATGTCATTTAGTCCTGGTAGGTTACGAAATTCTCAAAATGGCACACTATTGGCTGAGTCTAAAGTAATTAACCTCGTTAACCGCATGGCCGAGTTGTTCAAAGCTGGTTAAGATAACCCCGGGTTAGTGCAAGATTTGAATTCAGATTTGAAAGCTTAAAAAGCATTTCAGTTTTAATTCTTTTTGTCTTCTCGTTGATGATCGGAAGTTCTAAAAATAACAGAGAAAATTATCCAAGAAAATGCTTTTGAACACAAGAGAAAGAAACCCGGGTTAAATTTAACCCCAGGTTAAGCGCTAATCGGCCTTCGAACAACTAGGCCCAGGTCTATATCCAGAAATCTAGGGACGAGGCTGTAAAGTAACTTTATTTAAGATGAGGAACAGGGATTTTTTACTCTTGCATGTAAACCCATGTTACGTGCACCATACTTGCAGTTTATAGGGGAACACCGGAGGAGGTCTTAGAAATGGTGGACATTTAACGTCTACACTTAGTAAAGAATACGGATTAAAAAGAAAAAATACAGTGAAAAATATATTATATCTTATTGAGGAGTGAGGAGGCAACGAGGCGACAATGGTTTGTATTTTTTCGCTGATAGTCTTTGCAAAAGGATCGTTCCCTTCATTTCCAAGAAAAAATTGTACTATTTCAAGCCTTGTTTGAATTTTCCATTTTCCAGAAGAAATTGTGGTGAAACCCTCACCAGTAAACCTGGCTTTGATAAGTGCTGAGGTACCACCAACCTGACGCTGACGTAGTCATGACAACCAGAGTCAAGGTAGCTCTCTTCTAGTTTGAATTCCAGAAAAGAAATCTGGACCTTGTAATCTTTTGGAGCCAAAATTCTCCATGTGCATTGCATGTTCCGGGGATAAGGATTGGGGAAGTTTGGACTGCTAATTGTTACACTGGTTCTCGCGTTTTTGATGGGTACTTCTCGGTAGATATCCTCTGTGTGGTTTCCGCGTGTCGTACACGCTATAAAACAAGTCCAAGACCTAGAGTTAAACCTTTCTTGAACAAAAATTTAGGCTTTAACTTTTCGAGCGCTAGGCCTTGTCAGAGATGTCAACCTCTGCAGATCTAAAATCTGGAGACTCTCTTTTTCATTACCCTACCGGAATTTCAACTTAACCCCCCCCCCCCTTCCCCGACAAATTGACCTAGCCCCCAATGGGAATGACTTAGGACATTAAATGAAGTCTTACATTGAGTGCATACTATCAAAATTCGCATTCATCGTTTTGATACCAGAAATAATCTTTGTGAGTGACTAAATACGTGCAAAAATGCACCAGAAACCGTACTGTGAATAAGAAAAATTCAAGTTTTGAGCTAAAAATGGGCTAAATCACAAACTAAGTCACACAAAAGCTCAAAGGATGATTTTATCCGGGAGATTTGGTGACTCGTACGGGAGAGCGGGAGATCGGTGCCTTATATGGGAAACTCCCGGATAATCCGGGGAGTTGGCATGTATGCCTTGCATGCTTGGAACAGAATGGATTACGGATTCCGAAGCCTAGGATCCCGGTTTCCACTGGGAAAAATTTTCTGGATTGCATAATTCAAATTACCTTACATTGGTTCACTCTGAAGAAGGGCTAGTTGTCGAAGCGTTCTATCTTCTTTAGCGTTTAAGACCAAAGACTAGAGACCTTTAGATTCGAGGACAAGAACGACTACGAGTACTTAAAGATTTTTTCGCGTATTCTCAAAAAAATAGACACCCTGAAAGCTTCATTGTTTTTTTTGTTTTGTTTTGTTTTGTTTTGTTTTTTTTCCATTAGAAAAGATAGCATTGTAATCTATATCGAAGGAGGTTAAGCCCTCTCTCGATTGCAAAATGATAAAACTTCTAACATTTGATAACTTGTTTCCGTCATTACGACATTCTCACTAAAACTCGTAGTAGAATGACGACAGCTACCAAGTTTTCCCGCCAAAATGACGCTGGTTCACGCGCGCGCACTACTTAGTATTGAGGAAATCTCGTCCTCGTAGTCGTACTCGTGTTAGAATCTAAAGGTCTCTAATATTATGATGCACTAACGATGACGGAAAAATGAATATTGCAATATGATTGAAGCATAAGGAGGAAGTGAGGATGGCAACCATCCCAATATTTGCATCTCTGAAGGATAAATGTGGCTGCTTGAATGTTAAGTATTGACTCATCACGGTATGCTGTGGGTCTAAATACTCACCGGCGATACTGTTAGAACTATATCGCCCATTTTAACGACTAATATAAGCAAGGAAAATCACTAAAAACGTGGCCTTACCTGTAAATTGTGCTCGAGAGGGAGTAATGGCAACCAAACCTATCAAAAACACAGTTACCATTTAACGTCTTTAAGGCAGCGAAACCTAGACTCTGCAAAAACTCCTTCTTGTCTTTCTATTTCCGTAAATATACCAAAGTCTAACAACCCCCAAATTAACGATCCTGCTATCCAGGGCGCTATTCGGAAATTAAAAAAAAAAAAACCGTCAACTCCTGTGAGCTCTCGGAATTGTCTAATGTTTGGGAAGTTTGGAGAACAACAATTTTGAAAATTCCAGATCGGAAGCACTTCGATTTTGATTTTAAATCACCGTTAATCTATTGAGAGATTTTCTCAACGATTATAGTAGTAACGTTCTCAACTCGATATAAGGCGAGACCTTCGATCTGGAGAAAAAAAAATAGTTATTAAATAGTGGAAAGGATCCCGACCTGTTTCCGAACATTTCTCGATCCCATACTTCGACTGAAAGCGTATTTCGTATTTTGAACGGCCGTTAATATGAAAAAAAACCTCTGTTGTGCAGAAGGAACTGGAATTTTATTCAGATTTGAGGACCGTTCTCTGATCTGGAGAAAAAGAATCACAGCGAGAAGAGTTTCGAGTAGTCCCCTATCATTCCTCGTTCCATACTGCGGTTGACCGCGGTTGACCACGTATTTCACATTCAAAATGACCGCCACTAAAGAGACACGCGCTTGCAGAAGAGACCTATTTTTTAATATTGTGGGATTTTAATCGGATTTGGACGCTGTTATCAGTTTCATTTATCAGGAGCATAAAATCATAGCCAGACGGCAATTTCTAGCCTATGCCACTTAAGACATAGGGATTCATCCAAGTCAACCCAGAAAATCCAAACATCTTTCAATTTTAGCTTTAAGTGAATTACAACTCCCTTAACTCCAAGGAAAGCTTTGTTAGGTTTCTTGCTTTTTTGTATTTGTAGGAAGTATTATTTTTATTCATTTATTCAAAAGGGTTATTTTCTTTTGTCCACAAAGTCACTTGTCTAGATACTTTCGTCTTTGAGTAAAAACCTCGGTAAAATAGCTATAAACTTTTTTTATTAATTATATTGACAATATATCGATAAATATCTTAAAGCTTTTGAATTTTACATGCAAATCAACCTTTGGATATTAAAGCGTTAACAAAGTGAAACTTATGCTGCATTTTAAAATATATATATATTTCCAGGCTTTGCGGTTTCTTTAGACAAATAATTTCCATTTTAATTTGCAGCTTTCACTTATTTTATTATCACTTACCATAAAAAAAGACTACATAGTGTATATCAGCTTGTTTGAAAAAAAAAAAAAAAGAAATAAAAATATTATAAATAAAAATGTATATATCAAAAGTTGCGTCGTCTAAATAATGCCTTTCCTCTTCTAAAGTCGTTGAATTAAGTGGAAACTTTGATTCTTTTTATTCTTACTTACCGTAACATACTAGGTAAATGAAGACTCCAACATTAAAAGTCACGAATCTTCGCAAGAGATTTGCTCTATCCTTCATCTTTCCCTCGAATCGAAGCTTTGATCACCACACAATCCTGTTAGATTAATTATCGTCGTGTTTCAGTCAGAACGCGTTTCACGCCTTGCGGACAAGGTGATAATCAATATTTTGTGCGTGAAGGGCTTTAATTTACAGCATAAAATATTTTTACCCTGCCTCCTACCAGGCGACGACAAATGTTAATTCAGTCCGCACGAGGCAAGATCAATGACTTTCTTTGATTCGTCTTAATAGTTTCAAGGTTTTGCTCACACGAACTGTTGTTTGGACTAAATTGGCAACAAAGCCAATTGAAGTACAACAATACCATGCAGTGATCGATAAGTGACATATGTCAAGAAATTAAGCGGATCGGAGCAAATAAACTGTACTCTGCGTAATTTAATGGGATCTTTCAGACAACCCTTGAATCTTCCAAACGAAATGGAACAAAATACCAAAAAGTAGCTTGCAATATATTAGTTTTGATTGTTTCCGACCCAGATTGGATGACAAGTATAAAGAAAAAAATCATAATTACATGAAAAACAAAATGTTTTTTTTAGACTGGCGTGATGTTATATTTTGAGTTTGTTGATTCCTGGTCGAAACAATTACCTCTGGCACTTGTTTGAACACATATGAAATGATAAAAACAGAGAATTCACGCTGCTCAAAGGTAACTAAATTGACCTATTGTATTCTCTCAAAGCTTATCTTTTTATTGTGTCATCGGAAAGAAATCAAATTAAAATTCACAATTTCTTTTTTCCAGGGCGTTAAAGTCAATTTGTATAGAAAACTGATACTGAGTAGTATTCAAAAAAGCGAAAACTCGGTTCAAATCGAGCTTCAGATGCGTGTATATATAGACTTGATCAAGTCAAGTTTCATTTTTTCGCAATAATCTTTAGTTTTCGTTTGTTAATTATAATTATTGTATTTAAAAATCTGATATCCTTTTTTTCCGCCTAACTCAATTACGTATGCTACATGTTAACTATGCAAAAAAACGTTATTTCAAAAGACAATTTTTAGGTCGTTCATTTTAACGTGTCACTTTCATCTAGTGCATTTCGTTTAGAATTGTTACATTAAACTGTATGAAGATTCAGTCTTATTTCATTTTTTGAAGAGTCCAAGATATTTTCATCAATACTTAACTAAATATATATTGATCTGTACTCATGTACAGCTGCTCGCTTTAAAACGTTTAAAATTTTAAACCAAGGCGCTGATAAGTAATTCAGGACGCCAATTCAGTTGTCGGAATATATAATACCTTTGTTTCCGCGAGGCTTAACTGATACACATGATTTGATTTTTCCATGCGAGACGAAACGTCTCCTACAGAGCCAAGAACAAAATTTTACTTTAAGGCGCAGTGTAGAAGGGCAATTTTACTTTATTTTTATTTTATTTTTTATCAATATTATTACGGTGATTTTATTTTTGATGGAGCTTTTTTTCCTTTAATATTTATTACTTATTTTCGAACGATAAAAAACTTTTTTCTTTTCTTCGTTTTCTTTTTTTTTTTTTTTTTAAAAATTATTATTATTATTATTATTATTATTATTATTTTATACCATAATACAACGTGATGGAGAGTGCCTTTCTTAGGATGTGAGATGTTCTAAGTAGTGTGATCTTTTGTACTTCATGTATTTTGATGTTACCCAGGATCTGTTGTATACATTATTTCGACAGCCCTTTCTTCATTAGTCTCAGGGCTCCTACCACTCTCAGAAAATACTCTACTACTCTCAGAAGAAGGTGTTAAATCTGGTTTTCATTGGCTCCGGGCAACAACCAGTTGCCTAGGAAAGCCAAGAAGCGTCCTTCGTTTTACTTTGCTCCCTTTTGCTCTCTCCAACACTTTCCTAAGGATTCTTGCTGACCCCAAAAGGACACATCTCTGAATCAGTTCAATGGATTTGTCGACACTTATGGTCCTCAGATTTTCTTTTAACCTGAGTGGTACTATCCCCAATGCCCCCACCACTATGGGTATCACCTTTGTCCTTACGCCCCACATCTTTCGGATTTCTCTAGCGAGATCTTGATATTTTTCTTCCTTCTCGTCCTATTTTGCTCTCACCCTTCCATCATCCGGAATTGCCACGGCTATAATTTTGTTACCGAAATTAGGACGTGGTGGGATGCTCTTAGCACCCGTGGTCCAGATTTTGGGTATTTTCCGAACGACAGGAAATGCTGGATCATCGCAAAACCAGCTAAGGAAGAAAGTGTCGGGGAAGCATTCAAGGAAACGTCCATTAATGTAACAGTACAAGGGCAGAAACACCTTGGGGCGGCAACAGGATCAAGGGAGCATTTAGAGGAATATGTCAGCAAAAGGGTATCCAGCTGGATCAATGACATAGCTAAGTTAGCTGAATTTTCTCTATCTCAACCACAAGATCTATTGGAGACATTAGAGAATGCAATATCTCACGCCTCATTCCTGCAGTGTAATCAGCTGGATAGGAATATTCTAGCGCTGCCAGTTCGCTTGGGTGGCCTGGGCTTAGGAAACCCGTCCCTTGAAGCAAGGTGCGAAAATGTCTCGTCTGTCAAAGTAACAAAGCCCCTTGTTGAACAAATTGTATCTGAGTCACTTCAGTTACCCGAAGATTCCCTCACAAAATTAGCATAACAGGAAATAAGAAGTGAAAGATTAAAGGAACTCGAACACAGGGCAGAGCGTATTAAGGAGATTGCACCAAGAAAGACACAGCGAGCATTAGATCTGGTAGCAGAAAAGGGATCATAAGAATGGCTTACAGTGCTTCCCCTCCAGGATTTGGGGTTTAACCTGAATAAGAGGGAGTTCCGTGATGTTGTTAAACTACGCTACGACTGGCCGGTGGAAGATATCCCCTCCATGTGCTTGTGGGGGAGCCTTCATTGTTGATCACTCTATGATTTGCTAACTAGGAGGTTTTATTACACAACGCCACAACGAGCTAAGAGATCTCAAAGCTGAATTTTCCTAGTATGGTGTGTAGCGATGTCGAGAACGAGCCAGTTCTTCTAGACATCTCAGGCGAACATTTAAACAGAGGATCTAATAAAGTTCAGGATGCCAGGTTAGATGTCCACGCGCGTGGTTTCTGGGAGCGACATCGATCAGCATTCTTCTATTTGAGGGTCTGCCACCCTATGCTGTATCGTATAGGGACCTAGAGCCACAGCAAATCTATCGTATCCATGATAACGAGAAAAAGCGTCTCTACGCAAGGAGAGTTCTGGAAATCGAGCATGGAACATTTACACCTTTGGTCTTCACCACAACTGGCGGAATAGGAAAGGAGTACTTGATGTATCATAGCTTTTTAGCACAGCTGATTGCCATCAAAAAAGGGGAGCAGTACGCCAATACCATGACATGGATCAGAACCAGAATCTCATTCGCACTCTTGAGAAAAAAAAAAAAATCAAAATTAAGTGTTTTTTTATGTTGTTCGTTTTTTTTTCGTTTTTTTTAACGAAAGGAATTGTAAATAGTGTTTTGTCGGAATATTTTAGGTGAATTGATAGGATTTTAATAGTTAGCATTGTTATCAATAAAATTATTTATATTATTGTAGTCCTCGTTTTCAAGTACACTGTCCGGAACATGGTCATACCACCTCTCACTTCACTGAAATCCATATTTTCCTGACAGGTCTCAATGAATTAGATACGTTGTCACGTCTCTTTTTATATTCTTATTGTGGCAGTTTTGGATACGCGCTTACAATATAGCTGCTGGTCTCGTTATCATTATCATTATCATTATCATTATCATTATCATTATCATTATCATTATCATTATCATTATCATTATCATTATCATTATCATTATCATTATCATTATCATTATCATTATCATTATCATTATCATTATCATTATCATTATCATTATCATTATCATTGTCATTGTCATTATCTTTGTCATTGTCATTGTCATTGTCATTGTCATTATTATTATCAATATCATTTTCATTATCATTATCATTATCATTATCATTATCATTATCATTATCATTATTATTTTCATTGTCATTATCATTATCATTATCATTATCATTATCATTATCATTATCATTATTATTATTATTATGGCAGTACAAACGTCTGGATGCCCGGAGTAAAAAAATAAAAGCTTTGGCTGGGCGGCAAACCGTAACCAGCCGCAGCATCGACTAAAATTTATGGCAACAATTACACAATAATTTGCGCAAAAAAATAAATTAATGAATTAATAAAAAAAAACCTGGGTAAAAATGATTTGATAAGAGTGTCATAAAAATTGAATAAATGAATTTTAAAAAAACTAAAAGCTTTATGAACGTCTTAATTACAAAATGAAATGATCGTACTTAAGTTGAAACCCATCGTTCATCTGAACTCACCAGGCTTGGGAATCAGAGTTGTCTGGCCTTCCGAAAATCATAAGGGAAACTGAAGATCTTCAAGTTGAGTAGTGGCCTGGAAACAAGTGGCTATTTCTTTATGTGGTGCGCACCAGTTTTCCTTTTTCTTGATGATCTTCCTAACTTGTTCAGCATTCAGATTCCAGTCATCAGTCGGTACTTCCGGTACTAGGTCTTCTATTGCCTCTCTAACCTCCTCGATCCATTCTGCTTTCGTGTCTCCGCTCCCCTTTTCTTCCCACAGACTTTTCCGGAAACTACACGCTTCATCAATGTTAGTGAATGTATGGTTATTGACCTGTGTCCCTTACGTTACTCTGTCGCACTTTGGTTTGTCAATATCCGCCTGGCTTTCTAACATTTTTCCAAAAGTGGCGTCTATACTTTTAGGATCTGCATGAAATTTCTGGTTAATCTTCCTAGCTTCTTCTAACCTCTTTACACGCCAAAAATTTCTCTTTAGTTTACGCAACTTTGATTTTTCCTTCTCCATGTAGACGACTAAATCAGCTATCGAAAGCGACTTGCAATTTTTCAAGAGTTTAGCTCTGTTCTTCTTGCCTTTACTAATGAGTTTTCGATTGGCTCTTAGTCTTTCTATTTCGGGCGCGGCGATTGAAATATTCTTCCTTATTTCACCTGCCTGTGCTTTACATATTTCCTTCATCGTTGCATCAGGGCTCTTCTTTATTGCTTTTGTTCCTTCTGTTCACTTTTTTTTATTATTATTATTATTATTATTATTATTATTATTATTATTATTATTATTATTATTTTATTATTATTATCATTATTGTTATTATTACCATTATTATCTTTATTATTATTATTATCTTTATTATTAAAAAGCTGAATACAGTCAAGACCAAAACAATGGCGGCAAGCCAAGTCAAAATGCAAATCAGTTGATGCTGGATTTGCATATGTCTGCTATACAAACCCCAGAGCATTGCGATCACTCAGCCTCGGAAAATGCTTTAAATGACGGGCAGGGTTGTTTGCCGAATTATGAAGCAATTAATGCACCATCTACTTTTGTGTGGGGCCAGCATGCTGATGGAAGAACTATAACAGTCAGCTTGTCAACCATTGACAATGCATATAATGAGATCTCAAAATGCCGGAAAAATACTTTTCTTGTCTTGTATGGAAAAGTTGGAAGGGGTTTATTGATAAGATGACAGAGAATATAAACGATTGGAGTAACAGATCCAAAAAGGAAGCCCATTCCTCTTAAAGCAGCGATTGTACTTCTTGCAGTCGGCTTACAAAAGCCTAGCCAGAAATCAAAGGCTAAGGATCACCAAGAGTGTTTGGCTAAGTGACTGATACTGAGGAAAGAGGGTGAAATCGACAAATCCCTGGGCGAAAAACGGATGATTCCAAAGCGCCTCAGCAACTCTCGGAGGGTTGATCCACCTAATGCAGCAAGAGTTTTTGCGAATCTTGTTACGTCAGGGCAAATCAACTCGGCCTTGCGTTATCTCAGTGAAAACGATGGGGGCGGTGCATCCTGCCTCTAAGTGATAACGTCATGGGACAGCTCAGAGAGAAACATCCAAGTCCACAGGAAGCCCATTTTAGATCTTTGCTTTTCGGGTCAGACGAAAATGTTCCAGACTCAATTTACCAACAGATAAATGGGTAAATGGTACGGGATGCGGCTCTGCGAGCAAAAGGTTCTGGGGGTCCATCGGGCGTCGATGCGAATGGGTTCCGGCGAGTTCTTGCATCAAAGTCATTGAAGAAATCTGGAACAGACCTGTGTGCAGCAATAGCCGCAATGACCCGACGCTTGTGCACTGAATTTATCGACCCTCTTGGTATTGAGGCAATTTTAGCGAATCGACTCATCCCCCTGGACAAAGTAGAGGGCGCTGTCCGGCAGATCGGTGTCGGATAAGTTATACGGATGATAATAAGAAAGTTTGTTATGCATGTGACAAAGCCTGATGTCATTGACGCAAGTGGCTCCCTTCAAGTTTGTGCAGGGCACAAAAGTAGAAGTGAAGCTGCAATTCATGCAATGAGCAGCATCTCCGATGCGGATGAAACGGATGCTGTTCTGTTAATCGATGCATCAAACGCCTTTAACGCCCTGAACAGAGCTGTACTACTCTCTTCATTACAGGCGGTGAGGAACTAATATCAACAGAGGACATCACACAGGGTGAACCTCTGTCCATGAGCCTATAAGCCATAAGACTTCAACCACTTATAACACGACTGCACGTTTGAAGCGCAGCAAAACAGTGTTGGTTTGCTGATGACGCAACCGGAAGTGGTTCCCTGAAAGACGTGAAGAAATGGTGGGATGAACTATCAGATAGTGGCCCTCCCATGGGTTACTTCCCTAATGCCAAGAAATGTTGGTTGATCATCAAACCGGAACGAGAACAGGTTGCCAGCGAGGTCTTTGGAGACACTGCTATTAACGTCACCACAGAGGGCCACAAGCACTTAGGCGAGGCTGTAGGATCTAGATCGTTCCTTGAAGAATATGTTGGCGAGAACGTAGCCGAATGGGTCAATGAAATTACTAAACTCGCAGATTTCGCCATATCACAGCCTCAAGCCTGCTATGCAACCTTCATTTTTGGTATGCGGCACCGTTGGACATATTTTCTAAGAACATTACCGGATATTGCAGAATTACGTGAGCCACTCAAGCGCGCGATTAATGAGGTTCTCATACCAGCTGTCACTTACCATACAGTCACTTAAGTAGAGCGCGACCTCCTTGCTGTGACCCTGTGCGCATGGGAGGCCTTGGATTTACAGAGCCTGTTGTGACCTGATCTTCTGAAAACGAGGCTTCAATCAAAGTTACTAATCCGCTCGTGAGGCGAATCGTTGAGCAAGAGCACCAGCCTCCAGATGCTTCAGAAATTTAAACACTGCAACTGAGCACACGAAAACAAAAACATGACTAAGTGAGAGGCTGCAGCAAGTGAAGAACTCCCTGTGGAAAAAAAGAGAGCTAGGCGAGCTGCTGAGTTAGCTACAGAGAAGTGATCATCAAATTGGCTGACCGTGATTCCCCTCAAAGAGTTGGATTATCATCTGAATAAGAGGGAATTTAGAGATGCAATAAAGTTACGGTACGACTGGGAAATAACAGACACGCCCATGCTCTCCGCATGCGTGGATCACGCAATGGTGTGTCAGCGCGGCGGCTTCATTATCCAGCGCCACAATGGTCTGCGCGACTTGGAAGCAAAGATGCTAGGGATGGTCTGTAATGATGTGGAAGTAGAGCTTGTCCTTCAGGAAGTCACTGGGGAGACATTAAATCATGGCGCTAACAAAGCACCTGATGCCCGTTTGGATATTCCTGGTCGAGGTTTTTAGGAGAGACAGAGATCCGCATTCTTGGACTTTTGGGTGTGTCCCCCTAATGCAGACTCTTACAGGGACTTGACTCCTAAGCAGGTCTACAGGAAGCATGAGAAAGAGAAGAAGAGGAAGTATGCGGAAAGAGTAATGGAGATCGAACAGGGAACGTTCACTCCCCTAATTTTTACGACCACAGGTGGAATGGCGGATGAGTGTGTTAAGTACCACAGCAGACTTGCGGAGCTGATCGAAATAAGAAGGGAGAAAGTTACTCAAGCGCAATTTCCTGGATAAGAGCTAAAGTATCTTTAGCCATCGTACGTTCTGCGATACTATGCTTGGAGGCTCAAGATCCAGGCGACGACAGCTAGACTTTGTTGACTCAGACCTACAGATCGATTGTATTAGAGCCTGCCCGAATTAATCTTTTTAAGGATCTTTTTTTAAAGAATTTGGAATTTAGGAATACGAGGTTTTATTCTTTTCAACTTGTTTTCTTTTTAATATCAGAAACGGATAACTCTCTTTTGTAATGACTTTAATGATTTTAAAACTCTGGACTGCCTGCAAGAGTCATTAACCGCATCTGAGCCGCAAGGAATGTATTTGCGAAATCGTTATTGACACAGTCATTGCTATTTTTATAATTTATATAATTCTTAATATTATACAGTGCGTAATTCTTACTGCAAGTATTTCTGTAAATTATGTACATATTTTTTTAAAGTTCAATAAAACTATTATATTTATTATTAAAAAGAAATTATTATTATTATTATTATTATTATTATTATTATTATTGTCTCTATTATCACAGTCTTTGCTGGTGTTCTTTTTGTGCATCAGCCGGGCGCAAACCATGCACCTAGAACGTCAGTCACTCAAGTCAATCATTCTGTTCATACACTGATCACCTTTCTGAGGATTCGTGCAGATCCCATCATGCAGATCTTTTGAATCTTTGTCATATTAGCTCTTTCTGATACTTTCTTGATGTTTTCTATACCATACCCTTCTTCACTGTACCAAGCGCACCAACAACCACAGGGATCACTACGGTTTTCATATGCCACATTCTCTGTATTTCTAGTTCTAGGTCTTTGTACTTGCATTTTTTTCAGTTTTATCATTATTATTATTATTATTATTATTATTATTATTATTATTATTATTATTATTATCATTGATTAAAGCGGTCTTACTTCAAGAGTCATAAGGGAAACAGACAACTCATAGAAGACTTCTAGATCAGTTCCGGCTTGGTGAGTACTTGTTGAGCGCACTTTGCCCTTTTCTTACCTGCACTTCACATATAAAAGGAGCTGTGTCACGAGGACATTTTATCAACATTTAAGAACTGCTACCAAACTGAATGAAACATTAAAATAACCCTTCAATCTTTAGCTCGAATTCTTGTTAAGGGCATAAACGTCGAAATAGATGGTTTTCACAGTGACGTCATCAAATTGTAAAGTCAAAATAGTGAGGTTTTACTAATTCTTATTTACATTAGGTCGGAAAAAAACAAAAAAATAAATCTTTGTCCAAGTTTCCATTCCCACAGCATATTTCATTTCGAAAATACAGCAATTTGAACTTGCGAGTTTTTACAGTACGTTGACACCAAAATAGGAATGCTGACTCGTTGAAAAAAAGTCTCTCCTCTTGATTTTCGGCAGTATAACCATTTCAAGTATTAGAAGATATGTTTATGCGCACGTATGCTAGTTCTCCAGTGAAAAGAAAGAGCTTTTTGGAAAAAGTAAACTCCAGACGTTTTTGTTGATTTCCGGCGGCCATATTGGTGGATCAAAACGGTACACCAATATGGCGTCTCCATAAAGCTCTACAAAGGTGCATGAAACGTTTTGGCAAATAACTCAGAAACTTTGGGCCGCAAAGACCTGAAACTTGGACAAATCGTTTATATTTCAGTCTTTTATAACATTTCATTTTCTTGGCTTCTTCCACTGGACGGTTTCCAGTTTATTTTTTTGTTGCGTAACGGTGAAAACGATCTATAGTATCTAATGCAGTGTGCGTCAATTTTATCAGGTACAAAAATTAATTTGTTGATGTTGGTGAGTTTTTTTATTTGCTCAAACCAGTCATTTTTGACTTTGTTTTGACAAAGTGGATATAGTTCTGCTACCTGATATCCTCTGTCTCTGTTAGTCTATTTATTAATTCATCATATAAACTCTTATTTGTTAGTAGAAATATGAGACTAAGATGCAAAATTGACCTTAAGGCTGCGTGCAAACGGGTGCAACAACTGCAACAATGTTGGGAGTTGTTGCGTGCATGTTGATGACAGTAGTGTGCAAAGGGATGCAACAACTCCCAACAAGTTTGGGACTTGAAGTGCATCGTGGGAAGAATACAACTCATAAGTCTTTGTAACCATGTGTAATGAGCGTGCGTGGCCCCAACAATTTTGGAAGAGCTGTGCAAACGGATCCCACATCGTTGCGCTACGCTTCGGCGATCAGGGGAACAAAAAAAATGTTGGGAGTTGTTGGCTGAAAAGTTTGACTGGTTTCAAACTTTGTGCAACAACACGCAACAACATCCAACAACCTGCAACAGTGTGTGCAAACGGACGCAACATGTAACATCCAACAATGTTGGGAGTTGTTGGCCAGCAATGTTGCGTCTGTTTGAATGGGCTTTACATGTCGACGGCACAATAAGTTAACTCTATAATTTTCCGTTTTCCGACCTCTCCAGCTATTTCCATTTCCAATATTAATATACGCATCATAAACACATTCGTGGCATATGTTTCTTAAGTAAAACGAAACTTTTGCAGAGTACCAGCTGCTTATTTTTAAGCCCCATGCAAACGGACGCAACATTGTTGACCAACAACTCTCAACATTGTTGGATGTTACATGCTGCGTCCGTTTGCACACCCTGTTGCATGTTGTTGGGTGTTGTTGCATTTTGTTGCGCAAAGTTTGAAACCGGTCAAACTTTTCAGCCAACAACTCCCAACATTTCTTTTGTTCCCTGATCGCCGAAGCCTAGCACAACAATGTTGGATCCGTTTGCACAGCTCTTCCAACGTTGTTGGGACCGCGCACGCTCATTACGCATGGTTTACAAAGACTTATGAGTTCTATCCTTCCCACGATGAACTGCAAGTCCCAACATTGTTGGGAGTTGTTGCATCCGTTTGCACACCACTGCCAACATGCACGCAACAACTCCCAACATTGTTGCGACTTGTTGCGTCCGTTTGCACGCAGCCTTAAGCATCGCTCCGTAATGGAATCCAAGACAGTTTTGCATTCTGGATTTCACGCCGGGGATTTAACATCTTTGTAAGTGGAACTAGGATCCCGGATTCCAATCGTTACACTTATTCCGGGTTCCTACAGCTGCATTCCGAATTCCAAAGCCTAGGATTTTAGATTTTACAAGCAAAAATTTCCCGGATTCCTGAATCCGTATTCCCTTACTTGGGGCGACAAGGAGCGATAATTACTAGATAGACACGATATAGCTTATATTTAGATCAAAGATACAAGTAAACATTTATGACAAGGTAAATGGGGACAAGCGATAATTTTGTTACTACACAACAACTACTGTTATTATTAATTCCACTTTCTTCTCTGCTACATACCGTCATACAGTACGTACATCTTGGATGAGTTAAGTACGCTGCAAACTAATATTCAATGTTTGTGTTTTAAGAAGAATCTTCTGAAGGTTGGTGCTGTTCAGACGTTCCACTGCATCTAAGCTATCCCAATGCATACGGTTAGAAGCTATACTAGCTTTCTTGATAAATAAATCGAACATTCACAGATAACCATATTGCTTACTACTGCGAGTTACATAATAAACGGATTCGAAAGTTCAATATAAAAATGTAGCTTGTGTTTTCACTGGAAAGTTAAATGTTTGATAACTGTACAATGTGTATTATAAGTGTTATAACGGATGCGTTCAAAGCACTGAGGCTGTCTCTGAGTGCATACGGGTAAGGGCTGGTCTAATGAGTCGATTTCGCTTAGCTGTTGGAATCGACTGAATCATGATACGTCGAAATCTGCGAGAAAATATGACGTACATGAAGGGGTTGAGGAAAAACGACGTTTTTGCAAACACAGAACATGCACTCAAAACAATGGGATGTACCTTTTGACCAGAAACTATAATTAAGGATGCGATAGCGTAAGGAGTCCACGAAAGAAGATAGGCTGCTATCACCGCGGTAAAATACATAGCAGATTTTCGGCGTTTCTGTAGGAGAGCCTTTGTCATTGTTATCGCGTAATCACCCATCTGAGAAGTGGCGTTGACGACGTGTTTGGAAACTTTATGTATCTTCTGATAGCAAAACGCAATAACAACGATGGGCAGAAAATAACAAGCAACGAACATGATTCCGAGGTATGCCTTGTCTTCTGGAGCCGAAGATTCCCATTTGATTGAACAGGTTGCGTTGGTTCCTTCCATGCCGTAACTAGACCATCCGAGAAGGGGGGCTACGCTGAAGCCAAAAGAGTACACCCAAGATGCGCATATTACCAGTATCACTTGCTTGGTATCCCAATAAGATTCCTTCAATAACGACTTGGTAATGGTGAGGTACTTCTCCACAGAGATGGCTGTTAAGTGAGTGATAGAGACAAGAGCAAGAAGAAATATCATGAAGGCATGAGCTCGACAACCGGCCATTCCAAACGGCCATTCCTTCAAGAAGTGGCCGGCGATTGAAAATGGAACTGCTATTAAGCATGAGAGGATATCACTAACAGCGATACTGAATATGAGATAGCTTGGTGATGCTAGGCGATGGGTATTTCTAAGTACTGTAAAGATTACTAAACCGTTGGAAAGAGTTCCAAAAAAGCTAACAAAGAACTCAGTAACCACGAAGAACGTGTTCCATATGTAGATTTTGCTCATGTCCAATCTCAATTTGGTTTTGGCGTCAAAATATCGCTCTATACCTTTGAAATATCTGAAAGAGAAGTATCTTTTAAAATTGAGGCCTTCGCGATTGTATGGTTTCCTCTCCCTTCCGTATTTTCAACATTTTTTTCTTTTTTTTTTGTAATTTGCAGCGTCTCGCGATCGATTCGTCATTTGACGACGTGACGACTTTGCCGCCCTTCGAAAAAATATTACCCGGAAGTTATGGCTTAAGTGACCCATCAACATCCATATAAAAGCTTTAAAATGGTTCATTTACCGGTCTGGGAACCTTTCCTTTTCCTTCCGAGCTACTTGCAATCATTCGTGGGCAATTTAAGTTACATCGTATAAGTTTGCCTTAAGGGATAGAAACGTTTTGTCCATGATATTTTTTTTTTTGCTTCACTGTAACTGATGGTGAAAAAGAAGAGTCTGAAGAAATTATTGTTCAGCTTGAAAATCTCTTCCACGCAAGATCGAAGGAATAAACTAAAACACAAGTTTTAAAACATGTCAAAGGAGCAAAGTTAACGTCATTTGCCACTTTCAAAACGCTAAAAATTTTCTTTTCGTCAATTGAATTCAAAATAATAAATTTGACGCCATTTGCGATGTATTTAAAAACTCAAACTTGTCTTCGCATGAATTGAATTCGAAAAGTAATGGTCTAGTTTTGTTATTGAATAATAAATTTAGGGACTGTTTTCTGTCGTTTTTTTGCTGCGGATGGCAAGGATGGACATGGACTTAATCTTGAATATGGTTGGGCCACCTTTTTCATGTTTTAATGCTCTGCCTGCTAAAATCGCCAGAAAAATATTATGTTCAGTGTTTCCTGATAAAATATGTTTGAAATCTCTTTCAAATCTTTAACGGGGCCTTTTGTGTATAGGTAAAAAGCACTAGGTGATGACTTCAGCACAGAATTGAACTAAAACAGCAATATCCTTCTCACATAGCCTCTGTAAAGGAATATGTGGATAAAAAATAATCTAGAATGGCCCATTTGGTGTAGTTAGAATTGTATATTCCCTGATTTGAAAAGAGAACCGATTCAGTTCAGTTTCTTTGAACTGTATTCCAATCGTAAATTATGGTTTGGCTGTGCAAGATTCGATTTATGGTTAAAAATATTCCTTGAAATTTCCCCCAAAAAATATTTATTAATCTATTTTTTAATCAATTTATTAATTTGTTCATTTTATTCATTTATCTATCTACCTATCTGTATGTCTATCTATCTATCTATCTATCTATCTATC